CTCCAGCTTCAAGAGAGTGAAACACTTGACCAAAGACTGGCGAGTGGTGGCTCACGCCTTGTCCAGGTCTACCAAACTAGAAATCAACGAAGCTGGGACGAAATTGAGACGACTGGATCCTTTACCCCAATACGACGAAACAACCCCTTCGCGGACGGTGGTGGCCGTCCATATGCCCATCGAAAAGGCAACCATCGAAAATGTAGCCGAATTGTTCAAAGTCTGTGGCGAAATTGCCTTGATTCGGATCCTAAGACCCGGGAATCCAATTCCAGCAGATGTTAGACAATTCATCAACAAGAACCCTTCACTTGCCGGGGTTGTATGTGCTTTAGTCGAATTTGTTGCGTCTGAATCGGCCCGAAACGCGATTCAGTTGCAACACACCCTCGGAGAACCGATGAAAGTATACGAATTGAATAATGTTCCTCATCCCGAACGCAAGAAAAAGACGAACAAGAAAAACAACAATAACAACAACAAAAACTTTTCTGATACTGATTACATTAGCTCATCATGTCAAAGCAGTTCCGAGGCTGAAGATATCATCAAAAACCGGGCAAAACTCCGCCGGGGCTCCTCTGCCCACTTCCCCTCCCGCTACATAGAGCCAGCTGCTTGGCTCCAGAGGCGTCTTTCGGCCTCCAGCACCGAAGCCAACTTTATCTACATGCCGAGGCGTTTGAGCTACAGCAGTCGCGATTCCAGTGACTCTAGCTTGTTCCTGCCTCGTAGAATGAGTGCCTGTAGCTTGTCAGGCTCCGAGAATGGTTATAACCGGCGGTTATCCTCGGCGAGTCAGTCGTCCGATTACAGCAATCCTCGTTCGAGAAGCAATAGCACGGCCTTCCAGAACGGCGAGAACGTGGTGAGGATGCCACGTGGTCCGGATGGTTCCAAAGGATTCCGACAGAGACCTTTAACGGCAATCGCTCAATGAGAGGTTCATGATAATCGGAGCCTTGACGTTAAACTTTTACTTGCCTAACGGCGGAAAGCGGCTTTTTTCTTTTAGAGGGAAAATTTTGCTGGTCGAACCTTGCGAATGCATTATTCAGAACACGACCCACTTACTTTTTGTTGTTTCTAGCACGGACTTTCACCCAAATGTGGTCTATATTGTAGTGATTAGTATTAGCGAAAAGTTAGAAATTTCTACTTAATTGAAATTAATTTGTTACGCTTTTTAATTTATGAAAAAAAAATGATTGGATTCTTCTCAAAAGCACCGAGTTTTTCATTTGCTTAGTTTTTGCTTATATTCTAGGTTGCGTACTTAATTTACTTTCTACTTTGTTAATTAAGCTAATTATAGATTTAACGCTTCATTTTCTTATCCTATTGTTTTGTTTTAAAAACATTTAGATTAAGGTACTATCTAGGAGAAACTTGTTGATAATGTAGAAGCTGTGGATTTTAAGCTGTTGATCGGTCGGCCTTGTGTAATTTTTTTATAGAAAATAATTGTTTACTATTATGCATTTTGATGTGGTTTATGCTGTTTCCGTGTAATCTGTAAGGAATTCTCTTCGCTAGAATTAATCTCTAATTCCTAAGTATGTAAATTTCATTTTGTACATAAGCGTATTTATTATTTCCTTATTTATTTCGATTACAGAATTTACTGTTTTAATGATGAGCGCTTTATTTATTTATTTGTTGTCTATTATGTATTATTTACATTAAATTTTTGGGCAAACACTTGTTTTTCATTTATTATTCACCTTCCTATACTCCATTTAGCATTAGCATCACAACAAACACGTGCTTTCAAACTGATATACAATAAATATTGATACTGATAGTACTTATCATATATTTTATTTACAATTATTCCAAAACATTAGTATTGCTTCTAAATATTTACATTTAGATTTTTAAGTCTGGCTAATAGATTTTCAATTCCAAATCAATTATAATAATCTCCATCCTGACATATATTAAAAATAAATTTGTTTTGAACTTTTATGGAAATTCTATTGTTTTAGCACCGTCAATATATTAAAATATGAAAAATAGGCAATAAATAAGCAAAAATTTATTTCACTAATTAATGATTGTCACTAGTAATGATTTACAGAAATTCATTCATTATTGATTTCAACATTCCCACAATGAAAGAAAATATATTTTACAAATCCTTGACATTACAATAAAATAAAGTTTCATTTTCATAGAACAATGTAATTTATTCTTACGTGCCATCTTTTTTATTTGTTTTCATAAAATGTCACTTTCCTCTTTCGAAAACTTTCTACACGACCAGTTCTACGCCAAAAATTAATTTTATCGACTATTAGAAAGGTTAATCAAACATTCTAAAAATAGGTGTCTTCAAGCAATTCCAATCTAAATAATAGCAGCCTTTTTGGAATGTTTATTAAAAAAAGATAATATGTAAGGAGTGTACTTTCAAATTTCTTCCTGCTTTGAACCTCAACTATGATATGATTGTAGGTAACACCCAACAAGCTTTGTTATTCTGAAATCCACGTAGTGAAAAAAAATTAAAAGTTGGTGCAATTTTTATTTATTTTGTGATCTGAATTGTATTCTGATGTAAATTTAATCTACATAAAGTATTTCATAATTTTTGCACGACTGTTATTTATAAAACCCACCTTTTATTTCATCATGACATTTCTTTCTTTATTTTTACGTTTCATCTTATTTGATTGGAACGATTTATTCGAATTCAGTCTTATTTTAGTATAAATACAATTTGGAAGTTCCTACACGTAATTTTAACTTTACAAAACTTAATAGGTATGCGAAAGACTTTTGAGAACAAATAGAACAATGAGAAGCCTACAAAGCGGTGAAAACTCAATCGTGTAATGAGTTAAATAAGTATACCGTTATTAACATAATAATAATTGTTATGAGTGTGACATATGTAACGAAGAAGCATATTGAAAATAAGTTATTATTTACATAAAAAGTAATAAAAAATAAGTAAATTAGGCAAATTTGAAATATTAAATAATAATTTTCAAAATAACTCTTAATCAGAAATTTTGATTTTGGTAATCCTTTTAGTTTTAAGCATTTAAATGAAAACCTATTTATCATAGTTCTCATGCTCGGGGCTCTAAATGATATTGCAAAATATGATAAATACATAAACAATTATTGTCTTAAAAATTATCGTAGATAAACAAAACCATAATTATGTATGTGCCTAACATTATATGTAGACGCTACATTCGTTTTCTATTGAACTCTTGGAGGCTTATTGTATTGCCCTCCTTTCTCGCTTGCAATTTCTAAACATTCTACGCTAAAACTTAAGAAAAATTTAAAAATTTTAATGTAACAACTTGACAAAATATAAAATTACTTGAATGCGAAATGCTCAACTTTTCTTAAACATCATTATTGTTACAATGTTACAATTAGTCATTTTGTAAAAATATTTTATAGACTTTTTTCATTCTGCTTTAGCAAATTTAAATCGCATTAAAGGTTTGCGGGTTTTCTCTCCGAAAGCCGCAAATTTTGATAATCCGTGACCTTTGAAGCCTGAATAATTCAGTTCCGATAATTAAATTTTCTGTAATTGATCAATAAGTAATTTTCCCCCAATCAGCAATCATGACAATTTCACTGTAGGAAACCATTGATGAAAAGTGCGTGTAATCGCGGTAGTAAATTTCCAGTCCTCATGTTAAATAATAATTCGAAGTAAAGAGTTTGCGATACGGGCCTGATGATCTAAAAAGTGAGTGTTTCTCTCTTATCGAATGACTGTAGAATGAAATTTGCTGTCAACTTTCTCCACCGACACTTTTAGTTAAACTAGTTATAGTGAGGGGACCATCGATGCGTGGCAAACCTTCTTTATAATCTCCTCCAACTTTCATCAATTTCATCATTCTACACCACGCCGCAGTCAAGTTCAACGATTTGCGCTTGACATTGCGGAATCGTTGGCTTGGAAAAAGAGAGAAATGGTCTATTACGACTTCGATATGTGCACATGAACCCACTTGTAGAATTTATTTACCATTCAGAACAAAATGAAAATTAGAAACTTACAAATTAAATTCAAATAAAGACGAAATTTTTTATTGCCAAAAACAAAAACAAGCGTGAAGCGTGTCACCAAGAGTAGTTATATTCACTTAATTAGTTGGTAATCAAGCTGACCAAGTAAAATTTTTAGATAGGGAAAATCGTGTTTTTTGAGATTTTGAATGTTATTGTATCGATAACTGCTTATCCCCTGATATGTATTGTGTGTTGCCTACCAATTAATCGTTCTGTTACAGAAAACTTTTTGTTAAGCAAACTTTTGAAAAATAATACATCATTCTAAATAATATTTTATTCTATATTAAATAAAATACATCTATCTCGTGGAAGGTCCTGGTCTATTAACATTTAAATTTTCCAATATTTCAGCGTTATATCTTTTCGCCCGTTTGGTTTTAAAAGTCTCTTTCCTAGGTTGTCTCACGTTAGAATGTTGCAACAGTTTCATCTGATTCTCAAGCAACTGAATTGAAGATAACCCTTCAGGGATATGGACATATCTAATATTTCTGGCGCTTATATAAAAATCCTTAAAATGATGCCGTTGTCCTCTTGGATCGTAAAATACTACATCCCCCATTTCTACATTCATTAGCCCATCAACATGTCTTATTAAACCAGATACACAACTTTCATTTCTTAAATCAATGACTGTATGTTTATTCTCTAGAGCTTTAACTAGACTAGTCAGGTAGTTATGGAAATGGAATTTTTCTTTCTTTGAGCCAAAATCCTGCATTTGGATGCTTTTCTTCGAAATACAAATTTTAGGTTAGAAAAAGAAAAATAATTAAAAATTAGATACCTTATAATAATTGACACTACTAAATATGCGTTTGTTTACTCAACACTGCTTGTGCTTAAATTTACAACACTTATTATTAGTCAAAAAACAAAAAAAATACAGAAAAACAATTTTGACAATAGTTCAAATTTGAAAACTGTCATGCAGTAGGTCTCGTGCACCACTCACTCTCACATGATTTGTTGTTTATTTAATTGAATACGTAAATAATTGAATAAGTAAATTAAGTAATAAATACACAAACGTTACAAGTTACAGTCAGAATACAAATAATCTTAATTTTTAATTAAACAGAACAAATTGTGTACGGGTTCTTTGTTCATTGAGTCTACTTTTATCTACCTGTGTGTATGAGGACTACAGCACCAGATGTGAAATTTTCACCGTTCTGATGCAAAAATCCTTTGTTGATATGTTAACTGTTAACTGCAAGTGATAAGTGATATCTCTTATCACCTGCTTCAAAGCAAATAGTTGAAAAAAATATGTGGAAATACATCGGTGGTACTGTCGTCGTAGGTTCAGTAACTTACGGTCTATAGTAAGTCCTAACCAATAAAATTAAACAATTTTATTTACGTCTAGAATTTTCTGCATTTTCAAGTCGGTATTTTGCTGGAGGTGTTTGTAAATGTACAGCGCGACTGGACGGTTTAGTAGTGGTTATAACAGGCGGGAATTCTGGAATTGGTAAAGCTCTAGCTGTAGAATTAGCACAAAGGGGTAAGAAGTTAATTTATTCAAACCTCTTTTTAATTTAAAATTTCCGTAGGTGCGATTCTTGTTCTTGCATGCAGAGATATCGAAAAAGGTATCAACGCAAAGAAAGATATTTTACTAAGTTTGAATAACAAAAACGTGAAGATATTTGTTAAACGACTGGATCTTGCCTCAGTTAGTAGCATTTTGAAGTTTTCTGAATCACTGAAGTCAGAGTTTAACGAGATTTATGCGTTGGTTAACAATGCTGGGATTTTTTACCACCCACATACAGTCACTGAGGATGGTTATGAAATAACATTCCAAACCAATTACTTGGGTAAGCAATTTCGAGTTTCATCACTTGTTACAGTGTACAATTTTTAGGACATTTTATCCTAACGCACAATCTACTCAGCTTACTAAAAAAAGCAGACCATTCCAGGATTGTTAACGTGACGTCTGAAGCTCATAGATTAGTAAATGTTTATGATTTAAACGCCGTCACAAAATCACAGACTGAATTTCGCTCGCATTTAGTCGCTTATGGAGTAACGAAACTCGCTTTGATTTTATTCACGCGCTACTTATTTAAGAAGTTATCAAGTAGGGTCCCCTTATTTGACTCTTAAATGTTTAATAAAATAATTCTTTTAGACACAAATATAATAGTAAACGCTGCTAACCCAGGGAACGTGGAAACAAACATTTACCGTCATTTCCCCTTCTTGAGCAATAAATTTTTGTACGGTCTTCAGTGGCCAATCAGACAAATCGTTGTCAAGAGCCCCCGACAAGGAGCCCAAACGATTCTGCACTGTTTGTTAACATCAAACAGAACAACTGGACAGTATTACAGTGATTGCAAGTTGTCTTTACCAAGTCCTCTTGCTTTGGATGATAAACTTGCAAAGGATTATTATGAACTGACTTTGGAGATACTAGGTGATAGGTTCAGTACAGAATCGGAGTGTTAATTTAGTCAAAAATGTGGATCTCACCTGATGGAAAATTTCACAAATTAGTTGTAGTGGAGGGTGATTGGGGTAAAAAGCCATCAGAACAGACTGAATGTAAAATATTTGTATCAGATTGTCCAGATTCATTCTTAGAGTATAATAACACGAGTGTAGTCATAGGTGATAGCGACAGTGAGACAAGGCGAAATTTAGATTTATGTTTAATTACAATGAACGAGGGCGAAACGGCCAAATTCAGAATAACAGCGGAAAATGTGTCATTCACACTAAAGTTAGAAAACATGAAATTCAACAGCTATATTTACGAATGGGATGCTAAAAAGAAATACGAAATTGCACAACACCACAAAGAGAGAGGCGTGGAATTATATAAACAAAATAGGGGCAAAGACGCCGCTCACAGATTTATCAGAGGTTTGAAAGTCTTGTCTTCAATACCAATTGATGTTGAAACACCACCTGAACAAATTGACACAATTCCCCTTGATGATATTAATAAATTAAAAGCGAATTTGTATAATAATTTAGCTTCGTTTTATTTGAAAAAGCAAGATTGGTTGCTTACTATAGGCACCTGCAAACGAGTTTTCGACTTTGATAAAGATAGTGTTAAGGCACATTATAAACTTGCTGTTGCTTATATTAAAGACAAAAATTTGGAAGCGGCTGAAAAAGAATTGGATGTTGTTTTAGCAGCGGAACCCAACAACAGGGCTGCCATTGACCACATGAAACATGTCAAAGAGGAAATACGCAAAGCTAATGTTAAATTTAATATGATGGTTAAGAAAATGTTTACTTAAGTTGTGCCATAGTTTAGATTTTTATTTACGATTATGTATTTTTTAGAATAAATGTTTAATCTTAACTGTTACTTTTTTAGTTCCTTGAAATAATTGCTTTTTAAAAAATATCTTTAAAAAAAGGGTAAAATTAAATTAAAGTAATTAAAAAATTACTAGTATGTAGTCAAATAATTACGTCCTATTTCCCTAGCATATTTATAACTAATAAAAATTATTTATTAAATCACATTAAATCCACGATCAATTCAGCCGTGGTTTCTTCTCAGGAGGTGGTTTGATCTTCTCCTGTGCATTTTCGGTTTTAATCTCCTTACTCTCACTAGTGCCATTTTCAACCCCAGACTTGCTAGTAAGTGCAGCAGGTGTTGTTTTGGGTTGCGGTGGTGCAGGCAAAGGAAACTTTTTGATGAGTTCACCCAACAGCATATCAACTCTTTGTCGCTGAAACAGCGAACTTGGTTCTTCCCTGGGTTTCTCCTCTTTGCTTTTGGCTTTATCTGTAGTATTTTTCTGAGATTTGAAATCCCATGAATAGCCTTTACTAGGGTGATACCTGGCAAAACTAGCAACTTCCTCAAATGAAGACTGTAAGTGGTGGACTGCAGATAACTGCAAAGTTGATGTCATTACATTAAAATGACTTGAATAAAGTTAGTACCAGTCTGGAATTTAAAACACTTGCTAAATCAGGTGCTTGGTACACAACTCCTGCTATAATGTAATAGTCAGCTAAAGGTGTCACTTGCTGAGGGCTGTGCCTGTGTTGTTTCCTAACTACATATAAAATGGGTTCCTGGACATGCAGTAATACGTATTCTAATCCAGTCATGTTTCTGGAAATGGAAAATAAATAAATTATCATTAGTGTAATCACAGTGTAATTACTGGAGTTGGTCTGGAGTCAAACGTTGCATCTTAACAATCTCATTATTGCAAGTTCTATCAAAAAATGGATTTGAACGTTCTGAGAAGTAGTCCATAACATTTGCAGTATTGAGTATTGGAATCCATGCAGAATCGTGCCATGACAGACTTAAGGGATTCTCGGGAATTCCAGGGACCATGCCCAGCCTTCCAGGCATCATCGCCATGGTTTAAAATGACCTAAAAATAGTACCTTTTTATCAAATGAAAAGTCGTAATTTTTTTTCAAAAAAACTGAAACAAGTTTTACAGTACGTTCTCACAAGCACTAATTAATGTAAAATAAACACTCACTTTTAGAAATTGTTCTGATGAGTGCTTTTTTTCTAAAAAAAAAAATTTTTTGTATTTAGTTTTCTTGATAGGGTTGACAAATCTTGAAATCTGACACTAACCTCACTTTCTTGTTAAATTAATTAAACTGACACATTTTATTTCGAATTTATCCACACACATTAATTTAAAGGTAAAACTTGCTCATTAGTGTTATAGTTTTATGCGAACTTTACATCATTCTTAATGGTCATCCAAAATAATTTCAAAGTTTTACTTAAATTCTCTGTTTATAACCTGACAATTGCTTCGTAACCTCACTTTTTAGCTTTTAAAAAAATGTATTTCTAAATTTTTTATAACTCTAGTACTATTTTTATTTTATTCTTAAATTTGAACCTGCTTTCGTTTTTTGCTTTCGTAATTTGTTTCTTGATAAAAAGTAGGTATGTGTTTGTGTGGGATTGTCCTATTTTTAGTTTCAAAAAAGTGGCTTACCTAAATAGGTACAGTTGAATAGCAAGATGCCGTTTTTTAGAAGAAACTTAAGGAGGTACTTTACTATTTGTGATGAATTTCATAACTTGGTGTTACTTTAAACTTTCTTTCAGATGGAATTAAAAGTGGTCCCTTTACATCTCAACAAAAAATATCTGTCTGAGTGTTGCAAGCTCATAAATGATGAATGGAAACGTAGCGACACTGCCCGACTGAGGAGTTTGGAGTCATCGTCTGATACTTTACCCACCAGTTTAATTTTATTAAGAAATGAAGAAATTATTGGCCATTTGAAACTCTCTCCCATTCCCAGTATTAAAGATGGTTGTTTTGTGGAATCAGTTGTTATAGAGAAAGGATTGAGAGGCAAGGGTTTTGGAAGATTATTGATGGAGAAGGCTGAAGAATACTGCAAGAATTTTTTACAACTAAAAACAATTTATTTATCAACTAAAGGGCAAGAAGGATTTTACAATAAGTTGGGATATATTGAATGTCAACCTATCTCTATATATGGTAACTATATGCCCTTAACTAGCACCATGAATTTTAAACATGAAAACAAAGCTAAGAATTGGGAAGGAGCACCAAAACCCCCTCCTCTGCCAACAAACAGTTTTAATATAAATGCAAAAACTTATATGAGGAAAGAATTATGATTCAGTACAAAAGTTCGCAACTTGGCACACTGATAACTAACTGAATTTCTGACTCAACTGCCATATGAAAAGTGCAAATAATTGTAGAAATGTTTTGTAGATTGTGATAAAAAAATATTTGAGTTGTAAATTCATTTTAAAATCGATTGTGTCAATAAACACTTGAATTACATAATTTTATCACTCCCATTTAGTTTTCAGTGTTTCGTGCAAATCCCACAAACTTTCCCATAATGTTCCGGTTGTGAAAGAGAATCAACTAAAAACCTTCCAAGGTCGTATTTTGAAATTGCCCTTCCTGGAGATGCATCATGTTTCACCTCATAATCCGATCCTGGCTGATCTGAAATAAAAATTATAGCAAAACCACTTTTTACTATTAAAAAAACGTACCAGCAATATGTGGTGGCAAAATTGCAATGTACTTCAAATTAGACTCCTTTAATGCATCAAATTGGCGCTGATGGTCCGCATTCAAGTCCTTGAACATTGGTGGGACTTTCTCAAGGTCATAAAATAAAAATGCTGATAAACACACTGAGACAACTTCAACATTAGCTTCTTTCATGGCTTTGAGAATATTTTTCATTCCTTCACTTAATACAGTTGTGGGTTTTAAGTCATTACGTGTCCCTAAGACAACTACAACACCATCCACACCCTTTATAGCGTTTAAAACGTCATTATAGTTAAGAACATCGCCTTGGACAACCTCAAGACTGTTTTTTAAATTGTCGGGTACTTTAGAGGGGTCTCTAACAAAAGCCCTTACATTTAAACCTTAAAAGAGTAACTGAAATAAATATATTTTAAAAATCATCTCTCAATTTACCTTTTTTAACTGCAGCTTCGACCGCACAAAGGCCGGTCATGCCAGTAGAACCAAATATCACAATTTTATTCATTGTAATTAGATAGAATTATCAAAATACTCAATATATACGTGTGAAAGAGAAGAAAATGTTGTTGAATGGGCTCTCTATTTGATTTAATTTTCACAATTCATCATGAGTTGATAAACAAAAGATAATAAACGTCAATGTCACTTGCTTGCCAGTCTCATTTTTTCAAATAACACTTTTTCCGAAAGCGGACAACAGCGAAATGTGAAGTTTATTTAAATTTAGTTAATATTGTTTAATTATTAATGCTTAGTTATTCTTAGTTTATCATTACTTTGGTACATGCAATAGTTAAATTATTTTGTTATGAATTTAAAATGAGGTCGAATACCATTTCTGAGTAATGGCATTGCAATGAAAAAACGAAAAACACTTGTCATGATTATGAGAACGTCAACGTTGACAGATCCTTAAAAAAAGATCTACAGATTAAACAGGTTTAACTGTTACTATTAATGCGTTAAAATGAGTGCAGAGGAAGTTGTTTCTAAGTTAAAAACCAACTCGGAACAAAACTGTGATGAAGCTGTACGTCTGTTAGTGAAAATAGCTGAAAATATTGTTAAAGATCCGGCTAACCTAAAAATAAGGTCTCTACAAAAAAACAATTCCACTATAAAAAATAAAATTTTGTCGGTTAAAGGAGGTTTGGAGTGTTTGAAATTAATGGGTTTTCAAGAGGTATATAACATACTCGTATTACTTTACATTCATTTATTTAAAATCATTTTAGAATGAGTCTAGTTTCACACTACCTTCAACAACATCTGTGGAAAAATTGCAAGAAGTGAAAAGTTGTCTCTTGAATTTGAAAAACAGCGACAAACAACAGGGGGCTGTACCCAAAGTAAAGGTAATTGCAGTTAATTAATTAGAGTATTATTTGAACATTGTGCTTCAATTCCTTCTTGAAATTGTAACATAATTAACAGATAAGTGGCTGCAGCTCCAACTATCTACAATCAAATGTTATTAACTAAATGAAAGTTAATTATTTTGTTTTACGGTAAAAATTAAAGTTGCGTCGATATAAAATAAACCACAGGCTGTAAACTGTAAGGGTCTGTGATTTATTTGTTGGGAAAATACCATCAACTAAAATTAATTTTGGAGTACATAATTGAATGAAATATAAAAGAAATACTTTTCTCTTTACGTTTGGATCAGATTCATTCATAAGAACCTTATGAATGGCTATTCCTGTATTTTTGGCCTAAAAATTACTCCACCGATTAAGCTAATTTTCAGTTATTTTCCTTACTTCTTTGGTTGTTAAATGACAATTTATTGTTACGTAAAATATTTCAAGAGTTGTCCATAATGCCCACATGAACCATACTAGAGCTGCAATTTTGTTTTTTAAAATCTGAAATTTTTTATAGTATTATTTTTTTGATCTTACGAAATAGTATTTACTCACCAAGCTTTCATAATACAAGTAAAAAATCGTAAAGACTTCAGTTAAAAATTGTGAAGTCAAGCAGCTCAATATTTGGACTGAAAAACTATCATTTAATTTATTGCCAACATCGGTCAAAAAATCGTGAAGTTCCATAAGTAATTCAATTTTCGGTTGTGTGTGTTTCGTTTGATATTCATGTGATGGTTTCGAATTGAGATAATTATGATTAATTTTCTCTGCATTAAAATTCGTCAACAATCTATTAATCAAAGCGAAACGTTCATGCACGAGAGTGATTAATAACACAAAATTAATTTGCACCAAGTAGGACACGAATAAAGGGAAAAAAAGAGCAAAATGAGTTTCATCCGTTGTCAAGAAAATATTTCTTCCCATGTAGATAAGTGTAACAATGCTTCGTCCCAAAATTGCTAGAAATCCTACAAAAATCATGCAAATTTCGTATAGGAAATGTTTGCGATAAATAATTTTCTCTCCTAAGTCTCTAAACTTCATGTCAGCTTTTTTGATGCTCTCAATGCAGGTTAATATTTTGTGACTGTTTGATATGTTAATTAAGTAGATTACATAAGTGACCATAATGTTTGCAAGGATTTGAAAAATTATTCCAATTTTAGTAACCCCAGCATTGTAATTTAGATGAAGTTGTGTGTGTTGTAAATTCGTTAAAACAACATACAGCAATGCTGAAAATAATGAAAGATAAACTATATTAAGAATTTTCAACAAGTTGAAAACTGCCAATTTTCGAGTGTTATTTTTTGTTTCTATAAAAACTGCAGACAGGCCAAATGATCCTGTCGTAAGCAAAATAGGGTATACAGCATCGTAAATGTCTTGTGTGGACATTTTGGAACGATGTGGGAGTTATTGGACATTGATAAGGGATTTATGCACAACTTTCGAGTGTTTAATATTGTAAATGAAGCATTTGGGGTGATAAAAATCTTGATGTGAGTAAGTTTTTATTTACACTTGCGTGATTTATAGTAATATTAACATTAGTCATATTGGGTAAATGTATATTGATCGTTAAGTAATAACATTTATTTTATTAAACAACGTATTTGTTTGATTGTGATTATTTTTTATGATTTGCAGCAAGATACTATTATCAAGAGTAATAACAGCAATTTCGAAGTTAATGGCGATGATTTAGATAATGTGAAAAGATTTGTTTTACCTCCCCTTAAAAAGGTAAGTAAATGACACATAATTAGCACTGTTTTATTAGCATTTTTTCTTTTGTTAACGTAATGAAGCTTAGGGATTGTAACTAATGTTTTCTCAAGGCTTATTTTTTTAAATTTTATTAATTAACTGTTTTTTGAACAATCCTGTTAATTAAACAAATTTCTAAAGTATTTTAGTGACAACAGAGATGATTAAATGTTTTTTCTTTTTGTGGCGTCTACAAGTAAAATGGCGTTGGTTTAAGTAAACTAATATTTTCAAACGATAAAATTTTTATAACTAATCGTTTATTGTTTTATAATTCTTTTATAATCTGATACCAGATTGTAAGCCAATTGATTTGCCAAAATTAAAAAATAACCTCTAAGTTAACGCAGTTCTTAGTTTTTGGGACCAAAAATGAAAATATTTTTTTATATTATTTTCATATAATTTTTTTATTTAATGATAATTTGATTTTTGTGTGAAGCAATAGATAAGCAAAAATATGGTTCCATTTTACTCATTTTCGAGATGTGAACAGGGTTTTAAACCAACTTTTCGAAGTCTAACTTCTTTGAAAAATTTAGACAAAAAGTGCTGTGTTTATTTTCAAGACGTGATCATTTGTACTTAATCAAAACATTGCTAAACTAGTTGCTTACACACAAAGTGACAAGTGTTACTTTGTTATTATGTCGTTTAAAACATTGCTTTATTATTCGAAACGCAAATTGTGGGTGTTATCGTTTCCTGAAATTGAATCATTATAACAATAAATGTAGTTGACGAACCAATCATCTGTAACAAATTTCATAGTTTAGTATTTAAAGCCAAACACTTAACTTACGTTAAATAATAATCCTGCGTCAATATTGAACAGCCCACACAAAGTAAATTTGAAACTGCTATGCTGTACCTGTTTCGAAAACATTAAAAGTTTTTCCTCAATTTCATCATTCTGGGTTCTTATTAAAACTTTGTGTACTTTTCTGCCCACAATGTTAGCCTAATTTAATTAAATTTTATAATAGCTTTATTAAGGAAAACTGGAGTATAGGTAAAATACCTGCTGGCTTGCCAAATGACATGTAATTGTGACGTGAAGAATTTCGTACGATTTAAAAATACCCCAGGCTAGCCAACAACTTGCGGAAAATGGTTTACTGGAGTGCTGAAATTTTTGTAAACAAAGTATTTTATAAATAATTGCGGGAATACCATCCAGTAGTAATAAAAAATAGAGTACAGGCTGATGAAAAATTGGTGCGTTAGTGCTGGTAACATTTGGATGTTGTAATTTGAGTTTGTTGTGTTTGCCGCCTTGCATAAGATCTCGTGGATTTCCATTAAAGTCAGTATATTGTTTGAAATGTCTGAGTTTATATTTTTTGGTGGTTTTACATTTAATACAGCTGAAAAAAATTATTACTCCTTGTCACAACAACACGCACTTACTAGAAGCCAAATTTTTGATGTGTTGTTCCCTTAGCGTGAGTTTAATTTTTTCCAATTGTTGTCCAACCATTTTAAATCTTTCATAAATCAGTATTGCTGTAAACCCATACTGACTGTTTAGAACGTACAAAATCGCCAAGGGAAATAAAAACATAGTCCACATAAATAGGGAAAGGGGCGGAAAATTTTCGATTCGAATGTTATAAATTTGCATGGACCCAATTATTACAATCATCAAGAATCCGGTGAAAAATATTATTAATTGGTACCAAACGGCTCTAGTGTATCGGAATTTTTGATTCAGTTTTGCCAACAATTCATCGACTTTATTCAGTTTGAGCACAACGTCTCTCACGTGGTCTCTCTTAGCAAAACTCATAAAATAAATCGTGTATAATATGATGATACCGAAAATAAACTCAAACGTTAATCCAAAGTTTGAGACTTTGTTACGTTTTTTGTAAAATTTTCCACCTACCACATTATTTGATCTCGTTACGATTGTCATAATGAAACAAATCGTGAAAATGATGAGAAACAATACTGTAATAAAATGCATTTTTTTCGAAGAACAGAGACTGTATTTTCCGGCATTTTTAATTGGAAACATGGGAAAAATGCCCAGACTTGTTGATAATATAAATGTGGGCAATAAACTTTCATAAAAGTGGTTTGGGGCTTGGAAAACCGCCATTTGTGATGAAAACTGGCTTTGATATGAAAAATCTTTTCTGATGTATGAGTCATTATTTTGATGATACCTTATTACAGTTGTTTCATGTTTCGTAATTGCAATAATTCAAATAATGTCAGAGATAATCTGAACAATGTTTGTAAACATTACAAATTCATGTCACACTTATTTTTGGAGCGCTTTGCATATGCAAATAATCCAAATTCACAACTAAATTTCTCTGGTTTTGCAAGACTTTTGCTTAACTTATTATCACGTATTTAAATTGGATTTTTTCGTATTTTGTTGAAAAAATGATTACCACCAATTAAACACGTGATTCATTTAACTTTCAGCAATTTACCAACCCTTTTTTACAAAGGATTGAAACCGAATTCCACAGGGCACTCGCTTTTGACGACAAAGAATGTCAAAAGCGTGCTAAAAAACTAATTCCATTGGATAGGCTTGAAAAAAATGCACAGAGAAATTTGCGTTATGTCCAAACCCGAATAAAAAATGGTAAGTGTTGGAGTTGCGAAGATACGTGCAATTTAATTTTCGATTAGAGAGAGTTCAAGACCCGGAATTTTCCATCCAGGATATGTTAGTCGTGGAATTGTTAAAATGGTTCAAAGAAGAGTTTTTTTCATGGGTCGATTCTCCCGATTGTGAGAGTTGTGGGGGAAACACCGTGATGTCACATATGAGTTCTGATAAAAGCGATTTAGTTTATACCAACAGAGTTGAAGTACTTTCTTCTTATTTTTATCATACATTATTTTTTATTTAAAATGATTTGAAGGTCTATAAATGTAAAACTTGCAACTCATTTACTAAGTTCCCCCGTTTCAACGATTTGAATATTTTGTTGGAAACCCGGAGAGGGAGGTGTGGAGAATGGGCTAATGTTTTTACTTTATTTTGTTGCTCTTTGGGGTGGGATGCTCGGTATGTTGTTGATGAATTGGACCACGTTTGGACTGAAGTTAGTAATTTTTCATAACAACTTACATAACTCACAAATTTATTTTTTTAGGTTTATTCAATTACGCAGAAACGATGGGTCCACTGTGACTGCTGCGAAAACGCATATGATACACCCCTAATGTACGAAACAGGGTGGAATAAGAAATTAACATACATTATAGCGTATTCTCCTGATGAAGTCCAGGATGTAACCTGGCGTTATTCTAGTAATCATAGAGAAGTTCTTGCACGAAGAAATAAATGTAGCGAAGACATACTTGTGAATGCATTAATTACGCTCAGAAATGAACGTCAGAAGTCATTTAGTACAACCAAACGGGATTACCTAACTAAGAGATTGGTTGCTGAGTTAATAGATTTGATGGTTGAGAGAAAACCGAATGATAATGAAAAGTTCGGCCGCATTTCGGGGTCAAAAGAATGGAGAAGTGCAAGAGGTGAAATAAAAAATGAGAATATGTATGTGTGGATTATTTCGAGTAAACATATCGTTAATAATAAAGTGACAATTAAATATTCCACCGCTTTAGATAAATACGAATTTGTGAAGGGAGATGATGGTGTTTTGATTGTAAATGAGTGGCAATATGGTGTTTATGACTTCAGTAATATGTTTAGGAAGGAAGAGAAAGATTGGAAAACTGTTTACTTAGCCAGAAATGGTGCAGTTTAAATCAATTTGTTGTTCCTATTATCATTTCGTGTTAATTTTTAGAAGGGACTGACCAAGGAAGTGTATCATGGAAATTTGAATTAGATAAAGGGGTTAGAAAATGTATAGATAATTTATCATTAAAATTCAATTATCAGCTATATGAAAATGGGGTAGTACAAGTACAATTAATTTCCGATAATAAGTGTGTGGATTTTCATAATAGTATTGCGTCAAATCGTGTTAAATTTATTTTTTTAACATATTTTCTTCCAGCTGAAGGGGTTGTGGAAACTCAGGCTTTTTCGGGAGTGAGGCATTTTACTATTAAGGCTACTTTAAGTGGAGGAAAGGGCAGTGTGGCCTGGCAGCATGCCCAGTTATTTCGTCAGTCCTGTGACAGTAAAGATTTTCCATTTGTTCTTTGTGTAACCTTTAAAAATGTTGAATAAATAAATATTTTAATATGATTTGTGGTTTTATTTTGAAAAAGGTAGTTTTTACCTGGTAAAAGGATATGTAAATTTAAAAGAATACTCTTTAGGTGATTCGAGTAATTTGAATTTTTTGACACCTTTTACACAGCAGAGCTTTTGACGTTTCTTTGTTGACACGTGCAGACATAACCTAACTCTAGTTGTTTTATAACTTTTTTAAACTTCTCCTGACTGTGAACGCACAAATTTTATTAAAAACTGTTTCTTTGGAAATCCATGTAAATCTTTAGTGCATAAAAAATGGTAAGTATTTTTCACATTAAAGTAAAATTGAACAAATGGTAATTTTGAGGTTATGTTTCCTAACCATCTATTTTTTACAATAATTTTAGCCTAAAACACGGAAATTTATTGATAAAAAGAAAGCTATTACCTTTCAACTAGTCCACAGGAGTCAGCAGGATCCTTTAATAGCAGATGAAAATGCCCCTCAGAGAGTCCTTGTTCCAATAGCTGAGAAGGAAAAACGTTTGGAGGAACAACACAAATATGGGATTTATTTCAACGACGACTGTAATTACTTAGAACATTTGAAAGACCCGAAAGATAATCAAGTAGAATGGCCAAACCACGTAGAAAAAGCTCTCGACGAGAGAAAGATCAAATTTGACCTACCTGCCACAGTTTTCGCCTCAAAACATGAGGAAAAAGAAGGAATGTTAAGCAAGGCTGCACCAATTTCAGGTTTCTATTGCATAATGTTAATTATGGTGGTGTAATTTTGTATTCTAGGGCCCCAGCTTCATTTGGATCCTGACTTAGTTGCTGCAATGGATGAAGATTTTGATTACTCAGATCCTGAGAATCAGTTAGAGGATAATTTTATTGAGTTAGCTGAAGGTGTTGCCTCTGATCAAGAATTTGACGATGAGTTTGAATTGGAATCAGATTTTGGCAGTGAGGAAAGAGATGAAGTTGGGTCATTGCCAGACTCTCAATTGTCTTTCAATGAAGAAGAAACAAAGTCAAGATTTACCAATTATTCAATGACAAGTTCTGTAATTAGGAGGAACGAGCAGCTTACTTTGCTTGATGACAAATTTGAACAGGTACTAATCGTGTTATGAAAGATTATGAAAATATTTTTTTCTACGTCTAGATGTATGCTGACTACGATGACAACGAGATTGGGGCTTTGGACTGTGAAGAAATTGAAGGCCATGTACCAGAGAGCTCTGACATACTTTTACAATATGCAGAAGAGTTTGAGCGAAGTCAACAAAAAGAGAAATTAGATAAAGAAGTCATAAAGGCGAAAATTGATGAAACTTTGATTAAAGACTCTGAAAGTGGAGATGAGATGGTGTATATGGAAGTACCAGAGAGGAAAAAGTGGGATTGTGAATCTATTTTAAGCACCTATTCTAATATCTACAACCACCCGAAATTGATCAAGGAACCATCTGTAAGTATGCGATAAATAAACCACTGAAAATACACCTTAAATATTATTAATATGTATTAAAAAAAGAAAAAAAAGAAAGGTTTATCATAACGTAAAAACCACTGATAGCAAATAAAATGATTAATACATAAGGAAGTTTAAGTCTAGAAAATATATTGTTATTGCTATGTTATGCAACTTATAATTAACACTTCAAATGTCTACTATGAAAATTGCAAAAGTAAAATCAGTCAGTAACAGGCAAATCAATAAGGATTTATGCCTTTTCTACTGTTACACAGCCTTCAAAAACATTATGTTTATAAAAAAACAATGGTTCAAGAAGGTTGCTGATAAAATGTTATTTTTTTCAAATTGTTGTGAAACTTCAATAGCTTTTCATCAATTATTCTCTTATCTTGGTTCCGTAATTCACACCTGATTGTGCAAATAAATATTTTTCTCATGCAAAATACTCGTATATGGCTACAACATAATAAATAACTTGCAAATGAGAATCGACCTATTTCACAGCACTTAAGAATCCTACATAATATTTAAAGTTGTTTTATTTCATTGCTGTAACAGTTTCCGTTTTCTCAAACGTGAGAAAATGAGATTAAATGGAGATCTCTACTTTGAATAAAAAAAACTGAAAATAGGACAAGGGAAAACAGGAAATTTTAATGCCGCTATTTAAATTTACTCAATTCATAGCCATGAATTTTTAAACGTTTTCGATTTTCTTTCAATGCAAAGTGCATTCAATCTAAAATTGTTTATTAGTGTTTATTATTAGGAATGGACGTTTTGCTTATTTATAATTACCAAACACAAATAAATCATTTCAGATGCGTCAGCTTTTTGGTAAATGATTTTTTAAATTAGTTTTTCTTTCATTTAAACTTTAATAACAATGAATGAGTAGTTAACTAATTATACACAGAAATTTGATAAGCCTACTCACATTTTTATTTTGTTGGTCAAAAGTCCGACCTGAGTCATACATTGTCTAATTTGAAAGTGTAATAATTTAAGAGTTAATTGTTAATTTGTTATGGTAAGAGAAATTTAAATCTAAATTTGAATTTTAAGAGAAAATAATGCAGCCATTATGATTGTCGATCACAAACTTTTCTATAGATTTTTACGCCAGGGATTTCGTTCATTATACCTCCCCATTGGAAACTTTTGAGAGCTTCTATATAAATCTATTATATCAGTCTCATTTACGTCGCTATTTATTATAACTTTATCAAAAGGGATTTGATAAAACAAGTGTGTTTTTTTCTTTTGTAGCTTATATAAATAGCAACTGACTGGTTAAGTCCTTTGTTTTTAATGTACAGATGTTCATGTAATAAATATTATCGTATTTACTGGTTTAGTCACATGAAATTAGGTAAAATAAGAAATTTCTTTGTTCGATCATCTGGTGAGGTTGTAGGTCACTGGATAATACAAGGAAGGGTCATCAAAAAGTGATTTGTATTTTGCGCACTTTTTGATCAATCCAATTACCGCTTCTTGCACAAGATTTTTTTATTTCCGTGTATTACTTTTATTTTGTAGCGATAGTGTAGTTTCTGTGTTTGGTAATTGTTTTGTTTACACATTGTTAATGCATAGAAATACCTAAAACATAATTTACATTTATATACTTTTAGAAGAACAAGAAAACGTGTATTGTTTTTGTTTTTGTTTTCAATGTATTGTTACAAAATTGTGTAACTTCTAAAAATACAGTTTTTATTATTTTTTAAGTCAGCAAAAGTTTAAAGAAATTACGCTTTAATGAAAAAGCTTTTTCTACAATTGAATTATTGTTCCAAGTGACATAAGTATTTAACCATTAATTAGGTGTCGACTATGACTAAAGTTAATTTTGGAACGTTTCTCAGCTTGCAAAATAGCTTATGGTTATCAGAAATATGTTGAGTGATGCCACGTTTAAAATTCCTATGCTAAATACATAAATTTTGTTAAATGGTGAAACTACAATCTTCGTTTAATTGCGTCTTTTTCAATTTTTGTGATAAATTGAATACAATAATGGAAACATTTGTATCACCAGATGTAATATTTTAGGAATATGAAGATTTGAAACAGAAAAATGATAACTTTATTGCGACGCAGTAGCTACAAAAAACATCTGAGTGTAATTAGAGTGAAGATAATGCCCGCTGTATTGTGCATTGTTACTTATTATCAACAGACCTAAATAATTATTATTTAACGGAGCAAAACAAGTCCGACTGTACTGATTATTCCTTAATCCGATATTTTTAAGCGCAAAACAATAGAACTCTGACCATACGTTATCTAATTTTGATCCAATATAGTTATTGATTAAATTTTTTTACCTTAAATGGCATTGTTTTTGTTGCAGAAGGAAAAAATCCAAATTAATAAGAAAACCGGCATTCCTATTAATATCTTAGGTTCGAATAAATTAACACAAAAGGCTTTAGATAAGCTGAATCAAGAGAATGAGTTTATTGAAAGTAGGGGCCCAAAATCAACAGGAGTGCAATCTGTTATTTCTCAATTGTCGACTCTCTCTGTGCGGCCAAGGGGCGAAACTCCTGAGGAGAGAAGAGACAGGAAGAAACTTTTGAAGGATTATAAAAGAGAGCGTCGATTGGAGAAAAAATCCAATACTATAGCATTCAAGGAAGAAGCGAAGAGACAAGTTAAAATAAACATTAATAACCGGAATAATATTCAAGCGAATAAAATTTTGTAATTTTTGTTGTAGTTATTACTAGAGATATTGTTTAAATAAAGTTTGAAGAATTGAATTGTTTTGTTATTACGGCCCGTGTGTTTGGCGCCGCCACTGGTTGTTGTAAATCCTGTCAGACAAAGAGGAGCTTGGAAATCTCGTCCGCTGCAATCCCAGACATACGCCCCTTTTGTTTGAACTCTTGAATTTAGTTTGGGATTAAAGTAAATAATTTGAAATTGGGATATTCATTTGCTTTTGAGTTTTATGCCCCGGGTCTTTTTTAATAAATTCAATAATCACGTGCTGTCGGTTGGCTCCCAGCTGTTCGACGTTTGTGTTTGCTATATTCGTAATCGGCCGAGATAAGAATAGACATGCGCACATAAGTCAGGTGCGTTCGTTTTTCGCGTGCGCTGGTACCCAGTATGTCTTAGCTGAACGAAATAAATGTGAACAAGGAACTTCGATTTAATATTGTCCAAGCTGTTGCATAGTATGGACGTTGTCGTAAAATGTGCAAAGAGTTTATACAACAAACGATACGCCGTCAGTATATTAGGACATTGCGATTTTATCAAATGATCAGTGGCTTTTGCTAGCGATTTTTCGTCTAGCCAACTTTGAGGTTCATTTTGTCGAATTTTGGAAAAATGTGGTGTCTCATCAGCCAGGCCAATTCGGTCGTTTTTGAAGTACGGGTTGACCCCAAAGCCATCGGCCAGGAATGTCTCGAAAAGGTAAGATTTTTATTTTTAGCGAAAAATAACTACAGTGATCTAACATGAATTTAAAAAAAAAATTGTATACTTTTCAAAAATGCATAACCCTGACATTGGGCAACTTGATCTTCAGTACTTAGCTAGATCATTGTTTAAAATACTGATAACTTTTGACTTCTTTCATTTCTCCTAATCAAAATCAATTCATCATGTAATGTTAAATAAAAAATCACTGATAATTATGCAATTTCTTGTCCTATTTTTAACGTAATGTATCCGTTATTTTTTATTTTGTACAAGATTTCTTGTGACAAAGTTAGGTTATAACATTTGCGGTCATTACACCTGTTTAGAATGTAATGATTTAAAAAATTTATGTTCTTTACAATTGTTTTTAATTTTAAACTAATTGAAGTACACATTTAATTAGTCGATTCAAGTAAACAATTTTTACAACAAATTTTCACGCAATCAACGTGTTTTGTAAAAGTTGAAAGTCCAATAAAAAGGTACCGTTCAAAGTCCAATGTCCAAAGACAGGTAGGTAATAATAATTTTAGGCGCGATATCAGTTCGTGTCACGTTTATAACTAGCTCACATTTTGTATATTGAATGTAGGATGTTATCGACTGTCGCTTTTATGGCAATTTTTTGTTTGTACCATCAGAAAAGGTCGCATTTTTACCTTTTGGACGTCGTTTTTGCATAAAACGAAATTAAAGGTTTCTACTCTTTTTTCATGTTTTTTGTGGCTATAAATATTATTAGGCGTTTTTACTATACAATTATTTACTTACCTGAATTAAGTACTTATTTCACAAAAACGGGAGCAAGGTAATCATTAATAAATAGAAAGGAAACTCAAAAAATGTGGTTTTATTTTTAAATGCTAATTAGGAGTGTACCTATTGAGATGCATTTCCTTATCTCTTTTTCAAATTTACCGCTATTGAACCACAAAAAATATATTAAAAATTCAATTTTTTAATGTGAATCAATAGTGAGGCAGTTCATAACTCAATCTTTTGTAGTATGTAATTATAGGTATTACTTTAATATACTGATATTGAAGAACAAGTGTGACTACATAAAAGACTGCCATGGTCGTTATCAGTAGTTGTGCTCACATTATTATCACATTATACTCAAAATCACCCATCATTTACTCGAATATTTAAAATGTGTGGTGAAAATGTTTAAAAATAGCAGAAAAACTGTGTCATCTCTTCGTTATCTCTGAATTTCTGATAATTGTTGGTACACTTCACAGTTTGATAAAACATGAGTTATAGTCGGATTTGACCAGAGTTGAACCGCTATCACATTTCTCTGGGTAAAAAACGCAATACATTTCCCGTGGATAATGCAAATTATCTGTGTTTTGATCTAATGCAAAAATTTAATTTAATTGTTCATAAATGTATATTTTCGAGTCCGATTTGTGTACAATGTAGCTGTAATCTATTGTTTATGGAAATTGAAACCAGGAACAAATAAACAATCTTCGATATTTAGTAAATACGATTATGTTTCAAAATAAACCATTAAACAAAGTGTCCGGAAATTGTTTTTGATCCGAAATATAAAATTCAAATTTTGAATCTAATTTTAGTTTTAATGATTATCTCTTCTCGTGACTAGGGAATATGAGCAAGATTCAATTCAAAAAGGGTACAATTATTTCTGTTCTGTCTAATTAAGTTTAAATTCCTGCAGGCGACTTTCTTTTGTGATTTTTCGCAATTAAGAGAATATTTATATTCGAATTATTTAAATGTGCGACCTTTTTACTATGTAGTAAACAGCGTGGAGTAGGTGTAGTGTTATATTTTATGTTGTTTACATTACATTATTTAACTAGCGACTCGATAAAAAATATTTGTTATCGATTTAAATTGTTGTTTTATACGTCGTAGAACATTTTTCATAGATAAAGGTGTCGAATTTGAGGTATTAGTTACTTTTCCTTATTTATTGATTTTCTAGTCTTTAATTTTAATTTTAGTAAAATTGGAGTTGAAAAATTAATCAGGTTTTGATTTGTAAGAATTTAATTCGGCGACTTCCCCGATTTTTTTCCATCATGTGAAACGGCGCATGATAAATTATGAAATAGAAATTGAACAGGAAAACCGTAATTAAATGAGGAAATTTTCCCCAAGCGCCCACAATCTTGTTGGCAGATAAATCTCGTCCACCGACGCGACAAGCTCCAGCGAATTGATTTGCAAAATCCGGGGTGACACAAGTCCGTTGATTAATTTTCCCAAAAACCAACACTGTTTGAAACGTTCATACAATGCATTCATGTAAATAGTGATCTTTATATAAGACTGCAGAGAGAATTTCACGTGTCATTGCCAACTGGTAGACTTTAAATATAATTTGGCTTTCGTTTTTGTTGGTACATTTGATGATTGGACGGAGAGCGAATTTTCAGCTAAATATTTAGGTATACAAAGTTGACGAAAGAAGGTCTTTTCAATTTAAATTCTAACGAGTAAAGAAGTCGAAACATTTTTCAGCGAGCGCTTTGAACAACTTGGGCTAATCTAATCATTAATCGGAATAAGAATGAGGAAGAGTTGCAGAAGTTAAATTAAATAAGTAAACAGTTTTATGATGTGTTTCCACTTTTTGAGAAAAAACTCGTGGTATTCAGCGAGCGTCCAATTCTATTTTATTTCGGAATATTTAATTTAATAGCTGAGTTGCACCAGAGAAATACACATTTCAAGCACGTAAAACTCTCATTATTAGTTCCGATGTTAGGTTTCTTTTGCTTGGGTTTACTGCCAGAGCTATTATTACGCGTTTCATGTTATTTCCTTTAGATCTTTGAAGATTTTAATCTTTTCTCTTAGACGCGATCTCATGTTCTTTCATATAAGATATTTTGCTTGATATTATGAAAAAACATTATTACTTTTTTGACATAAACCGGCAGGATTTCTTATTTTCTTTTTGCTCTGAAGTCCAAGAGGTCAACAAAGTCACGATAAAGATATCTGTGGACGAACACAATATTAAGGGAATACGCTATTTTTCTACTTTGCATCACCAATTTATGAGTTCCTAAAGCAGTGTTATTTTAGCTAAACTGTTTTTGATTATGAACGTCAATTGGAATAATTTCTGTGGAAGTAATAATTGAGGAAACGACTTTTGCCCGTCTCGTGTCTAATTTTTATTTTTGTTGATTAAAATGAGGAAAGAAGTTCGTTCTACATAAATTAAGTGAATTTGTCTGAAGGTCTAATTAATATAGAAACGTGTGTGACATTTTTTCAAAAGCAGCTAAAGTTAGAGAACTCATTTTAAGAAGGTTATTTTAATTTATGTTTAAAATCCCAATTTTGTGTATCATTTTTAGTTTATTTATGACTCTGTTTTCATTTTTTATCTAATTGTGGTTTAGCTTTGTAAAATTGTCGTTATCAGCGCACGACCTTTTGATGGTCTCGTTGTTTGTGACAAATGCACTTCCCAGCAACACACAGCCACAATACGGAAACGGAAATTTCATAAACCACACTCGAGTTGTCGACGGAATGATAAGCGCTCGAGTTGGAATTTGTTTATCTTTTGATGGACGAATTTCACAGTTTAAATCCATCTCCATGCACAAGTTAATTTAACATTTTATTACTGGATTCAGCCACTTGGCAGCATAGACATAGCAGCAAATAGAACACGCGTGCATGTCGTGATAATGGTAAAATTATTCACGAAACGTAGGAGGATAACCACACACTCACAGTTCCATCAAAGAAAATTGTTTTGTCTTTGTGATCCTTTTTCGGGATGGCTTTATAGACGGTTTCATGACTAATGAGGTTATTTCCTTAAAAAATTCTCGGTCGTTGTTGTCATTTATCTTGTTGTTTGGACGCGAAAAAGTATTTTTGTGAAAAGCTAGATATTCTGGAATCGCCGTCGTTTACAAAAACTTTTATCTTTCATTCAACAGTTGGCGGAAATTAAATTTCGGGTACCGATCAGATGAAGGGCATTTTTCGTTGACATTCTTATTAACAGTATGTCTTGTTCTTCTTGCTAATTTTAGAACACGCTAATGAAATAAGCAAATAGTCTAGATACAGGAGTAATGAATCATGTATTTGTTATGTACCTGCCCTTATTCTATTATTATCATTTTTAATTTAACAAAAGTTAGTGTTAAGTACGATCGTATTATGTTTTTCAACTTCTAACCAACCAAAAAATTTTGCAAAACCTTAAATCGAATTAAGAAAGTCATCGTTAATACACGAGTGAAAGTCTTTTTGATTTTTTCTCAGTTGCAAGACGATTGGTGTTTATTTTTGTATGGATGTTTAAAGAACTTTCTATTATTTAAAAACAAACAAACCGAGTTAAACAAAGAGTGATAATACTGTTATCTAAGGACTATAGACATTGACACAGTTTAGTTATTTTATTTTATTAAGCCCTGTAGATTGCATTATGTTTTAACATTTCCATTGATTAAGGAAAGTAAGGCTTCGAAGTTCAGTAAATTACTCAAAGCTGTAATTTAAATAAATTACACACAGCTCTCTGTAATTTTCTTAATTGTATTAAATAGCGTTTTGCTATATTTTTTCATTGCAACTTGTAATTTACCAATTGTCATTTCTCGGTATGAAACAGAAAATTAGAACAAATTACTGATGATTTATTTTAGTTTTTTAAAACGAATATCATATCAAAGCGGCGTTTTATTATCCTGAGGAGTTAGTAGCACATTGGCTTTTGATAAGAACAATTTTATTTACTACGTTTTTCTACGCATACTACAAATTTATCACCAAATGAACGGAAATTAATGTTATAATATGCGAATTTTACTGTTTCTACTGTTGTAATGAAGAGTCAGATTGTGTAGAAATTTATTCAGAATCAAAATTTGTGGAAAATCACCGAAGAATGTTAAGTTTTTCGTTTATTTAAAGAATTAGTTCATCATAATTTAACAAATTTGTTTAATTAAATTCCGCAACAATGCAGGCATTTGTAAAATTTGCCGCAAAATACATTTAAAGTTTGTAAATACAGACAGCCTTTATTTCAACACTACAAAATAGAGATGTGCATCACAAAAGATAATCACAACAGCAAACAGAGATCTGCAAAAACATTTTTCAGCTTGCTTGAATACACATGCAATAAAAAGAGAATTACATTTGATCCTCTTTTATATACAGTGTTTAAAAAGATTATTAAATAAACCTTTGTTGGTCTGTGTTTCTATTTTTGGATTTGTTTTGAAAAAAAATGTAATTGGCCTGACAGTCTAACAAAGGTGAACGTTTAGTTATCGATATGGAGGTATTTTATTGTAATATTCAGTAAAACGTTTATTTAAAAGAGAGTGCGTGCGGTAAATAACGTTTGCGAGGTAAACAGTCCAAAGTCCAAGTTGATCAGCGGTTCTCAACGTGTTCATGTAGCTCACACCTTACTCATATTTCAGCATTATCTCGTATATTTACTTTTGGAGGCTTTAACCTTGGATGGAATCCACATCGGTTCTACTTTAGCTATTTTCGGAAAGGTATAATAATTAAAAATAATTAAGGTCTTGAGTGTTTTTCTGTGGTCACCTTGTTTCCCGATTGATGCTAATTCTGGACTTTGCTTATCCATTCGTGGTCTACATAAAGTTGTTTCGGTAAAACCGGATTGTTTTATAGCTGCAGAAATGTTACAGCTAGATAGACTCCGGAGTCCAAAGTCCGATTTTACCTCGCATTCGCGGCATGCTCTCTCATTAAGTCGGCTGTCCGGTATAACTAGCCACGCTTATGATGTCACCAATTTATTATGGGATTGCCGTCCAATAAACGAGCGGACTTTGTACTCAAAGTTTCCTTGAAGTTTATATGGGAGGTGTGAGTAACGTCACGTCTTATCTGCACATTGTGCGACTTTCCAGGTAGATGCAGCTTGAAACTCGCGCTGTACCTAAATTATGCACTTTTGCCTGCAGCTCTTATCAGGGTTTTGTTTACTTCCTCGGTTCTTCAATGATTGGGTCTTGTCAAGTTAATAAGAGCAAGTTGCAAGGTTTCGAGAAACCTCATTATGGACTTGGAAGGCCAAAGGAAGCCCGGCGTGACTAAAGATTGGACTTTGTTCAGGCTAGAATGAATGCCAACATCGGAATCTCCCCTTTTACTCGATCAACGGTCCATAAGTAAAATTAGACTTAACGGCGTCAAAGTTCAAAAGTTATTTTTAATGAAACTTCATAAAGGGAGGCTTATTGGATTTTATTGAATCGGACTAGAGCGAAATCAATTACCACTTTGTGATGCACCATTGTCATCGTGATGATATTGGAAATAACAGGTTTTGTTACAGAGGACTAAAGGATGAAGAGTACGCATATCCTTTATCTGCCTTTCACTGATAATTTATGTATAGATTATAAATTTTTATAAATAATGCAGAGCGATATTTAGGCAAACATCTATTCATTAATGATACAGTAGTCAACATTAAAAATTGATGCTGATCGAGTCATCGACTTGGTATACATATAATCATAAAATGAGCTGATTTTGATTTAGTGATTTGTGTTTTAATGTTTCAGGACTTTATTGTAAATTTATACATAAACTCTGAAAAACTTCAAACTGTTAAATTAACTACTGTAAAACTTTAGCTCCAATTTGAAGGGAATTAAAGGTTTTTAAATATTTGGATGGTTTATTTTTAGGTTTTGTGAAATCAAAAATTTCAATAATCAATTTATAGGGATTAATAAAGTTTGAATATTTGATGAAATTCCGTTCAGCGAATTTTAGTAGTGTTCTATTATTCATATAGCAGATTAAAAGTTCCTGTTATATCAAATACTAACAACAAATATTGCCACAACTAATTAAATTTTTTAATGATGTTCGTTGATTAAAAATTCTGCTTTGTACTATTTATTTCATAAAATTCAATTTTGTTTTATTAGAGTTGTGGTTGTCACCAAAAATGTTGTAGATTATTACCTGCATCTCATCCTTATTTGAAACATCTGTTTATTTTTTAAAATCTTTATTTTTACTAAATAAAATTTACTATTTTCTATTATTTGTTTTATATCTACTCTTTCATATTTAACAATTGGTGGAAAAAAATAGTACATACAGGGTGTTTCACATCCTTTTATGAGGCCTGCGCCTGTAAGATGCAATCAATAATACATATTCCGATACGAACTCGATTACAAATTTTGAAAAATTGTATAATCGGCCCTAGTTTGTTCACTCTTTCAAAAATTACAACATTTTTAGTTAGATAGTGTTTAAGATAGATATACTAGAATCATATTCATGACTATTAATGACCCAGTGATTAGTTTGACAACCACTGTCATGGGTTTCCAAAAATTAAATAATTAAATGGGTATTTTTTGAATCTAATGTTTTGTGACTTTTGCATATTTATGTGCGTACATGAGGCGCAAGCCTCGTAAAATTGTCTGAAACTGTATTTAATTTTTCAATATACTGCAGGAATATTTTACATTTACGACAATGCTTTTTACAAAAAAAAATTATCTAATTTTCTACGTTTATCACACATTCTTATTTCTTTTGAAACTACTTTGTCTATTAGGAGTACTAGGAATTATCTATTTTGATTTATTTGAGATATTTATTACGAAAGCTATTGATTTGTCTATTGCCTCATTCTATATCTGTACTAATGTTTGGAAATATGTGGTTTATGCAGTAGGTGTAATTCCATTATGGAGGCATTATAAAACGACCGTGGATCATTATTACTTAAGATAGATACTAATTATTATTCTATTGAAAAACGTGACAGTCAACATGTGAGGTATTCAGTGACCCATTTATTGGACAATTTGTTACAGTGACCGACCTGATCTTTGTATCCGAACTCGAAATTTTCCAGTTTGCTTGCCAAATTCAATCTTTTTTGTTTATTTTTGTAAATGAGAAATATAGTCACATGTTTCCTGAATTTCTATCAATTTGGAAATAAACCCAAACTGAATCCTAGAAAAGTTTAAGTTTGTTCATATGTTTGTTATTATTTTGTTTAGGTGACTTTCGTATTAGAGTCAAAACAAAATATGAAACTGGTACTGTACGCATCGAATAAAAAATAAATAATAAATGAAGGAAATTGTGTGGACAAATATCAAGGATTTTTTGTTTAAATAAATTTGCACAATCGCTTTTATTCGAATTATAAAAATGAGTGTCTCGAGATTTAATTTGCATGAATTAGTAGGTAGAAACAAAGTTTGCTCGAGTCAAATGTTGCTTAATCCATCCATAATTATCATTCAGAGCATAAAATTATTTAAATTTTCGCATAGTTGGAGGCCGCAACAACCACAATACAAATTTTCATAATCAAATATCTGACGTTTTTTGTTTGTTTCAGGTGTGCGAATTCGTGAATGTGCGATACGAGTCTGATTACTTCGGATTGAAGTACGAAAACCACAAGGGAGAAGAATCCTGGTTAAATTTACGAAACCCCATTGATCGGCAAGTGACTTTTCACGGTCACACGTCCTATCTCCGCTTATCACTGCGAGTGAAATTCTGGGTTCCTCCTCACATTCTGCAACAAGAGAGTACTCGTCACCAGTTTTATCTCAATGCGAGGCTTCATTTGTTGGAAAAACGCTTAACAGCCCCGGATTGGGCGAGCATTTCAAGACTGATCGCTTTTATAGCACAAGCGGAGTGTGGCGATTTCAACGAACTTGATCCGCCTAGAAATATTTACAATTTAGCTACAACGATAGCTCCTCTGAATCAGTCGGAAAAATCCGGAGATTTGCTACAAAGGATCGTCCACGAGCACAAAAAATGCAAAGGGATGAAGAGCTCTTCGGCAGAGTATTGGTTTTTGAAGGAAGTGTCGGAGTTTGAGAATTTCGGAGAGGAGACTTTTACGGTGAAAAATCACCAGAACAATAACACGGTGTACGGGATTGGCCCTCACGGAATCACAATTTACAAAAAAGACGAAGAGAAGGAGTTGATTTCGTTTACTAACATAACGAGTGCTTCCTCGCATAAGCGCACTTTTAAACTAGAATATTTGACCATCGATAACGAAGTGGCTATTCTAAATATTAAACTAGATTCTAGTCATTTGGCTAGTAGCTTATATCGAGCTATTACAGAAAAACACGCTTTCTACAGCTGCGAAACGGTTCGCAGCGCCGTAACGGCTCAATTTATTCGAGATCTGAAAGGGACCATTGTTTCAATTTTCAACGAGGACTCGACTTTAGGCAAAAAGTACGTTTTCGATATTCGAAGGACCTGCAGAGAGGTATATGATAATGCAAGAAGAGCTTTGTATTTGGAAAACACTACTCAGGAAATAACTCGCTCGAATCTCGACCACAACGGCAACGCGGAAGAGTGCAAGGTAGAATTACAGTCAAAGCTTTCAAGTGAGCTTAGCTAATTATTGTTTTTTGCAGAATTCCCAAGAAAAATTGTCGAGATTTTTGGACGCTATGACTTGTAAGATCTGCATGGACAGTCAAATCGATGCGATTTTCCTTCCTTGTGGGCACGGGGTGGCTTGCACGGCCTGCGCTTCGCGGTGCGACCGGTGCCCTCTGTGTCGCTCCGATATCGCGCAAGCACAGAAGGTGTTTTTGCCTATCGAATTGCAACACCTGCTGGTGGCCCAGACGAATTAAGGCGAGGTGAAAGACTGCATTTTTACTTTAATGAGATCTCGAATAGTTTAGTTTGGAGTTTTTGTGGAAGTGAACAGAGTACACAAGTGACAATCGTATAATTTTTTGATCTTTTCTTGTGATGTTTTGTTAACCAAAATCTCATATTGAGGTTATATTGTACATTTCTAAGTATCTATCTACATACTATTTTTACTATGTAAAGTACGAAGGACCTAAAGTGTTGTATTTTATTAACTATTGACAATAGTCAGAAAATGCAAAACCTATCGAAAATGTAAATGACATGAAATATTAATAGTCATATTATCAATGCAAAATGTAAATTAGGTTTAGTTTCGATACTTGTTAATATAATAAAAATGTTATAATGCTAGTATTATAATGAGAAAATGTGTGATAAGAAATTTTTGTTTTGTGATAATTGCATTCATTTGGAAATTATAAGTTTACGTTTACCTACTATCAAATTTTATTAATCGATGTTAAAAGTACCTAAGTGTAGACGTGTATATGTCACATATTTACAAGTATTTTGTTATTAGTATTATAACGAGTATCTGTTAAATTTTTTGCTATTCACGTTTACGTCAACATGAAATTACAATATATTTATGTTGTTTTATTTCAAAAAACCTTAAACAGTATGATTGATAGAGCTCGTTCCAAATCTGATGGCGAACTGACGTTGTCAAAAATGACTGAATTTTGACACTAAACATATGTTTACTATTAAAAAAAATATTTTTCATAAGCGTCGTATGAAATAATATTTCAAAACTACTGTTATTGTTAAAAAAATTATAATAAATAGGTACTCATACATAAGATGAAGAATGATGAACAAATTATTAAATTCTTAACGCATGAAAAAAAATTTCAAAAATGATTTTCCTAACAATCCTTGTCTTCAAAATTTTTAGAGAAAAAAAAGTACGCCCATGTATTTTTTTATCTTAACCAAGTGGGCGCACTGCAAATGTCTTTTCTGTCACTGTCAGTTTGCCACCAGATATGGAATAATACTTAAAGATAATAGCAGGGTGTTTCTTTAATGAAATTATCAACGTATTTCAGATTTTTAAAGTTTTTCAGGACATTGTTTAACCTTTAACTGATTGAAAACTTGTTTAGGTTTAATGTTTACATCATTTTTTCTAAATGCAAAATTACAGATAATTTTATTAAAAGTAAATTAACAAAGATTTTTATATTTTTTTAATCAACAGAAAATGTTTAAAAAAGTTTGGAAATAAAATTTTAATTCATTTATAGTGTTTTCATAACACGAGTGTATCGCTGGTTGCATAATTGCAAACATGATATTTCTTTTTGAATTCTACTTACAAATTTAGTACCAAAATACTCCACAATTTCATACAGAAAAAACATTATGAAAAGTGACAGAATGGTCAATTGAAATGGCACGATGTTCAGGATGTTTTAGAACTCGCGCCCTGGAAAAAAAGACAAGTCAGGTAAGATACCAAGAACATGGAAAAAAATTGAACATTCTAGCCTTTATAATAATGCGAATAGACCATACATTAATCTTAAAGACAATGATTAATTAATTACTCAATTACTACCACAATATTTTAGTTAAGTTTGGATTTGGAAGCAATAACTTTTTGGTTTTCTTACTTGTTTTTTTTGATTGCATATTTTTCAAAGAATTTATGTAAATGATTAATGATTTACATGGAAAGCAATTTTTGATATGTTTTTGTAGTAAAACCATAAAAATTACTCAACAATGGCTACTAAAAATGCAAATATAAAGCAATTTGTTGTATAGTGTTTAAACAATAAATCCATTAAAGTATAACTAAAAAGTGATTGTTAATTTGAATAATATCGATGAAATATTGTTAACTATGTTAAACTATTAATAATTACGGAAGAATCAGGTATTTGAAGCATAATTAACTTTAAATATTTTATTATTTGAAGGTAAATGATTGTATTAACAGAAATTTTTCAAAAAGCCAATGTGGTATTTCAAATTTTGTAGGGTTTTTTCGTTCTACAAAATTTGGTGAGGTTGGCATTGCCGCAATGCATTGTTGGAAAAGTTTTCAAGATGGCCACCTCCTGTGAGGAAGTGCGAATATGAACGTTTAAAACGATGTTTCCCCTGTAAATTTAAGGTTTTTATGTGAACCCAAACCGGGATTGAAATTATTAGAATTAGACGTTGGTCTCGTGTATCAAAAGTGTGTAAATATGTGCATAATTAGAGTAAATAAGTGCAATGTAATTTAAGTGTATAGCATAGTCCAAAGATAAGGAACTCTCCAATGTTTTTGTGTACAAATTGACGAATTCATCGTAAAAATAACAAGAAAAAGCGGCTCGAGAAAGCCTCCAGAACCACGTAAGTCTGCAAAAAGTCCTGCAAAACACACCTAGTAATGCCGTCGTGCGTACATGGTGTATGGCGCAGCTATTTCGACACTTGATTTCGGTTTCTCTATTACACAAAATCTGCTTTTCGAAAGTCGATTTCGTAACGGCATTGTCACGGCAAAAGGGGCTATACTTTCGGCCATTCCAGCCTTAGAACCGGTCTTTTATCGAGCGTTTCCTCTAACAGCTGTTCGTCTGCCAGGCACGCAGTCGGCTTTCGACGCACTTTCCTGGGATTTAATTGCAAATATACCGGTACATATTTGACCCCGTTTTTTTCTATTTGGCTCGAAAATAATGTGTCTGATGCATTGTAATAGCTGCGTGCCGAAATGTTGACTCGACGAAAGTTTAACCCAGAAATTTGCCATTGAAAACCTCTGGGATCGTTTCAAATCCACTAAACCTAAACAAATACGAGCGATAAACGTTATTTAGATAACAAACTATTTAATGGAAATATTTTCCGATGTACTACCGAAATAGAAACGTCATTCGCCATGGAATAGACCAGCGTTTACTAAGGCCTCAAGGGCGTTTTTACTATTCTTGCAAAGAAATGTATCCACAGTTCAAAGGAGACGTGTTTATTAAATAAATATTAGAACTAACCACCGCTTTATTTATCCAATGATTTTCTACTAAAATAATTATTCAACGAGTGCTTTTAACTTGAGATCCAACTTTAGAAAATATAAACCAGAGAATCTCAAACCGGAAGTCCAATAACTTCAAACTGAAGTGTTTCAGTTTATTTTTGAAAGTTGTTTTATTTATACGATGATCATGCTTTTTACTTGATGAATAACGAAAAAAAAATAACAATTATTAATCTTCAGTAATTTAGTTTTTGTCAAGTTTACAAGTTTTCCATGATTTGATTTACATTTAACATCTTCTGTAAATCGCTACATCGTGATATAATTAAGGATAAAAAGCAATTATAACAAAGAACATGAAATGATTAAATTGAAAAACGAATCTAATTTTAATTAAATGCAGTCCAGAAATGATTATCTATAAAAAAAAAAACTTGACCCATCTAGTAAATATTTTTACTATAGATGTTTATTTTTCAAAATACATATAGTTACAAATCAGTTGAGAAATAATCCAAATGCCGAATATTGTAAAACAACCGTCACATTTTTTTTTATATGTTTGTAACTGAAATAGGCTTTGATTAATTTTTTACTTTAAGTTATAGGTCAAATAATCTATTATTGACAATGATTGGAATAAAATATAATTCAACCAATGTCTGTTTTTTTGGTTCAAGAAAAAACATTTAATTTGATGGTTGTCAGATTTAAAATTTTCCTAATTCGTTAGTGTCTCTTCGCCATTTGCTTGCAGGTCACAGTTCAGAATTGTTGATGTTTTATTGTTTGTATTACTGTTTACATAAACAAGAATGTGAATATGTACTTCTAAAAATTATTGCTTTTGAAGTAGATACTCGTACCATTGCCAAATATCGAAATTCTAACGATTATAATCATTCTTTTCGTTGATGGAAGTATGTTATTATTCATATTTATTTCTCGTTTTATTATTAATAATTACAAATTTTTGGTACTACTATACCTACTTAGTTGAAAGTTGAATAAAAAAAAATAACTCTATTATTATCAAACGATTGTGCAGTGTTTTTTATTCCTAAAATCCCATCGGAAAAGTTTTATATAAATTGAATCCTATTTCTATTTTTATATGGATTTAAAATAGCACAAAAATTTCTAGCTTTCATTGATTTATTATCGTCGAGAATAAAACATTTCCAGCTAAAATGAAGTATGTAACGTGCACGTCGAATTGTTACCATTTATTCCAGTCATGTGTTTCAATTGTCAAAATTTCTCACATAAAATAACTAAGTAAAACGCTGTTAACATCTATTGAATCAATAAGATATTTTGCACGAACGGTTGAATATTTTTTTATTTTACTGTTAGAATAGGCGATTGTTATAATTTGTTTGGTATTATACAAGTGCATTAGGATTTGTAACCTTGGAAAAGCCTAAATAATTAATTGATTAAAAGAAACTTGATTATTTGCGGATGAGATAACTTGCAATGAAATTTTGTTAAAATACGATTAATAAGTACCTTGTATAAAGTGTTAATAATAATTCTAATCTTCGGAAAATACTTCATAGAATAAAAATGCAAGTAAACACTTACTTTAACAATAAAAGGAAGAGAAAATAATGTTATCGAAAACTTATCTTTTAGTTAACAATTCTGTTAATAAATTTGTATTCAAACGATTGTACTTCTTGTGGCATCATTATAAAAATAGATGATGAAATTAAATCAATAATTAAAACTCTTCCTCTAAGATCGTAGGTTTAGATTCTGGATTTGATAGTTGGTACCGATTTGCATATTTTAGTTTCAATGTTTATTACACGATTAGCAAGCAGTGTGCTGGCAAACATTGGTTTATTTTTATCATTGCATGTGACAATTTAGATAAACTCTTATGTCACTTTTCACGATGTTTTTTTTGTATGAAAGAGGAACTTCTTGGCTCAAAATTTGTCAGTAGGGTTCAGTTGTAACAGATTCTTTTTTTTTTTAACGAAAACAAATGTTTCTGACCTATTTCACCTCAAAAAACGCAGTCGCGATGTTACCAGGGTGACGATGGCTATGGAACAGATAATATTTTTGTAATTTTTTTTATTTATCACTAAAAATGCTAAATAAAAGGAAAATTAAATGTTTAGTGTCACTTGAGATCAAGAACTCATTTTCATTGACGTAGACTAATGGGCACCGAAGTAAAAACCAACAAAATACTCGAAAAGTTTCTAAAAGATAAAAAGATTGATTTTGGTTGAAGTAAGATTTGAGGTGCTTGATTTGACGGTGATAATGCAATTATAAAAATTCTATAGAATTTTTGTCATTGATAAACAAGGAGATTATGAAGTATTAACGATTAGTTCACTTGTTTGTAAAATACTTTTTCTAACTATCGCTTAATAAAAAGATGGAGTTGTGGGTGTATCGTGTCATAGGCGCTGCACCCACTTGCTAAAATTAAAGTTTTTGATCTTTTCTCATCTAAAATTTATATGTAAATAACAGTTTTATCTATGAATAAAATATTCATTTTTTCGCGTACGTCAACATTCCGAATAAAGTGGCAGCTGGTTTTTAACATTTTGAGGATATTTTTAAAGAGGCGTACACTGATTTTCGTTCCAGTGCGAATTTTAAAAACAAACATATTGAATAAATACGATTTCTTTCAAAATAAATTTCTTAACGGCCAGAGGTGGAGTACTTACTTGTGCCAACCAATGAATTATTTTCATTTTCATCGATATACAGATTTTTTTGCCAATCTCGTGCTCATAATTTTAAATGTATATGATGATTAAGTCAATTATCGAGAGTTCACGGAGTGAACTATTAGCAGTTTTTTTTTCCTTTTTGATGATCAACCATATTGCGTATGTTTTGCATCTCCTATTGACCCCTTATTTTCTTTATGTAATAATAAGCAAAGGTCATTTTTTATTATTAATATCAGCCAACATGACTCTAAATCACACTAAAATTTGTATGAAAGGATTGTGGATGTTTTGTTTTATATTTCGTCAATGGTTGCATAATTTTTGTTGTGGTCTTTATTTAGGTAATTCGAAAAATAAAAAGATTTTTTTTTTGGTGTTTCAGGTTCCAAATGCAAACAATGGACAAAATCCAAGTGAAGAAAGAGCCTCCGCCCACAGATCATCAGTCGTTAAAAGCACCTTCTGACGTTTCCGAGATTTGTTTCGTCTGTGGTAACAAGCACCATTCTCAGACGTACTGGCTGAACGTACATCCTGTACCAAATAAGCCGAAAGAACCCCATTTTCCCTTTTTAAGTTCTCACGCACCCCCGACAGGATACGTCCCGAAAAGTGATATCGCCGTTCCTGCTTGCTACCTCTGTTACAATTTGCTTATAAAACAATGGGACGCTCATGAATTAACCGCTCGGCCTCATTCGGAAAGGCTTTATTGGTTGAAAAGAGTCGATAATGGGCCGTACACGGGGGCCGATATGGGCGTCCAGGGGGAATACGCTGCTCAAGTTATAGGTTTGAACAATGAAAATAGTACCGGAAGTAACGTTAGACCTCCGAGCAGAAGAGAGGATGTTAAAGTGGAAATTTCGCCGAGGCCTTCACAGGTAGTATATTTTAATAATGTAATTGTTCGTTGTTTTATCGATTTCTTAGAATTAATAATTCCGTCATTTAAGGTTATTTACTAACTGGTAAATGTTGATTTTCCACTAAATGCGGTTATTAAATGAAATGAATTGCTTTTTAAGGTGTCTATGTTAGTTTAATGTTACCACCTTATCTGGCTAAAACGGGATTCAGGTACTTATCATTGTAGTTATCTGAGCTATTTTTAAATCGCAATTACACTTTTCATTGATTATAATTATTATAGCACCGTAAAAATAAAAACGGTTATCTTTATCGTGGATTTGCTCTCGCAAATAAAATTTTTGGTTAAAAACAAATAATGCGCATAACAAAAGGTGTTATGTTTATTGTACTAGTTTGTTATTCGACAAATTAAAATATTGTTTTGTGGGATTTTTAAACCAGTTTGGTGTTGTGACTGCAATTTATTTATTTGTTTATTTAAAAAAAATTAAAAAGTGTGATTACGATCAATCTGTGCATCCAGTTTTTAAATTTTATTATTTTACTAATTATTTGCTCTAATTCTCGACTTCCTGTGATTATTTCAAATAAGCGTTCAATGTATACCTACGTGTACAATCAAATTTAACTTTAATGAGCGACAGGAAGCGACTAGTAATTTGTTAATAAGGTGACGACATATATTCGTAAAAATATAGCTTTCTTCAATATATCTATGTAGATATAATCTGTATATTATTTAATTTTTCTTTAACAGTAAATCAGAGAAATCAACACATTTATTATCTTTTTAAAGTTTTTTGCTTTTTTGTCATTTAAATAATCAATATTTAAATATTTGTTTGACTTCTAAAAGCAGAGAAAACCTGTTTATGGAGTATTGATTGTTTTAACTTTTTCTCTGTAAAGAGCATTGAATTTTCATGTACATATTTGCCCAGTAAAATGAAAATTTTTCCTATTTTACAATAAATTAATTTTATTTTATTTATTAACTAAGAGTGACCAATAGAAATTTTATGACATAATGGAAATGTTTTTTTTTTTCATAATTGTTAAACAAATTCTATACACATTGTTAAATTGTATCCAAAAAAAAAAATACATAATAAAACAAATATTTTTGTCGCACACTTTTATCCTTATTGATAACACACCATTTTGTCGTTACTTGATGTATAACAATCCAACTAGTTGTGATTTGATACTTTTGTGATTTGTCGCATTGCAAATCCAAGGAAGAAATTTAACTATGAATATGAAACTGTTTAGTGTTGAAATCAACACGTCTGCCGATTTGAACGTAATTCAGTTACCAACAGTTCTCTTCAATTCATTTTGCAACTGGTACGCTTTAATTGCTTATCCATCAGAAATTCATGTTTTACATCTAATGAAACAGAAAATATAAGTTATATTGTAGAATTATTGCCAATATAACACGAAATGCTGATTGCTTAAATGGATTAGTCATCAGGTGTTTGATTTGATGTAGTGTAGTTTTCTTCTTCCTAACAAGAATAACAGTGATAAAAATCACTAGTGCGTTTTTATGTTATGACTTGTTCTCTAGTCACATTAGTGAACACTTATTAGAATCGTGTGATGAGTGAGTTTGTATTCAATCGTTACTTTCCTGAATTGATTGTTTTTTCTAGTACCACATTTAATGCTCATCTGAAAGCAAATAATTGAAATCGGGACATATTCACACGCACTGTTGCCGAGGTAACACCATAGATTGAAACTGGGATGTATTTGATTCGTCCGTTTTAATTTCTTTGAAGTCTTTGTACAATGTTCAAAGCTTATTGTCAATTCACAGGGAACACGAAAATGACGAAATAAACGTCCTTCGTTAGGCAGATATTATTTCAATTAGCGCATATCGATATCAACACGGCAACTTTGGAAAAATCTAATTTAAAGCACTTTTAATTAATTTTGATCGATTATTAGATAAGTTAATGTTTATTATCTTGTCTGTTGGCGAAATTTTTCCAAACACTCAAATACAAAGGTGAAAACGATATTACTATTTGTGTTGTTCGTGGAATTTATTTCGAAAACACGAAAACAACTAAACATCTACAAATCAATCTAAAGTGGACGCGCTATTGATTATTATTGAAGTTACCTACATGGTTACATGGACAGATTTAATCATATCGAGTGAGGTTTTTGTTTTAGAAAACGCTTGTATAATATTAATATAATAAATAAACAGTTTAGTTTTAGATTTAGGTATTGTTGATGTTGGTCATTTTTGTACCATTCGTGTTTTGATATAGGTGATTGGCTGTGTCACCTGATGTATTGCAATTTTAACTTTTTCGATGCTAACTCGATGAGAAAACAGTAATGTTTGTATAGTTTTTTATGTAACGATTGTACATATTTTGTACCAGTGGAGGGATACTTTGTTTTGCATAGTGAATTATAGACAAATCGAAAAAAACAACTTTTTAAAATGTTAACGAACTTGTACAACTAATATTCCAAACATTATTTATTCAAAATTATTTTCATTGAAAATAAATGCGACGAAAAACATTTTGCATTTTTGATTGTTTTGTATTTAAAAGTTGGTAACACCTCGGCGCCTCCCACGAGACACCACTGCTTAGATCGATTATCGTTTAATTTACTCCGTATTGAAGTTTGAATGAAAACACTCAAGACGTGATTATTAGACAAGGGTTATGCCAGTGACAAAATCGATTTTAATCGGTTTTATGAAAAAAATATATACGTTGCCAGTTAGTGAGTTTGATTGTTGATTCCAGATCGTGAGCGAGAACCGTGAGCAGGCCGATATGATCCCTGAAGGTGCTCCTCTGGACTTGACACACAGCCAGCCTTCACTCCAGTCGCTTCCAGTATTCCACAACCAGAATTCGAACTCGTCGACCGGAACGGATATCCTCGACCTGAGTATGCCTGACAAGAACTCGACGACGGAAGTGTGTTACGTCTGCGGCGACGGTTTTCCGCGCGGCAGCCTCGAGACCATCGCCGCCAAGCAGCTGCCCGACTCTCCAGTGCAGCCGTTTTTCCCCAGTTTGATCGAGCACCCGCGCCCCAGCCGCTCGCGCCCTATCGACTCCGGCGGCCGGGTGCAGGCCTGCACCGAGTGCCAAAAACACCTCATCAAGCAGTGGCAGGCCTTTCAAGCCCAACGGGTGCCCCATTCCGAGCGGAACTACACGCTGAGGAAACGACAATCGTCGACTTTGGACACTACGACTTTTATATGTTATACTTGTGCCTTGGAATATCCTTCCAGTAGCATACGGTTGCTCTATTGTTGTCCGAATGCCGAAAAGGAAAAGTATTATCCGTTTATACAGACGCTGAAGGCGCCGCCGGGCGCCAGCCCCATAAGTCCGCAAGGGATGGTTCAAGTGTGTTATATCTGTTATAAGGCCATACCACAAAAACATCAGGTGTTTGGTGGTGATCCTAGTGCTATTGTTAATAATCATGTGTCGGTGACTGACGTGCAGTATCACAATAGTACTTCCTCGAGGCCAAGTACGGTTAAATCGCCTGCCAATAGTGCCGGTTCCGATATTAGATATAAGCCTTACGACATTAATCCTGCTATTATCACGAGTAAGAAGAAACAAGCCGCCTTGGAAAGTCGACAATTGATGAAGGTAAATAACCAACTTACATACAACTATACCAGAGATTCTGATATCTCAGGAGTTTTGAGATTTGCATCTAGGTGTTGGATGTATTATATTTACAAAAAAATGACCACGCATGCGTATCATGCGCTAAATTTTGTGCGCTTCATAGATAAATGTTTTTAAAAATTTATAATTCAAGTAACAGATTTTGGTATTGTGTGCTATTTTCTTAAAATTTATTTTTTTTTTGGGAAGAACACATTTGTAAACGCAAGAATAAAATTCTAGTCATAAGGTTAACAATAATTTCTTTGCCAAATAGTGGAGTTAATAATGAAAAAAAGTTTTTTGGCTAAACAAGTCTGCGGTTTACTTCTCAGATGATTTTAAATATTGTGTCTACTTTATGTCTGAAGCTACTCCTAATAAACAAGACTGATTATTATATCACATTTATTCAGTAAACATTAGATAAAATATAACATTGAAAAATCCACTTGTTTCTATTTAAAAAGTAATTACTTTCTTGTTATTGCATTGTTTAATGGTAAACGTAATACGGCACGTGCATTATAATTGCGCTGTCTTCAAGTCAAATCATTATTTTAGATGAATTTGACGAAAAAATCTAACAAAACATAAATTTCTTTCAAATAATCATCTGTGTTAAAATTTTATTTCGAAAATGAACAAAAATTTCATTTTGCACAACTTTCCACTTTAGAATCAATCAAGGTAAGTAAATATTTTATCACATAGAGCAGGAAACAGAAGTTCCTTTTTGTTTCAAGTTTGCGGAAGGAACTAATTTTGCTAATATCGATCGATCAATACTGTCCGACGTTAAAGTAAACAAAATTGTTTTTGTTGTTAAAGATGATTTGTTTGATAATAGCCATTTATTGACTTACACAAGATACACTTTCTTATATTATTAAAATTGCAACAAGATCACGTTGTAAAGGAAAAGTATGGTTATAAATAAATAATTTTTGGGTCGTCTGTTAAGGTCGTATGTAGGTCTAAGCTCAAAGTTCCGAGTCAGGTCTCGTTGATATTTTAATGACGTGTTGTGGCGAACTTCACAGTTAATTTATTAATTTTTGTTTCATAATCAGTAATTGTTGGCTTATTATTAAAATTGAGAACTGGAAATACGAATGTTGAAATTGACGATTTATTACTAAATGCTTGTTACACCTATCATTTCCACCAATCAGCGGTAGGTTTAAACTGATGTCATCTATGCATTCGAGATTTGGTAACCTTCAGTGGTGATGATTTGTTATGTAAACTTTATCAATATTGCCATGGTTGTATTAACCTATTAAATATTGCGACAAGTATTTTAGAAATTTGGCATTTTTTTTGTACGTGCCGGGCCACAGGTTATCAGTAGAGACATTACAAGACACATGGCAAGAATCACATTTCAAATAATGCATTTTGTACTGAAAGCAAAACCTTGCAAGTGCTGTATATGGACAAATAGGAAAAATATTAAAATAGCAGCAAAGTTTATAGCTGATGACGGATTTTGTTACACTGCAGCTTTATTTCTGCATCTAGTAAAGTGTACCAAATGTAGTAAAGATGTATTTTTGAACTTAACAATTTTATAAAACATTCTAATGAGATTTTGTAAATAATTAACATTTGCAATATTTTCACTAATGTTTGAAAACAATAAAATCAATGCTTGATGAAAATCAATATGAATTTACTATACTTTATATTATTATTTACCGAATTTGCGAGTTTTAAACAAAAAGAACTAATTGTATTACACAATTTATATATTTACAATATACAGGTGTTTTTTTAATATTACGAAAAACACTAATTTGTCAAATAAACAATAGTTCTATAAAGCTTTGTTGCGGATATACAGGCTGATAAGGTTTGCTCTTACTAGTGGCTTACGGACACGTCACTATATATTTTTATTTATTTTTTGAGTAGAAAATTATATGTCGTAAGAAAAAAATTGTAATTGATTACGTCAAAGACAGTTGTGTTCATTTTTGGACTTACTTGTTGTTAAGAACACAAAAATATATGTTGAAAAAATACATTTTGAAAAATGATGTTTCAGTTTCTGTAATTAAAAAAAATGTAGCACATTCTACAGGTCTGATAATTTTTCTTTTATTGTCGTTGATTTTCAATGTTCAACGTTGAATCCTTTTACAATAAAATTTCATCGTTCGATGACTCGACATATTTTTAATTCCAACCATTACATCGAAGGTCTACGTTTTTCTGTGTTCAGTAACTTTAAAAACGACAATTAGTTTTTTTTTTCATTTTGATTTCGAACGGAAAAAAATCAACCAAATGTGTAATTTTACAGGCGAGCATGGCTTCGAGAACCACCTCACCTGCCCCCGACGTCAATGGTCAACCGTTGACCCAGAGTTACAGATGCTACATTTGCGCAGGTCTTTTTCCTCGAACCCAAATGGAATGGTTGAGTACTTCGCCTGAGGGAATGAATTCACACGCTATGCATTTCCCTTGTCTTCGAAACGTCGCAAGGACTTCGGAAAATAGCTGTATGGACTCTCACGGACGAGTACTCAGCTGTACCAGATGTGTTAACCATTTGGCTCAACAGTGGGAAACGTACGAGAACGAAAGATTACCTCTGGAAAGACGGAGGTAATGTTTTTTGTTTTTGAGAGGTCAGATTTGTTAATTAGGAATACGTAATTGCAGGTATGAAATTCCAATACCTGATCCTTCGACGTCGAACGGCGATAGAGGGATTCCTACACCTCCAAGTACAAACAGTGAAAGGACAATAGCAAGTAATCCAGGAGGGAGCAGCATCTACTGTTTTCTTTGTGGATTACATTCGGAGTTTACTTTAGCTAGAGTGGTCTATGGTAGACCACAAGGTAATTATCTTGACCACTTCGGTGTGAGTTTTAAGTAAAAAATTTCAGGACGCAATGCTCCTTATTTTCCCTATCTTCTTCAACGTGTCAGTCCTCCAAACACTGAACAGTTGCGAGAAGATGGTTCAGCTCTAGTCTGTACATTCTGTTACCACAGTTTAGTGAGTCAATGGAGGAGATATGAAGCTCAAGGAGCCGCAGCTCCTCCTGCTGACAAACGTGAATACAACACTCACGATTACTGTTGTTACGTCTGCGGGATTACTACCTACAGAAAACGCGTGAGGGCGCTGTTAATCAAGGTACTATACTGACAAAAAATATTAATTTATATTTTACGTAGACTCGTTTCAGGATTTTCCGTTTCTCAGGTTTCATCCCCAACCTGAGCGTTCTTTATTGTTGGAAAACGGCGATTATGCTGTTGTTTGTTTGGATTGTTATGAAACATTAAGAACGCAAAGTTTAGAATATGAAAGGTGGGGGTTACCATTAGATAAACGTCAGTATAATTGGATAACGCAACCTCCGCCTCCTGAAGATAGTCCGGAAGCCACAATCGCAAGACTGCCGAGTGGACAACGAAGTGATAAAGTTGTAAGTAATTTCGAAAAAACGCACCTTTTATATTTCCATTTTGCGCGGTTTCTCAGGTCCCTCCGACTTTTTTGGCTAAACCGACAAAGAAAAATTGTTCACCGAAATTGGTGGAGAGGAAGTCTGGAACGAAATCGGAACCTGCAGGTGAGTCACGTGTTTTTTATTAGATAAAACCATAGTGGTGACATAATTGCTTTATTTATTTTATAAGAATCATTACAAGAAAGTGAACTCTGTAAATGAAATATCATTTCAAGTACACACTTTTGGATAATTGAATTTTTCTGAGACAACAATCCTCACTTAGTGTTTTTTTTTTTTTTTGTTAATCATTTACGGGTTGGTTCTTTTTTAGACATTTATTTAGTTGCCGTTTATAATAAGTGTAGCTAATTAGATTTGAGTTTTAATCCTAATAAGAAAAATTAATACTATCATTTTTTATTGGCGGTTGCACTTTTTATTTCCCATGTATATAAAAAGAGACGTATTCAAGATAACCAAAAAACTAAATATTTAGTTTTTTAATTCAATTAATACTTATTACAGGGACTTTACCAAATATATTTGGTTAAAACATTTTTTTGCACATTTGAGTGTATTTGTGGACACTAAAGTGCTAATTTATTGTACGATTTTTGTCAGTTTACTTTATTTATAATTGTAATTTATAATATAATGTGTGGTTTGATCTTACTTTTCACTTTCGTGAAATTTGCTCTATTTTGTGATTAACTGATTCCTAAATTTAAAATACTAGTGTTGTAGTTTTATCAATTTTGTATTTAAAAAAAAGTGGATATAGTGAATTAATTATTCTGCATTTATCGGATTTAACCGACTCATTTAATTGCACATTTAATGGCCAATATTTAGTTATTGATCTTCAGCTTAATTGTTTTTGTTTAAATTTAATTTAATGCATGTGCCGCGTATTGGTTTATTTCGTATAACTTACATTAAAAAACATTTATAATCAAGTTTGCAACAATCGGTTGTGGGTTGTTTGATACAAATTAATAAGAAAATTATTATATTGTTCGGTTAAATTAATAACAGATTGCAAATTGTTGTTAGAACGCATTTTTGTTAATCGAATATAAAAATTCGAATTACCAGCAAGGTATGTTTCGGATGAATACATAACAATTAAGTAAAGATTGATTTTTATGGACTACGAGAAATCTCTTTTTGCTCATGTTTAAAAAAGAAGATTTTGCGGTTTCTACTGAATTAAAAGCATGGCAAATTTTGATTAAAACCACAACTTTGAGAATTTTAATCAAGGGTAATTAATGAATTGAATTCACAAAGGTGATGTTATATTTAAATGACGAAAGTTTGAGTTCTTTGTTAAAATATTAATTAAGACATTTATAAAGCGACTGTAATTAATAAGAGCAGAGTATAGACGTATTGACGTAAAATTTTCAAAGCTAATTAATAAAATATAATAATGTAAAATATACTAAACTGATTTAGCTACTTTTAGCAGCAGTTTTTTTGAAACAAAGTATTAATTAATTTTTATTGTTTTCATGTTACAAGTGCATAATGGCAAAGCAATTACTCTTATATGTATAAGTCAGATGATCGTTTTTAAACAATATATTTTTATAGAAGGCAGTCTAGGTTTTTCATGAATAGATTAAATTCATCGTTTAGGTTTTTTATCTTCAGTATTTTAGTATTGATGTATGAGAATGATAATCAATTTGTTGTGTTTTTGTATGTATTTTCAAAATTAATATGTGCTCGTCTGAAGAAATTTTAACTAACAGCAAAGTTTTGTATGAATTTTAGATGGCAGGCGGCAAATAGTTATACAACTTCAATGTCTAGTATTTTCTGAGTACTTGGAAGTTGGTTGTTATGTTTTGATGGATCCCATTATGCAGAAATATTCATTAACATTGAATGTCTATTTGAGTTTTTGTTATGAATGTACCAAATTATTGAAAACTTATTTAAGACAATGCTTTTTACATTTGCGATTAATTTCATGAAATGTGATTAATTCAAAGCAAGAATAAATTAAAAGTAAAATAGTTACAAATACAAAAAAATAATTTAATTTAATTTAATTAAGTAATTAAAAATGGGAACAAATTAAATGCACAGTATGTTATTTAAACGTCAAGTATTTTTGATCAGTAAAAATAATAAATGCACATTGAAGGCAATGAATCAATGACCAGTAAAACTAATTCATTTAATATTCACACATTTAATTTTCAAACAAAATGTTTCAGCCCTTGCTAAAATCATCCTTGCGCAGGGGCCCTTGCTAGTACATATACCACCAAGTATAATAAATATTCAGTAATACAAAAATAAGTTCCAATAATAGATAACATTCTTGCGCAAAGGCCAAGACTGAAAATTCCTTAAATTTTATGTTATTTTACTAATTTTGATTAAAGTTACTGAACGTCTGTTATTTTTACTATACTGTGCGTGCTTTATTTGACATTTATTATTTTTACTGTGCAAAAATTAATTAAATACTGATCATTTATCGTTTTATACTGATGAAAATTGAATTATTTACTGATCGCTTTCTTACTACCCATTAAAAATTTAATTTTTGCTTGTTCTTAAAATATTTAGTGTAATTGGTATGTATTTATTTGAAGGAAAAGTTTTTTTTTATACAAACTAAAAAACTGCTGATGTAGCAAATATACTATTAAACAAAAGTTAAGGAAGTCCCATTATTTTTACTACAAAGAAATTTTATTCTTCTAAGCATTGTGGAATCCAGAAAAAAACAAAAAAGCAAAAAGACATCTGTCTTTATCTCACTTTTAATTAAATACTAATTTATTTTTTAATAATTTATTAATTTAATTAATTATTGTAATTATTGTACACTAGTTTAACTTTTGTGGAGTAGTTTATTTGTCGAAAATAGTGGGTTTCGGATTTTAATCACCATGTAGACTTCTTTTTTCGTCCGTAAAAACTGTAATTTAGGGTAAAGTACTCAAAATAACTATTTTACGTACTATTTTATTGACTCCAAAAAAAATAGCTATTTTCGAGAGCGTATTCAAAAAAAAAATTATTAGACGAAGAAATTCATTCTTTAAATTAAGGGAGCTAACAGATATGACTGAAAATTACTTTATGGAGTTTTAAAACATTAACTTAAAAAACAAGAACAAACCATATTAAATTAATTTTCTTATTAATTTAATTATTTTTTTAACAATACTGAACAATGTGTTTTATTTTGATCATTTTTACCGAAAGAAAATGGTTACTTATGTTGATTAACTATTTGCACTTTTTCAACTACATACATACCATGTGTTTTCCTAAGTGCTTTTGTGCTTTTTTTATTTTTAGTTTATAAAAGCAGAAAGAAAGACGATTTTGATAATACCTACAAATATTGTCGGAGATATGAGCGTTGAAATTAGCTTCACTAATATTTTTCTCCTTTCTTGTCGTTTTCTTCCGGAATAAGTTTGCTTTCATTCCAATCTTTCACTCCCTAATCCTCATCCGCACCGAATTTTCCTAAGAATTCGTTGGAGATTTTTTTCCTTTCTCATCGTGCATAAAAATCATCCACCGCTAAATCGGTCCAATTTTCCGTTGCATTGTGAAAATTGTGGATAATCTTCCTTAGCCGCCAACCCAACAGGAAGTAAATAAAGACGTCGCGTTAACAGATCGACGGACGGAACACATGCGCCGCTTCGTCAAGGGTTGTGCGGGGCGTGGAGGGGTCACAAAGACTAGGGGCTTCCGCCACCGCCACTTCCACCCCCAGTCTGCTCTTGCCGGCGGGTTGAAATCAAGTATCGCAGACTAGTAGGGGTCGCGCTTGTCAATAAACGCCTTTTTGCGGTATCACACGCCCAAAAATATCGCGCTAGAAATACTTCTCTCTCGCTCGCTCTCTCCATTATTTTGTTATTGTTGTCGCCGTTGTGACGTCATCGCAGTTTTGTTATTGTTTTAAAAATTGGAATATCGGTGAAGGATGACCGAGGACGGCGTGAACAACGAATTGATAATTGAGGGGTGGTGGAATTTTTTAAGTGAGGGTGATGACGTGATTTAGATAGGGTGCGATTTTTCCGGGTTTTATGTAAAATAGGTGCAAGACTTGCTCTCAGTTGTTAAAAATGGATTTTAAACATTCGCACTATCTCCCTAATTTACAACATCCGCACCCGTATTATTACACGGATGTGGGAGGTAAGATTGCTTTAGGGACCGATCCTGCATTTAATTATCTCTGAAATATGGGATAAACAGGAATTAATTAAGAATCTTGATTTTTGGCTTTGTCTTTGGCAATTTTTATTTTTTCCTGGACTATTTTCTTCAGATTGGATACCGAAAGCACCCTATTCATAAAACCATCAAACACACGATATTAAATATTCATTGGTTTCTGTGTTGCTTTGCTTTCTGGTTATATTCTGCTACTCTCATAGGGACGGTTTCTGCTCGGTCGAGTGCCGGAGTTGATCGGTGCGGAAATAACGGCGTTCCCCTTTAGAAGATAACAACTTTGAAGAATTAATGTTAACGATTTTTTTTTACTTTTCACTTTCGATTTCATTTTTCCTATTGCGGTATTTCGTTAATTGCGATTATAAATTGGCTTTTATAATAGGGAACGATTGTACTCGTATTTTATGGGGATCAGTTCAAATGTCGAGGTCTGAAGGGTCTCGATAGTGCTTCGCAAGGTCACGGGGTTCATTTTTCTTCAGATATACGTTCACACGTTGTAAGCGAGAGGTTATCAATTATTTCCCATTGGAATAATTTCAGATTATTACGTCTCATCGCGTTTTATCCAATGTTTGTAAATATTTTTAATAAATGATGAGATATGTAGTTCGATCAAAGTAACAAAATGAGAATTACCCATTGAATAATATTTCCGGGCTAAATATTTGTTACATATTATACATTATTACTTGTCAGATTAATGAGTCATTATATTCAATATGAAAAAATGGAAAGATGTGTTACTAAAAATTGACATCTTTTATAAACGATTTTGCAGATTTTATTTTGATGCTAATATAATATTACCTTATTTATGTAGTATAAAAAAATGCATATTTAGTTTTCTGTTTGAATATTTTAGCAAATCAGCAGAATTATTTGTCATTTCTACCATACTCTAATTATAAAACTTGTTCGTTTATCGATATAATCTTCAAAACTCAAATTTACCAGATTGTGAAAATCTAGGACACAAATCATTGATTTCACTACTAAGTAGAGGAGGTTACCAAAGAGAGTTAAAATTTAGTTTAATATTTTTTTTCACCAAATAATGTCTTGAAATTTAATATGTTAAAGGTTTTCAACTGCAAATTATTTAAATTTTAAAAATTGGAAACAGTTATGTACTTGAATTATGTTTTTTTATTAACCGTAAAAAAAGTCAAAATTTAGTTACATTTAAATATTAACACAATGATTAATTTAACATTTTGCAATATGTATTTATAAAGAAAATTTAATCTTAATTTAATTATCAATTATTTTTAATTGGTCTTGTTTAAACTAGAAAAACAAATAATTTTTTTCTAATATTCAAGAAAAAACGTGTTTGTATCTTGGATTTGAGAATGAGAAGACAGGAATTTCAATCATGTATTTTCTAATAATCTATAATTACTTCTTTAATAACTAATGAATCACAAGTGCGTTATGTTGTATTTTTTGTTGTAGTACCCAACAGTCCCAAAATTGTGGCTTCTACAAATGGCAACACTAAACCACGGGTTACCACCGGCCATGCAGTCCCAGGTCCCGGCCCCGGGACTCAGTCTCAAAGCTCGCATTCTTTCGCGGCGGCATTACGTAACTTAGCTCAACAATCAGTCCCTGGTAGCGAACATTCATCAACCACACCATCAACCCAAGAGCCATTACGCCGAGAATCAGGTGAGTCAACTAAAATTTCCATTAATGTTTCCATTAACAGTGACTCTTTGTACTTAAAGCCAGCGTCCCAGTTACGGAGAAGCCAAAAGTCACCACTGAATTACCTTTGTACGCAACGTCATCTATACGACCACCCGAAACTCGAATGTCGGTAGGAAATTCAAGCGATAGATATCCACAGGCTTGTTTAACCGATTTAGGACGAAGCGGTTTTCAACCGTATCGTCCTGAAGAAAGGATTCCGCCGGTTCCTATAGGATTAGACGTACCAGGATATCCACCATATCCGTATCAATCGCTTCCGATAATAGACGAACAGCTTTATTATGATCGAATGGGGTTGTTGAGGCCACCGTGGACGCCTTTAGGGGCGGCGTATTTGCCGTATATGATTCCGGGGGCGTCCATGCCGATGTATCTACATGAAAGGTCAGCAAATCATACGTTTTGTTATGTATTTTTTTTTCTGTATCTTTGGAGCCGTTTATCCGGATAAGTAGACAGTTTCGTGTGTTTGTAGACTCGTGTGGTCTCTACTTTCAATTGAAATTACTCTTACGTCAACCATTCGGTTAGATCTTTTCAAAGATATAGTGAAATAAAAAAAAAGAAATTTAAACTTGTGTATTCTGTATAAAATACAGCAACAGTAAATGCAACAAAACACTGGGACGCGTGGACGTTTGCTTTTAGGTTAAAGATGGAAGAGGAGCACCGGCGGTTGGCGGCGGCCCGCAAGGATGAGCACAGCGAACGCGAGTTGTTAGAACAGCGTGAGCTTTTGCAGCAGCAGCGAGAACGCGAGCAGCGAGAGAAAGAGAGGGCTCAACGTGACCGTGAGAAAGCTCAACAAGCTCGGATATCCCCTCACATGACTCCGTCTCATCTCTCGGCGCAATCCCCGATGATGCTTCCGATGTTACATTCCGGTCCAATGTTACCATCGACTCCTCTCAGCCTGACTTCGACAACCCGTCAATCGCCCCTCAGTGCTGGTTTTCTAACTCCTAGTTCTCTGTCGCACAATTATTCCGTTCCGCGTTCGAGTCCATCGCTACAACGACATTCTCCTCATACGAATCTACATTCTGGCTCCGGTTATGGGACGCTCAATTTGAGTCAGCAGAGACAATCACCGATCATTCAGCCGTCGGGGCCTCTGATTAATAATGCGAGTTTAGGACAGTTATCTAGTCAAGCACCGAAACCACCGACACCCAAGTCGAGTACAGTGCCTAAGATTAGTGTGGCGTCGTCGACGATTACGAGTACGAGTGTGGTTAATTCGAATTCGGCGAGTGATGTGACCAAAACTGTCGATGATCGGCCGACTGCTTCAAGCGCAGGTGAGGGGATTCGCGACAAAGGAGAAAATGCCTGATCTATGCTTGTGGTTTGTGAACTGTTCTAGTCTCACCCCCAAGATTATTTATTTTTCGGTAATTCGTGGTTTTTATTGGGTTTATTGCATTTTATTTATTGTTTTATCCAGTAACGCTTTAACAAAAACCTTTTTCGGATATTGTTTCAACAGATGCATCACGCTTCAAATTAAATTACTGTGAAAAACATTGCTGTGTTCATATGTTTTTGAATTGAACCTTGCAGAATTTTTTAGCTTTTATATCATAAATGTTTTTATTATGGAAATGATTATAGCAATTCTATCTTGTAAAATCTCTAGAATCGATAATAAATAATTTAAATTATATTAGATGTGACTTTATTCAGTTTTTGTTCTGTTGAAGATAATATCTGAATTTTTCAAATACTGATTGTACTGGATAATTTAAAGTAAGCGAGGACTGTAATATAATATAAATCATTCCATGAATAGTTTTGTTTAAACTTTTTACAAATTGTTAAAAAAATGAGGTGTTATTTTGTCAAAAGTGGAAAAAGTTAAGTCTGAAAATGTACGTTGGGACAAAAATTAGGTGTTGGGGGGGACTTCAATGTTGTGTATTTATTGGACGGTCTAACTTCTTTAGATTTCTATTTTGTTATTTGTTATTTTACGATTGTTTATATAATAGTCGTGATACTCGTACTATTCGCTGATCAACAAACTAATTCGGATTTTTGGGATTTAATGATTTCCGAAACATAAGTAAAAGTATAGGATGTTGCAACATACACATAACAGTTCCTGTTTATCAAATTAAATACTGCGTTTTAAGTTTTTTATGTAACAATTGCATTTCGTTTTTTAATTAGTAAACACTGACGGAAAGAAATTGGTATTTGAGTTAAACCGACAAAATCATGATTACTACCATTAGAAAAATACCAATTATACAAATGTAATTATTGTGATAAACTAGCTTCAGACCCCCGATTTTTAGTTGTTTTCTTTTTTAATGCCATTTATTCATGAAATACAACGAAATTGGGAAACTGACTATAGAGAATGCTACATAACGCTAAAGATGTTACATATCCAATAGGATTCCGTTTTTGTTTTATCGACTTTAGGTTTAGATTCCAACATATAGATTTTGTATATTAAAGTCGCCGCTTATCTACCTGTTACTAAGTAAACTTTTACTGTGTCTTGCTTTACCGTTTGTTTAAATTTAAACAGTTTAACTTCGTGACGGTAAACCTATTTACACAACGATCAAAGATTTGGTGGTTCACACTTCCGCCCAAATGCATTCTGTTTCGCTGTGTCAATAAACTTCAATATTTACTCTCCATCGGACCACCTAATAATTTTGATCATTGTGTACCATCAACCACCAACATTAACCTTTCAATAATAATTTTATTACGCTTGTAATCTATTGCACCACTTAGTACTAACTGCCGGTAGTAAAAATGGTGCAAACGTCGTAACAGCTTTATTGTTATTCAAAGGTGATGGAAAAGATTGTTCATTTGTTTTGTTTCATTTGCGTTGTATTGGCATATTTTGTTGTCTTTGTTTCAGCCAGGAAGCCTACCATAGCACCGAATCCGCTTTATCAACTTAATACACAAGCAGAACTTCAAAATGTCCCCCTACCGAGTAGCAACAAAATTATTTTAAAATCGAACGGTCAAGAATCGCAAAAATGTAAACCATCTCCGTACAACATTGACTATATCGTAAAGGATTTGGCCACGCCGAAACAACCCAAGGAACAATCTGAATCTCTGCCGAAGAATGGTGCTAAAATCAAAAACGAAAGTATGGAAGTTGTCGCGCAAAAAGAAGAGAAAAAACCGAAGGAAGAAGGCCGATTTTTCGACAGCGTATATTCAGATATGAGTTCCGAGGTGAAACACCCTAGCACGCCGGTGAACAATGTCAGTCAGCAGACCCATAGTCCGCAACTGCCGGTGCCATCCCCTAACTTACCGATTGAACCGAAAGAATGCCATAAACAGGTCCTACCAAATACTTTTGTTCCTACCATAAATAATAATTATATAAGCGCACCTCATAGTACTAGTCAGAATGAATTACGTAAGACAGACTGTTTCGAGACACATTCCACGGACTTGCCGCCGGAAAAGGCGAACAATTCCGCTAAAAACGCGCCACCGTTGACGTTAAAACCAATCAATAAACTGTGCAACACCACTGACGGTGTCGAAAACGCCACCTACCAGAAACCGACGAGCGAAAGCTCATCTTTCACCGTACTTAACATACCGAATTTGAATTTCCAAGCGCCGCCGATAAAGCGACAAAAATTGAGCAAAATCGACGTCGCGACGTTAAGGAGGAAAATCAGACGACAGAAGCGCCTAATCAAGCCCAAAGAACCGAAGATAATCAACGATAACAATACGAAAGTAACCGTAGATTTCGGAGTGTCCGTTTTCGGCTATTCGGAGAATTCCAGTTCCAGTTCATTGTCCAGCTCGGAGGGTGAGAGCGAGGGGCCGGAGGTCGATTTGTGGATTAAATCGGGACCGCCGTGCAAACTCGATCTGAGACCCGAGAAAGTCAGATTCTTGGAGATATTTGGACTCACGACACATACAAAAAAGAATTGTAAGACATTTTTGTTAATAGAGCAAGAGCCCGCGGTCGCCAGACCTTCGTCATTTTTATAAAAGTTGAAAATTTGTCAGCGCATACTACCAACACAGGTAGGAACGATGGGCAAGAATGAAGTTTGGGTCTTCGTGGTTTTGGGAGATAACAGGTAGCAAAGAAGTAAAAAATACCAACTTTAATTTATCGAATAAAAAAGCGTAATTTTTTTATATTTTCTTCAGAATATTATTAGAAATCACCTCATCCATTGCCAGACAATTAATATCGTGGCAACTCCTTGTTAGACACCCTTAAACTTTAATAAATTGTAACTGTACTTACGTTATAATGTAAAAGCTGAATTTTAGACATGAAGAAGATGTTTTCTCAGTAGCCAGACAGTTTTGACAGTTCTAACCCCCGGCCAGACAAAGATATAGGGTAGCTGTAGGCCTCCCATGATGATACTTTGTCAAAACTGAGTCAAATATATTTTATAAACTGCACTTAGAACTGTCGAAACTGTTAAAATTCAGCTTTTTTACTATAACGTAAGTACAGTTACAATTTATTAAAGTTTAAGGATGTCTGACAAAGGGTGGCCACGATATTAAGTGTCTGGCAATGGATGAGGGGACTTCTAATATTATTCCGAAGAAAATATAAAGAAATTACGCTTTTTTATTTGATAAATTTAAGTTAGTATTTTTTACTTCTTTGCTACCTGTTATCTCCCAAAGCCACGATGACCCAAACTTCATACTTGCCCATCATTTCTACCTGTGTTGGTAGTATGCGCTGACAAATTTTCAACTTTTATAAAATGACGAAGGTCTGGCGACCGCAGGCTCTTAGACTATAAATACATAAAGCACATAAACAAAGTTGGCAAATGAAAAAAGTGTATTTCATAAAAAATGTTTCCTTTTAAAAAAGTGGTACAATATTAAGCTGTTCCAAAAAATCTAACGGTCTAGATTAAAAAAATCGTCAACAGTTCTCCTCCCCCATTTTTTTTAAACAATTTTTCTAACTTACTCAAGTACAGTTTTGTGGAAAAGTATTTGTTGCACACTTTTCTCCTGAAGTTTCTTAATTTAAATCATTTAAATTATTAATAATTTTATTTATTTAATTATAATACGCCAACAAATTGCACATCCATTAAATTAATACAAAAACAGTGTTTATTGTTTTGCATTCTTTACATTTTTTGGTGTCTTCTCAGATGTTGAACTGGAAAAGTTGGAAAGACGAAAATGGCAGCCGACTTGGAACATTGCCGTCGAAGATAACGATCGTGTCGTTCCGTTAAATTTACCAGTGCCTTTGCAGTCACCCTCTGTCTTAAACACTTTGCCGGATTTTCGAATGAAAAACAATTTTTTGCAGCTTTTGGGACTGCGAAACGTTCCTGTCCAAATGAGGCAAGGTTGGTAATTGGCCTTTGTTTGGTAAACTTTTTGCTAATTTTTTTTTCTGCGATGTCTAGAGTTGGAAAAGACATGGATCAAAATCGTTGAAGAACGAATACGAAGGAACTGCGAATCAGCTTTAACGAAATACACCATTAAAGCGTACAAAAAGCATAAAGCCGTTAATAAATTAAAACCAAATGGCCTAATTGAAACTAACCATAACAATAATTGTGCCGATATCGCGTTTAAAATTCCCATAGTTCACCAGTATGGGCAAACGATTCCGACTATTAAACAAGAAGAGCCGTTGAACAATTCGAAAAATATCGAATACAACTATGTCCCTCTGACGATGGTTTTAGTGGAACATCCGAAAAACAGTCGGATGGAGAGTGACGTCAAAATTGAAGAAGTTAAATCTGAAGAAACGGAAAAACCTAAATTATTGAAGTGGCCTGGGATTCAAGAGATTATGGAGTCGTATCAAGCTTTTTCAAAAGGTGTGTTATAAAGATATACTGTTAGCAATTTTATATTTTATATTTCAGAACGTGAAGGGGAGATTGAGACTTTAACAAAGCGTTGTACTTCTTTGAAAGAAGAAGTAATAATGAAGCAGTTCGAGGTCAAGTACCTTGAGCGTCGGCAGAGGGAGCTGCATTCGACGTTATTTCTAACGGAGCAAGAAAGAAAGCGACTACAAAAAATGATCGACCAATTAAACAATATCGTCAATGCTTTTAGGTAGCATAAGATTAACAACAATTTGATGGATAAATTATACTTTTAATTGTTTAACATTTTTTGTTGATTTACATAACAGTATCTCAATTTCAAGTGTAGAACGCTCTTCTACCTATCACTAGAGTGGACGTATTGAAACTGAGATATATACCTGTATGAATTGTTTTTTTTTGTACTATTGTTATCTAATCGGACCAAGTTCAGAATTTGATTTGTTGTATTTTTTATTACGTTTCTTGGTTTAATCACATTGTTGAGTGATGTCGATTTTTTATTAAATGAAACTAAATTTAAAAGACTGTGATGGGAATATTAAAAACAAAATGGTGGGTTTTATACTTTTTAAAAATCATTATTATTAAAAAATAAAATAGTATTATGTGAAAGCTTCCAAAACTTAACCGCGTTGTAATTATTTTTAAGGTTTTCGAATATAAATCATAAACCGAATTTAAGAGGAGAACTATGTTTATTTGGTATGTTTATTTTTACGGGTGTTTTTAGTTGTAAGTAGGAGAGAGTGGTGTTCACTTATTCTGTGATAATACAATTTTAGTAATCGTAACGTAAAAAACTGTTTCTAGCATGACAAACTTAATAAATGTACAGAAGTATACTTTAGTCTTATTTATTAATTCACCTAAGATCACAAAAAGAGATTTTATTATTAACAACTTAAAAATAAGTTAACTAAAGAGAAACCTTCATGCATATCTTAGACTGGTTTAACGCACAATTTAGCAGTCAAGGAAGTTCGCTGCCATCAGCAATTCCAACGCTATTTCTGGAGCAATTGGGAACTCAGGAATCTCAGTTGAACTGTTAGTGTAGCGAACTTTGTAAGTGAAGTACATACAGACCTTCTGAAGTACATGAGACCTAAACAAACAGCCATTAGTACAAGCATTTAGTTCCCCCATAAAACTTACGGAATTTCCCTAAAGTTAACTTCATTGGCTTCATTTTCTGCGAATTGGCCAGGGCCACTCAACATTGCCTTGATAGTGCCCGACGTTAAAGCGTGCTCGCGTTTTACAATAAATTCATGACCATCTGATGAAATCAACTTTACATACATGGCATCCGGGCCCTCGCAGCCCCCATATATCCGCTCTTGGGACTTTTCTTCACCAATTTCACTCATTTTGTTTCCTGTAAAATTCTTGTATTTGAATTATTCTTCGAGGTATTTCGTCTCTTGAGGGTTTAAAACAACGCTATTATTGTCAGATATTTACAAAAGAACACCAAACAAAAACAACTGATTTTGCAAAGTCAGAATTCACAAGCATTCGGAGGTCTAATGCGCAGGCGGGAATAATCGAGAATAATCCCGAAAACTCGAAAACGAGAATATACGCTCTCGAGAATTCCTCAAGTTTGACAGAAAACTAAAAAAAAAAAAACAAACGAAATTTTTAGATAATGGAATCCAAAAAAATAACCAAAAATTGGTATGATCAAATAATTCTCGTTTACGTATATTCTCGGACTAATACCTTTGGTACGCACATGGACAACCTTTAACAAAAATGCGCGGGCGCAGTTAAAACAAATTATCAAATTGCGTATTTCGTTTTTACGGAATGGTTGTCAACCCGAAAATTATAGTAACACAATTAATTTGTAAATAGTACAATATTTTGTCTATTAAAGTGTCTGTAGTGTCCCCAGGAATGATAGAACGTTAATAAAATCGATTACTATTTTATGTATTTTAGAATTCTTCTGGCAAATTATTCATAATTTAAAACAGCTCAATTTTATAAATGTCAAATTCCCAAATCTTGTTTGTACAAACCGTCGTCTGCGTTGATTGATAGTAATATTTACTGTCAATCAACGCAGACGACGGTACAAACATTTGATTATTATCTAAGTAATCTCACATTTTTTTAATGAATTTATTAAGGCATTAAATAAAACATAAATTAAGCCATCAATCTTTATTCTCTATTCATAATTTCAGGAAACTTGTAACAAAAAGTAAAAAAATATTAAGCATAGAATTTCCAGAAAATTACTGTCCCCCGCGAAGACGTAAAACTAAGTGAAGAGTAGATTCTTTTTGGATATTGTAGTCTGAAAGTGTTCGGCCATCTTCCAACTGTTTTCCCGCAAAGATCAATCTCTGCTGGTCTGGAGGAATACCCTCCTTATCTTGGATTTTGGCCTTTACGTTTTCGATCGTATCTGATGGTTCAACTTCCAAAGTAATAGTCTTTCCTGTCAAAGTCTTCACGAAGATTTGCATACCTCCTCTAAGACGCAATACTAAATGTAAGGTTGACTCTTTTTGAATATTATAGTCCGACAAAGTGCGTCCATCTTCGAGTTGTTTGCCGGCAAAGATCAACCTTTGTTGATCTGGAGGAATGCCCTCTTTATCTTGAATCTTAGCTTTAACATTTTCAATAGTGTCTGAGGGTTCTACTTCTAAAGTGATAGTTTTCCCAGTCAAAGTCTTAACGAAAATTTGCATGCCACCTCGGAGACGCAATACTAAATGGAGTGTGGATTCTTTCTGGATGTTGTAGTCCGAGAGAGTGCGGCCATCTTCTAACTGTTTACCGGCAAAAATCAATCTTTGTTGGTCTGGAGGTATTCCCTCTTTGTCTTGAATTTTGGCTTTCACGTTTTCAATCGTGTCAGAAGGTTCGACTTCGAGGGTAATAGTTTTGCCGGTAAGAGTCTTGACAAAAATTTGCATACCACCTCGAAGACGCAACACCAAGTGGAGGGTAGATTCTTTTTGAATATTGTAGTCGGAAAGAGTACGTCCGTCTTCCAACTGTTTACCAGCAAAGATTAATCTTTGTTGATCTGGGGGAATTCCTTCTTTGTCCTGAATTTTTGCTTTTACATTTTCAATCGTGTCAGAAGGTTCGACTTCGAGGGTGATGGTTTTGCCGGTAAGAGTCTTGACAAAAATTTGCATACCGCCTCGGAGACGCAACACCAAGTGGAGGGTAGATTCTTTTTGAATGTTGTAGTCGGAAAGAGTACGTCCGTCTTCCAACTGTTTACCAGCAAAGATTAATCTTTGTTGATCTGGGGGAATTCCTTCTTTGTCCTGAATTTTTGCTTTTACATTTTCAATCGTGTCAGAAGGTTCAACTTCCAATGTGATAGTTTTTCCCGTCAAGGTTTTGACGAAAATCTGCATGCCACCTCGGAGACGCAGTACTAGATGGAGAGTAGATTCTTTTTGGATGTTGTAGTCGGATAAAGTGCGCCCATCTTCTAGTTGTTTGCCAGCAAAGATCAATCGCTGTTGGTCTGGAGGAATTCCTTCTTTGTCTTGAATTTTTGCTTTCACGTTTTCAATCGTGTCGGAAGGTTCAACTTCGAGGGTGATAGTTTTGCCCGTAAGAGTCTTGACGAAGATTTGCATTCCACCTCGAAGACGCAACACCAAGTGAAGAGTGGATTCCTTTTGAATATTGTAGTCAGAAAGGGTACGCCCGTCTTCCAACTGCTTTCCGGCAAAAATCAACCTTTGTTGGTCTGGGGGAATTCCTTCTTTATCTTGAATTTTTGCTTTCACGTTTTCAATAGTATCAGAAGGTTCTACTTCCAAAGTAATGGTTTTGCCAGTCAAGGTTTTGACAAAAATTTGCATGCCTCCTCTCAGACGCAGCACCAAATGAAGAGTAGATTCCTTCTGTATGTTGTAGTCTGAGAGTGTACGCCCATCTTCCAACTGTTTTCCAGCAAAAATTAATCTTTGTTGGTCTGGTGGAATACCTTCCTTATCTTGGATTTTCGCCTTTACGTTTTCGATGGTATCAGAAGGCTCAACTTCCAAAGTAATGGTTTTTCCAGTCAGGGTTTTGACGAAAATCTGCATACCTCCTCTCAAACGCAATACCAAGTGAAGTGTAGATTCTTTCTGGATGTTGTAATCAGAAAGGGTGCGTCCATCTTCAAGTTGTTTGCCGGCGAAGATCAAACGTTGTTGATCTGGGGGGATACCTTCCTTATCCTGAATCTTGGCCTTGACGTTCTCAATAGTATCAGAGGGTTCAACCTCCAAAGTGATGGTCTTGCCAGTGAGTGTTTTCACGAAGATTTGCATACCACCCCTCAATCTCAAAACCAAGTGGAGAGTAGATTCCTTCTGGATGTTATAGTCGGACAAGGTGCGTCCGTCTTCAAGTTGTTTGCCGGCGAAGATCAAACGTTGTTGATCTGGGGGGATACCTTCCTTATCCTGAATCTTGGCTTTGACGTTTTCGATTGTATCGGAGGGTTCAACTTCTAAAGTAATGGTTTTACCAGTTAAAGTCTTCACGAAGATCTGCATCTGAAATAAAAAAGAAACAATTAACTTTAATGGCAAAGCAAATTTACTGCTGCGCCATATTGGAATTCTTAGAACAAAGGATTACGCACAGAATAAACCGAAAAAACGAATTACTCACTGTGTGGTTTTATATTTGAAGATATCAACAAATTTACAAAATTAATTTTGTTAAAATTTAAACAAAAAAACACGTCACTAGGACGATGTTTTTTCAAACAAATGTTATTGCGTCATATAAAAGTTTTCACAAATTTGCAAGTTTCTACGCTACTTGTGATCAAATAATTATTAGTAAAATTAAAATACATACCTTTACGCCTCTGAAAACTCACAGTTTGAAGTAAATCGCTTTTGTATTTCACTGCTTTTGCTCAGACAATATGGAGAATTCAGCTGTGAAAGCGCTTTTATACGGACGTCTTCCCCCACTCTTATTTAATCTCGAACCCAAAGTACACTTTCTAGAAATTTCTAGTAAATGACCGTAAATCGTTTTTTTTAAAGAAAAATTTAAGAGCAAACGTTAGCCCATAATAGTTTACTGCCAATTCGCGAGATTACAATCCAAAATATGTTTCAGGAATTGAGAAAGTGATTTTTGATTAAACACAATTTTAGGGAATTTAGCCGAACGTTGTTGGTAACTTGTCAGCTGATTTTTGTCTACGTCGTCAGCTTTATTGATCAGCTGTTTTCTTTGTTTTGCAATTACCTACGCCCTTTTTTATTTTGCACATTTCGTCTTTATTTGTAATTTATTGCTTTTGAAAGATTTTTAATAATTCATATAAATACATCTTATAACTTTTAACTTCTTGAAAATAGCCATAATCTTCTAATTTTTAAAATAAATTTATTTGTTTACAAAGAATTATCTTTATCTATTCTAGACTGTTCACTATCATGTAAATACGACGACAATAATAAATGACAAAAAAGGGTAATAAAATAAAATAATTCATTACAACTTATTTATTCTCCATATTGTACTACATAAGGCACATGTGTCTATAAAATGGAAACAAATATCACATATAGAGGCAATTAGCGGCAAAATAAACCCCTAAAATATGAAAATAAATTTACAAAAATAATTCGCCATTTTACACTACACAGCATCCAAAAAATAAAACTACATCAATATCCTATATAAATTACCGTTCCAACTAAAATATTGCATCAGATTTTATTATACGCCATAATTTCATTTTATCTATCAACAATTAAGAATTATGATAGAAAGACGATACTTTAACAAAGCGTAATTTCTATTCCATATAAATCTTTTCATCTGTAATTTAAATCTAAGCAGTCAACAAAAATACATACATTAATGTACTAACCTAAAATATATAAATATTTGACAATTCGGCTTTAACATTTACTCAAATCGAAGTAGTTAAACTACAATAGTCTATGCGTAATAAATCTTATTGTTTAAAAACGGTAAGAACCGTTTTTGGTAAATATATTAACAATGGTGATTACCTAAAATTATTTACACGATTCGTTGTATAAACTAAGTCGTATAATTATAGCTTAATTCGTTTCACAAAGCTGCCTACATTGACCTAAAGATATCGAAAATAGACAAAATATAAATAAGATGCTTGTATGTTTGTTTATGTTCCCCTTAGATTAACTGAGATGACAACGATAGCTGTTTTTGATCATTGAGACAATCCAAAAAGTTTCAAGGCATTAAAAGACGTAGCTAGAGCAACATCTTCAGGTTTCTTGTTCATAAAGGCAGCAATCATCTCCACGATCGCTGGCAAAGAGCAGGGCTCGTTCCTTTGGAAGGTACAATATCGATGAAGGAAGGTTAATGATCTAAAGATAAACAAAAACATTTTATGAAATTGCGGTATTAAGCTTGTTTTGTTCATGTATCTCTTTGTTGGGACATATTTTAAAAACAAAATTGGCATCATTTTCAGGAAAAACGCTTTTCGGAAAACGTTGAACTAAGCTTGAAGTTCACACGTATGTAAAAATAGGCATTCTTGGAATCAAGGACGTGACGCATCAAAGTCAAATCTATTATTACACTTTTATATGACTAAAGTAAAACGTAAATCGGTGATATAAATTATCGCTGAATAGCTGTAGTAAACTTTGAACAACAAAATGTTTTTCTCATATTCTGGAAAAATCGACTACGAGTATTGTTAACTGAATTAAAATGCTTTGAATACAAAAATAATGTTAGGTGTTTTACGTAATTGCATGCATTAGTGATGTGTTTTCAAGGATTGCACAATTGTTGCAAGTTCAGTGGTCGGACTATGCGCAACCACAAAAATAAAAGTATTGATTAGTATTTAATTAAATGGAGTTAAAATTCTTTTGTAATTACAATAGAATGCTACAAAATAAATATGTAAAATTTATCAACTGTCATTAAGTTATGCATAGCATTAAAAATAAATGAAAAATAATTCATAAAATATATTTTAATCATTTTTTTTTGTTTTAAAGAATTTATTAAGTAAAATATGCACAAGTTCCTTTCTGAGAAAATATTGCCATGTTATTTAAAAAAAAGTGTTAAAACTCCTTACGAGCATGATTAAAAATTTTATTATTTGAAACAAAAGCCATCCCCTAAAATCACTAATAAGACGCATGTGAAACTCTTACATCAATCTTTTCCCACATTTTATCAGATAAGATAGATAAGCAAATAAATTATAGAGGTGGTCTCAAGATGACATTGAGATGACTCTCTGATTGCAAAAAACATTTTTTATATTATGTGATTTTTTTACATTGAAATTTTCAAATCTCAACGGTTTAAAGGCCTTTTGTCTATGTTAAAATACTTTTTCTTTTAAAGTTTTTGAAGGAAGTGTCTACTTCCTGATTCAAATACCTACTGTATTAGTGAGTAGTACAAATGGCTTCGATTTTCAAAACACAAACATGTATTAGGTATAGAAAAAGTAGAATTATAAATATTTAAGCTTATAAATTGCGTACTAGATAGTTGAATGGATTCTACTGGGTAATAAAAAATCTCTCGCAGTTGGCAACGTGTGAAAATTCAAATATATTTAATATCCATCGCTTATCTGTAAATGCGTTCAAAATAATTTTTGTGAATACTTAATTATTTTAACATTTGACTTTTATAAATAACACAAAAGTGAAAAAACTAAATGCCCTTTGCATTTGTATCAAAAAAAATTGTATAACAAATTAGTTTAATTTAGTAGTAATTATTCTTGTTTCTTCAGTGAAAAGGTGAAATTTAATTAAAATCCTGTCCTCATTATTAAGTGTTTCAGACGGTTTATTGTAGATATTTACTTAATTATATCCACTCATGACTAGTCATTTAGAAAAAAAAACAGAACTATATTACTTGATAACCTCCCGAGAAACCTGAAAAATAAACAGATAAAGTAAACACTGACCTTTCGGTTAGACCATCTTTGACATGAAGAGGTAGTTTTGAAGCTCGTGTATTGGGGTACATGAAAGGAGCATCTGTTTCCACTACAAGCCTGTCTAAGGGTATGGACCCATCTACCAGTAATTTGCGGACCCCAACATCAGATTTGTCTTTACATAAGTAGCCTGTAAAGCTCAGAATAACAAAAATAAACATGTTAAAAAATTCCACATTACCTGTTAGTCCTATGTAAAAGCCTCTTGAAAGATATGTCAGCGCTTGTTCAGCTGTTCCTGTGAAACAGTGCACCAGAACGGGAGGTAATTGACCCTTGTACTCATCTAAAATCTCTAATAAATCTTCATAAGCATCTCGTTCGTGCACAAATAACGGTTTATTAATTTCGATCGCTAATTCGATCTATAAAAGAAAAGTTAACTTTTGTCATTAAAGAAATTAAAAAATTACATGTTTTCGAAAAACTTGTCTTTGTTCACTTGGTTCCGAAAAATTTCGATTGTAGTCCAAGCCACATTCGCCTACAGCAACACATTCGGGATTTGAGGCGACTAGTTTCAATTCATTCCAAGATTCGTCAGTGTATGATTTAGCGTCATGGGGGTGTATTCCTAGACCAATTTAACATGATTCAATTAAAAAATTAAACACAAACCTGCAGTCGAATATAATGTGCCTGGATAGATTCGAGTCAATCTTAGCGCTTCTTTACTTGACTTTACAGAGGTTCCTGTGACCATAATTTTTTGGACACCTAAATTTAGAAACGCAAGTGTTAACAAAATTAAAAATAATGTGAGGCACAAACCTGAGTCGCGTGCCCTTTGAATGACGGATTCCAGGTCCCTGCTGTACTTTTTATTGGTTAAATTTGCGCCAACATCAACCAGAATATAATTTTCGTAACATTGTTCCATTGTTTTCTTGTTTGCCGAATTTTGATTTTCTTCTTTAGTTGCCATGTTCTTGAAACGGTTTAATTTTACACAAAAATAATAATAAAGTCGTTCAAAATGACTGCAGAAACAAATATAACCCCATTAGTCATGTGTCATTGTGACAGAAATAAAAAGTAAACAGCTGTTGAATAAACTAGTGACTTTCCTTTACTCATGTTGGTGAAGTGTGCCCCCACCTAAATGTTCTATTTTAAATTACAGCGGGAAGACGAAAAGTTATTTCATCATGAACATACTTTTATTAATTTAATAAACTTACATTTAACATACAAACAAAGTGAGTTTGTGATATAACTACAAACAATAAGTAAAATAAACTACAAATATTTATATTTTTATACACAATAGCTCTTTAATCCATAAAATGTATTGATTAAAAAAAAACAACTGTAAAAAAACTTAATAAAACATTCTTATTTTGACATTTAGAGATGACTGAAGATTCCACTTTTTATCTTCACTAATTATTACAAACTACTAAATTGTACTGACAAAAATATGCGGACGGTTTCACCGCATTAAGAAGAGTCAAAGTTTTCAAATCTCGTTCCTTCTTTAGTCTGCCTAACTACATTAAACATTAAGTGTTAAAGTAAAAACGAAACGAGTTTCAATTACCATCAGCTCAACTTCTGCTAGTGGTAAGATCCAATTTTTTGTTTCTTTGGCCTTCTGGGTTGAACAGACCCTTCTAAATCTGAAGTATCTGATTCGGTTTCATTGTAATTTGAATCTTTACCGTCGGAAGATTCCACCCCAAAAGAGCCTGTACTTTTGGCTTTTTCCAAGGTACGAACTGTAACTGCAACTATTAAAAAAATATTTCGAACACGCTTAAAAAAATATATTACTCTGAGCTTCCAGAAGACTGTTTTGTCTTTTGAGATCTTCAATATCTTGCTGATGGGAATGGTTCTTTTTCCTCATGAATACTATATATTCTGCAGCTTTCTTCAAGATTTGTGCTCGACTAGCCTAAAAGAGAAAATACAATTGCCACGATATCTGCTTTGGAGGTTAGCGTTCAGCAAAGGTGAAAAATCGGACAGACGTACCACTTTTTCGCCGTTGAGAGCAGGAACAGAGTCTCGCAAACTGCTAAAACTGTCTTTTATGTGGTCACGGCGTTTCCTTTCCAGCGCGTTGTGGTGGGCCCGCTTCTCAGCCTAAACATTATAGAACCCAATTAGTACCAAACCAGTATAACATTATAATTCACAAACTTGTGAGAAAAATTAAATCTGTTGACCACGTTTTACTTAAGACTCCACACATTAAGTAATTCAACCAAGACATGCTTCATATATATTTTATTTAAGTAATGTATGGAATAACTTCAGAGTTATAAAGCCAATGGAATAAAATAACAAAGGTATTCTAGATTTGCAAAATTGCGTGGAAAGGACGATTTGCGTTGCGGAAAAACATTAACCAAACCCAAAAAGTTCGAGTTGTAGGTAATAACAAAAAAGAATTTTTAAGTTGAAAAATTGGAGTGTCTTAATTAGAAAGTAACAAATTCGTCCCTGAACTAGTGGCCAATTAATTTACCTGTGAGTAATACTGACTTCCAGTGGATTGTCTGCTGGGGGTTGGTTGGCGGGAATCCGAATCATCACCTTCCTGAAATAGGGGGTACATAATGAATCAATGTTAATATTGATCCATGTGGTGTTTTGTGTATAAACAACACTACTCACATCGCTTTCGACGTCAATATCCCGATCGTCATCGCTCATTGTAATAAGTACAGAGTCTGGAGGTGAAAACGGTTTTTTCAGGTGCAAAACACAACCATCTACTTGTACTTTTCCCAAAATGTCACAACACGAGCAAACTAGACGTGAATCACACAATGTGCGTGACCTGTCATACTTGGCCAACTAGAACCACTCGAAAGTGCAGTTTCCCGGACGATTCTTTGTCACAAAACTCCTTTTTCCAGGGAAATTTCCACAAAACTCAGGGCAAAACTAACAAATACTGAACAATATTGACGATCTTGGGGCAAATTTTCCAAAAACGGGTGATTTAGCTGGAAAATTTGATCATTTATTGTACCCTATTTTGCACAGACTCTAGTTGAAGAATAAACGACAAACGTCAATTACCGACCGAGTCGTACAACTTGTTGGTTACACGTGTGTTCTCCTTTTAGCGCACGTGATTTAGCCCAGGCGCAAACCAAATGAAGGGCGTAGGATAAATTCAACACGGAAATAAAAATAATAAATTTATTCATAACCGAAACCAAATACAGTTCAATAAACTACAATAAAAAATAAAATAAATTTGAGCAGTTAGCTAAAAAAAATTGTTCATATCTAGCTGAATTGTCTTAAATAAATTATAACATGGTTAATAACAGTCTAAAAAAATAATATTTATTGTTATAAAATTTGATTTGGAAATTTGTATTAATAACATTCAATTCAGTTTGTCTTATCTATTCACTAATAACAATAAAAATGCATTCTTTGTTATTATGTGTACTGAAGATTTGGACACAATACGAAATCACAAGACAAACAGTAAAAACAATTATTGGGTTAATAAAAGGCACTTGGGTGGTGAATAATATTGCAATGTCAGTACTGTTCACGACTACTATACTAGTGATTAAACGGAGAAAGTGATTGACCAAAGGAAACATGTAATAAATTTTTGCAAACTTTACATAACAGTGTACAATAAAATGGTTACGTAATAGATAAAATTGTATTATTTTTAGAAGCGTTATGTACAAATAAATTACAATAATACCAACATTGCCAAGATATCACATAGTCAGCAAAGTTACATACTAAACAATTTTCCACAATATATGGCAAGACAAAATCCACAACAATCCAAACCACGTGACGTTATAATTCGTTAATATGTAACGATGCGTTTAGGATGCTATTAGTACAGACAACAGAATGTCATCACGCCTGTTTCTTGCCGTTGGTTGTAATATTAGTTGCATTTAGGACAGTTCTTTCAGCTACTTCGGCAGCCATTTGCTGCATACCGTTCTCGACGTAAGTTTGTACGACGGGTTTCATAGACTGAAAAAATACAAATATTATAATTCACAAAAACCAAATCTTCCAAATCGTTAGTCAAATCCATGCAATTATCTAGAATTGATTAGTACATACGTTTTCTTTCTTTTCTCTTTCTAAAATAGGCATGCTATAAAAAGAAGACACTTTTAGTTATAGCATAACAATTGTATAACTAAAATAACAAAAAACTAATAATTTGTGAGACTTACAAAAGAAATACCTGGAATTTTGAAGAAATGTGCACACATTACAAAAATTCACAAAATTTAACTTAAAAATTTTTGAGCGTTCCACGCATTATCCAAAATAAAATGTATTTTATAATAATAAATAACTGGTTTATTATCTACGATTGTGACGTTAAAATAATACAAAACCTGGTCTCGCATTGTATTAAAATCAATAAAACGAATAGTAGCAGTAATCACAACCGCTAAGAGAATAAATAAACTTACATTTTCCCATATTAAGTTAGCCATTTCGTCGATATGTAAGCCGATTTCTCGAAACTCTCCACTATACCTGATGGAAAAAAAATTAAGACAAAAAAAAACACTACCAGTGTAAGTCAAACCTGACGTAAGCCCACATGGCCAAAGTGAGAAACGAAACAGCCATTATTGTATTAAAAACATTTGCGATTGTGTATGCACCCAACAGCGCAAAGAGTCCGGACGAGACGTAACAAAACACGGCTAAAGCGAAAAATACGGCAGGAGTTCTCGCAGCTTTAAATATATTTTTACTTTCATTATGTGCTTTGAACTGAGCGAAAGTTTCCTCCAAATCCTAAAATTATTCTAAATTAAATCCCACGTCTCATTAAAAATGTATTCTTTACTTTTTCAAGCTGTTCTTTGTACTTTTCACTAAATTCATCCCCTCCCATTTTCCTTTTACTTTGAAACTGGTGAATCGCCTTATCTTTGACTTTGCGATGTTCAGATTCCATCGTAGCCGTATTCAAGTAAGGTTTGTTCCCTCCACAAATTTCTTCCATTAAAGTAACGTAGGTATCTTTTGCATCGGCAACAGCAGATAAATTGTTGGCTTCCGCAGTAGCCTGTTCAAATTATGTGGTTAACATAAATTACAGTCATTTTAAAACAATACATACAACAAGCATAGACTTTGGTTCTGGCAACTCATTTCCCTTGTAAATAGCCATGTATGACTTGAAATATTGAATTAAATCCCTGGCTTTAACTTTCTGGCCGTTGATCCTCTTTAAAACCAAGTTTTCCGGGGCCAGAAGCATTGGCACCAAGATTTTCAGGTTTTCCTTGAATTCTGGATCAATTTCTGAAATGCCAAAATCGATGTAAATTATAAAGCACATTCTGAATATTAATGACGACCATAAGAAACATCAATCTTTTAATGGCTTTATTTACAGTGGTGTTTATCAATATATCTAACTATGTAAAAAATATGACCTAAGGTTTGATTGAAAATAATAACGAAACAAATTTGTTTGCCATGGCAGATTTGTATGCCAATTTTGATTTTGCCTTACCTCCTAGTCTGCCATCAAATGTGGGACTTGTAGCTACCTTAATGCCAGGATGAGGCATTAAAAAGCATGCAATTTCAGTAAATAGTGACTTAATGTGTTTCCTGAGAGATTCAAGCTCTGGATGTGAATTTTCATTAACTTCCAACCTCTTTTTAAGTATTTGTTGACCACCAACAGCCCCATAAGGAGCCTCATAAGGAAACCGCCAATCTCTCACAAGAAACTGTAGTCTTTGGAATGGTGTTTTTCCTGAGTCTGCTAAAGCTAATCGCCCATATTCTGTAAATAGCTACTCCAAAAATAAACAATGAGACTGTTACTTGTCCAATATTGATATACCTGCAAATGTTGCAAATCATCTTCCTGGATATTACTTGATAGATTATAGATTTGAACTGAGCTTAGCATTGTACTTAATGCAAAAATTGTGGCACATTCACGAACAGTGCTTTTACTATCCCAAGTTCCTTGTGTGTCCAAAAGAACTACAGCAACCTAAAATTAAAGGACCTTGAGTTAAACAGAGTAACATTGAGACGGTTTCAAACCTTTTCTCCTGTGAGCAATTCAGTTAGAAAAACGTCAGACCACATGAGGATCCCAGTGGTGTCCCTTTCTGACCCCCCTTTCCATGAGAAACCTTCCAAGGGGGCATCATCGCTCCCCAACCACTCTGATGTGTTTTGTTTAAGTACATACTGCAATATTACGTTCTCAAAAATATTGCTTTCCTGAGACACAGTTTACCTTTGAATTCAAGTACCTCAAGAAGAAATCAAGCAGGAATGATTTACCATGGCGGAAAGCTCCTGCTACAGAAATGACAACGACGTACCTGTCCTTGACCTCATCCCTTAAGAGTACCTTTCTCAAAGCCTCTTCGTCCAAAGAGAAGGTGTGATCATTGTTGGCGAGAACGACTGGGACAGCATGTGGCTTCATATTTACTGGAGGAGGATCAATAACATCTAAAACGAAAAATTTTCACATTGAAATTCACCACCAAAACCGAATGAAAGGGACGTAATAATAGAGCAAAGGTTTATTACTATCAATTGTTTCATTAACAAAATGACGTCAGGTGTCTTGATTTTTGCTCTCTAATGCGATTTTTGACAGCTGCCACAGAGCGCCCTTGAAAACAAAGTTCAAAAAAGCCCCAAACTGAGAAAATTCGTAAATGTAGATAAATAGTGGTGAGTTTCGCGTAAATTTCGGAATTTTATGCAATTTCATTGTGTCGCAGATGGATCATGACGATGGAATCACAGTTATACGAACCCAGTGATAGGCATAGGGCTTAATCCAAGTGCTTATTTGATGTTCTAGTTTCGTTCTATTTGTGGATTCAATTAAATTAATGCTTTAAATACCTTCTACAGAAGATCCTCGTTTCTGTTCGTGTTTACGTTGCCTTATGTCAGACATGTTGAACGTGTAGTGCCATCTCGTTTGATCGTATGTCGGGCTTTGTTGTCAAATAAAGAGCGCGCTTTTTAAATTCAATTAGGGGGACTTGTATGTAATTCAATCATTTTAATTAAAATTAATCTCACAATTTTTATCAATAACGCAATTACAAAGCCATTTGTGCAATTACTAACGTTTTTTGTAATACATTATGTACCATTATTGTTAATGAGTAATTAATCACGTAATTTTTTGTGTAACGAAATATTTCAATATTAGTTGGATAAAAGCTGTAAAAATGTACATTTTTTATCTTTCTTACATGTAATTCTTTTCTATAGTAGCAAGAGTGTCTGATAGACGACATTCAATTTCCTGCCATCACATCATAATTTCCTTTTTCAGGTAAAGCAAAAGTGGTAAACAAACATGAAAATGCGGATTTTTATATTTAGGAGATGTTATTCCTGTTTTTCTTTATTTATAGTTATTTATTAATTAAACAATCATGTTTGTTTTATTATAATTTAGTAAAATCTCAGATTTTCGCTCACACAAATAGAATTTTTAGAATATGTGTTTTTTTAACATGTGCGTTATTTTTTTTATACTTAGTTCTTTGTTTTCGTTAGGTACCTAAGCAAAAATCTACAAATTTAATATATGTAGAATTAGATAAAATATAAATCACAACAATTTTATTTATACAACTATCAAAGTTATTTGATCTACAGGGCGATTCAGATAAGATAATGAGCCTGACGATCTGGCGATGCAACCCAAAAAACAGATTTCATTTACGTTTTGATCTAATTTTAATTACAATTTGCATTTGCAATCTAAGTTATCTTATGTTGCTCTGATAGTGCTTTGACATGCAATTTATGATTTTTAAAAAAACTGTTTGCCTACCTTTAATGTTTCATTGTTTCATACATTTTGTATTGGGTTTACACTGAAAAGACTTCTCTAATTTCTCTATCATTCCGCGAGAACTGAATGGCACTAATAATCGTTCTCTGCACTAATGTCAGAGTGACACCAAGATGATAACTTGGATTCAACTTGCAAATCCTAATTGAAATTGGATCAAAGGGGTAAATGAAATTTGTTTTTTGGGTTGCATCGCCAGATCGTCAGGCTCATTATCTTATCTGAATCGCCCTGTATATTCTATACATTATGTAATGAGAGGAATAATGAATTCAGTACTTTAAATGGAGTGAGTACTCGTGTTTTTTCCTGTATATCCTTTGTTAGCTTAGTTTTTTTATTACTTTGTTTTACCAATTTTATGCGTGTGTCATGAATATTCCTAGGTACTTTATAAAAGTATAACAACACTGATAACTTTTATAACATTCCATCTATTTACATAAGTATACAAGATATATAGAGTACCTACCTTGTTTTAGAATAATGATTGTTTATTTATTAAACTCTACAAGTGACAAACGATTTTATAATTATAATAGATTTTTTAAATGTTATTTTTAAATATCATATAGAAAATCTAAGAGATGCTATATTTTTTGTTTGTTAATTTCTGGTAAATATAAGGTACAATAGTATGACATTAGCAATTTTATGCGTGATTTATTACAGAACTGAAACTGTTTTTCTCGAAGTAAAAATTGAGTGCAAATGACGTATAGTAGCAAATAATTTGAATAATTAGAGTAACAAAAAAAGAGCGTCAATTTTCCCCATCATTAGACGGCGATCAATGAACAATGAGAAAATATCCATAAGAATAAAATCCAGCAAACATCATTAAGAAACATATATTCTTTTCTTTTTTTTTTATTTATCTATTTTGCGTTTGCTGTTTTATAAAAGCAAAGTTACACTGATTTTGTCAACTTTTTACACAATACTTGTGGACCTATGTATTTCAGAAACTATTGCAGTTTAAGCTATTTTTGAAGCGATTTTGGTATCATGAGTTTTAACTGTTAAATGTAATAATAAATACAATTTAAAAAATACTCAATAAAAAATTGTACAAAAAACAAATGTTACAACCTCTCACCACTGTGATATTCGTGCATTAATAATTGTAACACTCACTACTGCGTAGCTCGTGCCACAAACTACTTGTATCGCAATGAAAGGAGTTGTTGGAACACTTGTCTTTTAATATACTATTTCATGACATTCTTCCAATTAGCTCTGGAAAAAAAATATAGTATTTTGGAATTGAATAACGAAAACTGTTACATCTGAGTAAATTTTATATATTTTTTGCATTTATTTCAAGCAAGTCTAAAAGAGGAAAAAATCCTACCTTGTATATGATTCTTGAGGAAACAATTCAGGGAGGGTTGATATTTAATTACTTATTACCTTATTTCATTACTACTATTTTTATTGGTTTTATCTACACGTTTTTTTATGTAAAATGTGTAACCGACAATAAAGAAAAAACCCTTGTGTGCAAATATAATAATATAATTTATTTTTACTTGTTTGATTAAAAAACAATAATAATAAACTTTTACGTCGTTATTTTTAATGTGAATTTTAATATAATTTACGTTGGGTAAATTTATTGTTTTAATAATCAATCAGTAGAGTACAAAATAAAACGGAAACAATTATTATTATTATTAACGTTGCAACATACATACAAGTAAATATAAACAATTTTCTTTTGTGAAATTTTGTGCTTAGACTATTTATGAGTTTTAATTTCTTGTTTGAAAATTTAACTAGCAAATGAACAGTCGGTGTAAAATTTCGTAGGAAATGATTATGATTATAATCAAATAAACCATGTCATGCGAATGTCCGATTTTATCAGAGTCCTCTTTGCCAATCCGTTCAAGTTGAACTTCATTCGAGCCAAGCGCGTTAGTTTGACGACAGCTATCTGCTGTGAAGGCGCGCTCCCAAATATTCCCGTTCAAAGTTTAAAAACTTGCTATCCCTCCCGCAAAAGCAACTTCTTCAAAATCTGTTGAATTAAACCATCCGAAGAATGAAAAAATAAACAGAGAGTAGTCGCTTGTGTTGAAAAAATTGTGCGTTTTTGGTGCGTTTTTGAAAATCGAATGTGGTGTTTAAACTAGGAAAATCGATGGAACTGCTAGTATGTTGTCCACCTTCGAAATTATTTGAACTAAACGAAGAGTTACGTGTTTTGTTCCTAATTTCTGTCCATTTAGCTAATGAAAATGCAGCTAATTAAAAGACCGTTTATATCACTTGTCGCAAAGCATTGTCTTTAGTAATAATTAAAAAATGGAATAGAAACAAATCATGTCGTCGACCAACATTTACGAAAACTTGCCTCTGAAGAAGCTCGGCGAAAGCGAGACTTCAAAAAATCTAATCTCCGAAATCAAACAGAAAAAGCGGAAAAGCACACCCGACATACAGAAAGTCTCCTCTCAGAATAACATTTCAAAAAAAGCTAAGTCTTCGCGAAGCATATCAGAGATGCTCTTCAACCGCAACGATGATAAGAGCGATGAAAATTTAAGCGGTCGTGAGAAAAGCAACGGCGAAGACAGTTGCCAAAAAATTCAATCTACTCCAACATCGACGCTTGACGATGGCTACGAGTCCTGCAACAGCACCCCTTTGGTTTCAGGTTTGTTGTGACGCATTTTGTTTGCTTACCGAGCGATTTTGTTTTTACAAAGTCGCAATACGCAAAGCATGCCAAAATTTGTACGGTTTTTGGCCTTGTAAATGATGAAATCTGTGATGTCAAATACGAGCGCATCAATTTTTATGAGGTAATACACCACCACTAAAAACTGAGGAGCGGCTTTCCAACTACATACTATATACGTTACAAATCCATTCTCAATTAATTGCGACCTTGGGGTCAATCATTTTTTATAAAAAAGTGGCAATTTCCAATTAATATTTATAAAAGCGGGCGATTGTTAATTGTTATTAACATTTAAAAAGTGTTTTTTCCTGGTTGATGCCAAAATTAAAATAGAAGAATGTATTGTTAAAAATACTTCCTATTTATTAATCCAAACATGTCAATATATCATAACGCGGAAAAAGTTGCGCTCTCCACCCACTATGAAAATCTATTTGTTTTGTTATTTATGTAGAAAATCAACAGGTGGTTTTTAATATTTGCAGTTCGAAAAAATAACAATCCGGCTCTGAAATAATAATATGATGCCGTCTGCCAAGATATAATAATTTATTATAATTATGTGACAAAATTAGATCGTCTACAACAATATTTTCAAAACAAAATTACATGGTTCAGGAACGATTAGCACAAAACAATTAGAATTCCACATTGCGCCTGATTAAATTTATTAGTGTCTAAAGGCGTCCATTTGAAGAATGTTTGCGTAACGATTTAGCACAGAATCGAAGTATTTCTGTTCGTTTGAGTACTACTGCAAAAGTCTCAGTTTGGTTGTTTAATTTTACATTTAGATTTTATTTGCGTGTTTTATTTATTGTGTGTAAATATACACGAGTTGTAAGGTTGTTGATTGTAATGTTTTCAAAACCTTAGTAAAAAAATGTTATTGATGTGTTTTTGATCTTTATTGTTGCTTCGAAAAATTCAAAAACTAAAAATATTGTTTTTTATAAATATATTACTTAAAATTAATAAAAATTAATAACTTGACATGGACATTTTAAAACATTAATTAATGTAGCGGTCAGAATTATTATATTAATTTTATTTATATTAATGTTTTAGTTTTTTTAACTTACATTGTTTTATCTGAATAATCTATAATTAATTTTTGTTTTAGTCAGTAGTTTAAGGACTACAAAGCTAAAGAAATAATAAGGACACTGGTCGTGTCCTTATTGACTACTTCCCGTTTTTATCGATCCATGCAACTATGCACGAACCTAAAGCATTTCAAAATGAGAATTTTTACAATTTGTTTGTAGAGTAATTTATTTCTGCAGTAATGTTGAAGTAACGAACACAATTACTTCAAACTAAAAAATAAAAATTTATTGTTTGAAGTAAGCCTTAATATTATTTAATAATTTTTATTAATACTTATATGTGCCTTTTTATTTGTTTATTTTTGTCAATTTAACATAGATTTTAATAATAATGCTTAATGAGACACGATAATTCGATAAATTTTCATCTAACTATGTACTGTTACTGTTAAAGGTTACAATAAAGCAATAGTTCATAACTAAACGTCTTTTTATAACAAAAAATATATTTTTTTAATAATATTGTGATAAGCCTAAAAGTTGTATTAAATATACAGTGTGTCAATTTTACAAATCGCAATCGACAATATCTTCTGAACTGAAAAAGTTATTGAGAATCACTCAAAACCGGTTCGGTGATTCCTAGGGGGAATCAAAATTACATGGTAAGTCACGCACCTCCACCCACCACGTCTCAATACAAATTAATATTCAACAAAACTAAAGAATATAGATGAATTTTTTTTTCATTTGGATGTAATTTAAGAAAATATATGTAAAAATGAATTTAAAAATCATATTTTTTAAAGTTTTATTTAAAATATTTATGAAGAGTTTAATTTGATTTTCTCTGAAGATTCTGCAAAAAAAATTATAATTTTTTTATACTTACATATTAATAATGGGCCAAGGTATAGCTTTCAAAAGCACATTTTATGGTTGAAAAACATCAAATATATTTTTATAATCCATAAATACTTAATAAATCTTGGACCATTAAGCCGTTGAGCGACTTTTAACCCACAATATATGTATATACAATACAATATTCATCACTTTACCTCACTATAAATAGAGCTTTTCTGTAAAAAACGTTAGACGAATTGGAAATATTTGTTTGAAACATTTTTCAACAATTGTAAGCAAAGAGTAAAAAAGATAATTACTTATTTGAATTGTAAACTTTTGGATAGGTACTTATATTACGCTCAAATAATTCCTAATTGCCTCCAATCGGAGTCTAAAATCTAAATATTTAAAATCAGATAACACAGAGAAAACTCTACAATTGTTATTCACCCTAATGAGATCGTGATTTTGAGTGTGGTCAGCTTCGGAGAAGCTCAAGTGTTTACGAAAGCACAATTATCTCAACAAGAAGTGAATTGGGTTTGGTTGAATATTTGGTTGAAATATGAGCGTTTAAATCAACAGGAAATAAAAATGGGTGAGTTTATAAGTGAGTTTCATTCAGGTAACAATTTGATTAATACGAAAACTTGGAAGCAACCTCTCTTCAAACTAACTTAAGTCTTTTTAATTATATTCGACTTAGTTTTAATGCATCCAAGATTAAAATGTTGAAGTTTCTGGCTGAAAATTACCAAGTGGGCTACATTAACTTGCGTATCGAATACTAATTTCATTTGCAGGTATTTGCAAGTGTATCGATCATAAACCAATACACTGTTCAGAATTCTGAAGGCTTTTAAACGTAGTTACGTTAAATAGAAAAAGTTAATTACGACTTACGAGACAAGATCTTAGACCGATAAACACACGAGTTAATTTTTTAAGTTGTCTGCACATAAAGTTTAAAAACTAATTGGTCTTTTTAAGTCGTCGAAATTCAAGGCTGAGTAACAATGATCGGATAACTCCGTTAAAAATAATTAAGTTGAACGAAGTAATTAATTCCGACACTATGCATATCATCAACAACACTTCATACCCACTATTAGTACCATCCGCTTGCAACAATTAAACTTAATTCGTTTTTACTAACAAGCAAATATGAAGCATGAATTATCCAACAACAGGAATAAATTACACTTTAAACCGTATCATTATCGATTCCGGTTGATCCGATTTAATTTATTTAAAAACGATTTGCGATAATATTAGAAGGATATTGAAGGATTTGTGCGAAATTAATAGGAGGAAACGTTGTACCTGATCCATGAAGAGAGAAGGCACGGTTTCCTGGACATATCTTAGTGATATTGGCGTCCTGGAATGTAGTAATGTGCAACGAACGGGCTCCGGATCCGCTCCGGACTCCGGGGATCTCCTCAACGATGAAGTTCCTCGGAATTGTGGAATGCCACCTATAATACCCACCACTTCAGAGCAGGATGTAAAGCACACGTCTTATTCGCGTCGGCTATTCAATGGAAAATATGAGGAATATTAACACACTAATTTTAAACGATTTAATTTCGCATCTCGAAATTTTATTATAAATCATATTAATGCTGCTACTAAAAAGAAACCTGACTCCTAAAGGGGGATGCTTATTGGCTTTTTACACCCACTCTACAAAATCAAATATGTGTATCTCGATTTGGGATTTTGAAAAACATTTTACTAGATATAATGAAAACACATATTTATTAACTCAATAGACGTCCGACTTCCATTCAATTACATTTTTGACGATCTTTTCTTAGAAATGAATTAGGAAAACCTTTTAACTAATGAAACCACCTAAACCTACCTACATAATTTGATGTAAATGCTAAAATACGTACCTACATCATCAGCACTTATTTTTTGATCACATATGAGCTATAACCAGTTATATGCATACGTATTAATATAATGGTAAAAAACGTTTTTCAAGTAAATATCTATTTTATATTATCTTATTATACCTACCTATAACTGAAGGAGGTAATTTTGAAAAAGCAATATAAATAAATAAATATTGATATGAGTCTGGAAGAGCAAAGAAAAAATTGTAAAATTGTTAGAAATATGTAACTTTTTTGACATCTCTTTTTTACACTTTTAAATGAAAGTTATAGTTTCTGTAGAGAAAGAGTAAACTTGGTACAGTGTAATACATTAATACAAAATTTTATTTTATCAATCAAAAGAGAAAGGAACAGTTTCAACGTTCTTATTTTTTAAGCTTGTCTCACACCATTTTGTAAGCATTGCCTCGTGAAAAATTTAAGTCTATTTCGGCTCACATTACCTACCTAAAATTGTAATATTTCGATTTTATTAATGTCTTTGAATATGAGCTCAAGTTAAGCTTTCTACTTAGCACTTCAATTAAGTTTGTAGAATTAATATAGTAAATCATTGCCATCTTTGGCTTAATTAAATGACGTTATAATTGTTTAGCTGGAGGTGTCGTTTTCTTAACGAACTTCTTAATTACTAAATTAACCGCTGCACCTAATTTTCATCACTATACCATATCCTGAAGGATTATGTGTAAAAACCTGCAGAAAAAAAAACGATTTTTAATGGACGACTTCATCCCAGACGCGAAGGAAGCTGGAACAGGGAGAAAAGCGCACGATGAAGTGCTTTGTCCTTGCTGATTTTTATTGTGCGAAGTGACGCGGCATTCTCCGAGCAATTACATGTAAATGAATATCCACCATCACCTCAGGTATTCCAATATCAGCCACCTGCCAAGAATAGGGAATCGCCATCGATAAAACCTGCAGCTGGAGAAACTTCACATCATTTTAACTCGAATACGTCTCCCTTTGCCGGTTTTATGACTTGCTCTCACTGTCTTTAACAAATTGAGCAAGGAGTTTTGGCAGGTAATTAAGTGGCTGCTCGATAAAGAAATTAGATAGCGTGAGAATGGGGTTTGAGGCTATTTGACTCGTATTTTATTGCTACGTTTTATTATATGCAAATCATGGATATACACATATGGCTATTTGAATCGCATTACGCAACGGATAAATCTGAATGCTATTTATTGGCGTATAAAGAAGATTTTGCACGTGTGCAAGATTTATTTAAAATATTCTTATACAACAAAGAAATTAAACGCCTTTTATTCGACGTTTGAAATTTATAGTATTTTTATTCAAATAATTTATTAGTTTTTTTAAACAGTTCTAGCAAGAGTAATTTTATTTTCCTCATCAAAATGACGTTCTTTTGTTCTTCGGTTACGCTTTCCTTATCTTTAAATTCAAAAATTTTAATTAATTGAGGTCTAAAGAGTTAAATATTTTTTAAGACTAGGTACATAAATTGTTAGTTTTTAGTTTTTGTTTCTACAGAAATATATACATATATTTTTATTAGGATAAAAATTGAAATTTCATAATTTTCTAAAGAAATATGCAGGAATCTAGGATCAAATAATTTTACTCGTATTCCAGACATGTGGATGAATAATAAAGCTATAATCAACCGCCTGTAATATATATATTACCATCTTTATGACTTATTAGGTTTGTGTTAGCAGTTTTTGGACAGTAACTTTTAGTGTTTTAAAACTGTTATTGAAAAATCAAAAATGTACTATAATAATTTATTTCGTTGTCTTATTTTTAATACAAATAATATAGATTTGGCGTTTGAAGACTAAGAAAAACTTGAGACTAACATCATTTATAAAGATTAAAATATTTAATTCAATATTTATAACTAAGATAATACACAAAAGTGGATATTTGAATTAAAAATTTTGTATTGGAATGAATTAAAAAAATATTTTTATATAAAAAAATGGGAATTGCAATTTTTTCTAATAAAAAGTCGAATTACAAAGAGGAGTTTACAAGTCGTTGAGCAAAAATATAATTCTATATAATCTTCAAGAGCAAAAATTCAAGGAGGTACACACCTGTTTGATGTTAGCAGTTTAGCTTGTAATAAAATGTTAGTCATTTTCCTGGCTATTATTAAATAAATTTAAACACACACAAATTGTTTAAATTAAACTTGTTTATTTGTCACAATAGCAGTAATTATATAGCAGGCAGGTAGATGTTTATGATATTAAAAAATTGTAAATACATATTTGTATAAGTTTGTGCTTCCGGTACGGTGAAATAATTCTATTAAAGTTCAGTTTGTACAAATTACCCAATACTAGATTCTCACACAATGTAAACAGCCTAATTAGATACAAGCTTCCGAGCTTGACAACAGCAGCTAACAGTTAGACCAGTATTTATTTACAATTAAAATTTGATTGTGGCTGAAGTTGCACTCATCATATCCGCTCAAAGTTTCAAAGTTTTCTAATTATTCTATAAAACTAATATATCGTTCTAAAGCCTTCTACAGGTGACAGCTAATCAAAATCAAAGGCGAAAACGGCAATGCAAAGAAAAACTCAAAATCCCCATGATGAGAAATTGCTTTTAACTTCAAACGTTTTCAGTATTTGTTGTATCAACAACAAGGAGCGGACTGGAATCACAAAAGGTTTCTTTTCTCCATCGTACTACTAAATGACTCTGAGCATAAAAATATAACTGTCTCGATTTATTATCGTTCGACAAAGAGCTTTCAGAGATTTGTTAAAAAAGGGAATGCCTTGTGGTGGATTCAAAAAGATATTAGTTTTACCAAAATTATTTCTGAACGAAAATCTACTATGAGCAAAAAAGGAAAATTGTTGATTAGATAGATTAGATGTCCGGAACAGTGAACTCCACTTCTGTGAAATAATACATACAACAAATGTGTACAATTTTATCACTTTAAGTCAAACATCCAAACTTTAAATTACTTTTAATTAGCTTCAATTTCACATCCTTTCATTTTTATTTTACTATATGTTACTGGAATTGTATTGAAAATTATTATTTTTTGTTTGGTAATGTCAAAAAACTTCTTGAATGGATATAAATTTGTTGAAGATAGAAAGAGCAGAATAATAGTGGCTTTATTAATAATTGTGAAGCGTTCGCTACTGTATCGGTCTAGCAAATAATATCGCCATCGCCGAGCTTTTAAACTCTAGAAAAATGAAATAATGACATCACTCTGAAAAGGTACGAAACCGAGTCGCCCCGAAAGGAAGTTGATAATTAAGAAATTCTTCCGGTTTGAACCAATAATTAAATGGGATTCTTGGAATTCAGATGCTATGCTGTCAACTATTGAACGTTTTCCAGAAATTTTTTCCCACATTTGAGACTCGCGTCCACCCAACTTTCTCCAAGTGTTGGAAAAATTAATTTTGAGTTCTGAAAAAATCTGCATAAGATTTAAATTTATCAAGCTGTACCTGTCTTTTAAAAGCATCATAAAATGTAAAACGTATCGACCAGAAGCTACAACTAAACATATTTCCTCTTTCATCTGAAATTAGATTATAATGGAGTGATTCAATACTTTTTATTTTTATCAAGCTGCCGATATTTTTGCCTGCACACTTTTATGTGTAAAATTTGTTTTAAAATCAATTATTTTTAATTCGATTTTCAGGTAGAGCGAAACCCACGAAGCAACACTCGAACCAGGCGACGAATTTAGTACTTACTTGCACGTTAAGGAAAAGTAAGTTTTCACTGTGTTTCCCGATTATTTTACAAAGTAAAACTCGCGCAGAAGATCTTCATGTACAGCTCGAAGAAGACGAAAAAGGATACGAATCTTTTGTACTTTCCACTAGTTCTAGTCAAGCAGGCGAAGTCGATCCAGATTCACCAACGGTTCCAGACGATGCCAGAGAAACTTGGGGCTCCAATGCTGACTTTTTATTGTCCATCATCGGATTTGCAGTTGATTTGGCTAACGTGTGGAGATTTCCTTATCTTTGTTATAAAAATGGGGGAGGTAGGCAATATAATACTAGCTTCTCATTAGGTCGATTTATGATTGTTTTTATGGGGCATTTTGAGTGAGATCATTAAAATTCGTTTGCAGGAGCATTTTTAGTTCCCTACACTTTAATGTTGGTCTTTGGAGCCGTCCCTTTGTTCTACATGGAACTCATCCTGGGACAATTTAATAGACAAGGACCTATAAGTTTATGGAGGATATGTCCTCTTTTCAAAGGTGACATTTTTTTATTTGAATTTATTATTACCTTACACTAAAAAATACGAAAACTGTTCAAACATATAGCTTTAACAACATTTGAAATGCTTAAAAGCGTTAAAAGAATGAATTCTTATATTTTTATAACAAAGTCAATATTGACGTTTTTAACAAATTATATACATGTTTGCCAAATTTGTTATCTAATTTTGACAGCAAAATAATTAAGCGATTTCTTGGAAGTCTGTGAACAATTCCGTTTGAAATAGAATCAATTCAGAATCAGTGACGTATGTTAAGAAAATCTAATTATAAAGTTTCGTCTATTTTCTTAATCATCCTGTTTATACAAAGATAACGGAATTGAATTGGCAAAATCTCAAGTCGAAGTATTTGAAATTAAAAAGTTGTTTTAAATGTGGTTATTTGGTTGTTTCCCTTTAAGAGAATCTTCAGGGAGCAATATGCAACCTAGCTAATGATTTAGCTATAAATTCATGAAAGCGCTATTATTGCCCTCACATAAATCATTTCACGAATAGTTTTTTTTACAGTAGTAAAATGTTTTTACAAGATAATTATTATTTTACTCTTCAATTAGCACGTTTAATATAAATTGACATTAACAATTTATTATTGGACGACTTAAAAATTAGGGTAAAAACGTTAAGACACTTTCGTAATTTTCAAATAGAAAATACACATTTCAATTTAATTGTTATAAAAACTCAATTAATAGTAAGTAAAATGAAAGAATAAAAAATACCGAGGAAAATACTAATACAATTCAATTTACATGCACTTTTATGACGTGAATACATAATAGAAAAATGATTAAAATTTGATAAATAATAGAGCAAAGAATTGACAATAAAGTTCTTATTTGATGATTTTAATTTTGTAATAAAATTAACTTTTGTTTATTAAGAGGATACGTAAATCATGGTTAATAAGAAACTAAATTTTTGTATATGAAATTTTTATTTTATTTATTTAAAAATACTCATGATAAGTGAAATAATTATTTAAATAGAATTATTAATTTTGTCTTTTCTGGGTGAACAGGTGTTGGATTTTGTGCCGTCCTAGTCGCATTTTACGTTTCATTTTATTATAATGTAATAATAGGTAAGTCAATTAAAGCCAATATTTTCCAACAGACAATGATTTCATTAATAACAGCATGGGCTTTGTACTTTTTGGGAACAAGTTTTTCGCCCGATTTGCCATGGCTCCATTGCAACAACACATGGAATACAGAAAAATGTTGGGAAAGCATGCTTCCAGGTACTTCAAACGTTACGACAAGACCTCCAGTGTTTAACGACACAACTCCTACAAATCGACATACACCAGCTTCCGAGTTTTTTCAGTAAAAAATATTTGAGTCGTTTCTTGCAAACAGTGTTGTTTAAAAGTGTTGATTTTCAGTCGGGCAGTATTAGAAATGCAGTGGAGTGATGGCTTGCATGAGATGGGATACCCGAAATGGCAGCTGGTTCTCTGTTTAATGATTGTATATGTAATGCTTTATATTTCTCTTTTTAAAGGGGTAAAATCCTCAGGTATTGACAAATAAATAAGTAAACAAAAAACACACTTGGGTAATTTATAGGAAAAGTTGTATGGGTCACGGCAACAATGCCCTATGTAGTTCTCACGATTCTTCTAATTCGAGGATTGATGTTACCAGGAGCTGCGATGGGTATTTCTTATTATCTCAAACCGGAATTATCAAAACTTAAAGAGACTCAGGTAATAAAGATTCTTTTAATATCTTAGAAATCGTTTTTTTTTTTCCAATTTCGAAGATGGAGTTGAAATTTTCGCAGGTTTGGGTCGACGCCGCTGTACAAATATTTTATTCAGTTGGAGCTGGATTCGGCGTGCATCTCTCTTATGCTAGCTACAACACGTTCCATAACAACTGTTTCAGGTAAAATCCAAATCCTCAATAACGAACAAGCTTAACCGAAACTGAAATTTCAGAGACTGCATAGTCACAACAGCCGTGAATTGCTTCACAAGCTTCTTCTCCGGATTTGTGATATTCACCTATTTGGGATTTATGTCTTATAAACAAGGGGTTCATATTAGCACAGTTGCTACTGAAGGTGAACCGATAATGACCCCTGTTTGTTAAAATCTAAAGTAAACACGATTTCAGGACCCGGACTTGTTTTTCAAGTGTACCCAGAAGCGGTTGCAACTCTTCCAGGATCGCATTTTTGGTCAATGCTTTTCTTTTTCATGTTAATAATGCTTGGACTTGACTCAGCTGTGAGTAAAAAATTGTTAAATCTATTGAAACTAAACTAAACAATCACTAGATGGGCGGTTTGGAATGTGTTATCACGGGATTAATGGACGAATACTCAAATTTCTTCAAAACACGAAAACATTCCAGAGAAATTTTTACCCTAGGAGTCATCATCGTCTCCTTTTCTGTTGCTCTTATCAATGTCACACCTGTATGATTCTTTAGATCAAAAACTTTTTCCTTGAAATCTTTTTGTAGGGTGGTATTTATACATTCAACTTGTTTGACACTTATTCTGCTGGAATTTCACTTTTATGTTCGGCTCTTTTTGAAGCAATTGCAGTTTCATGGTTCTACGGTTTAGATCGATTTTCTCAAGATGTGGAAGCAATGATTGGTACAAGGCCAGGTCTTTATTGGCGAATTTGTTGGAAATTCGTTAGTCCAACATTTATAATTGTTCGTTTTTTACTAGTTAAATAAACACTTTACTTAACTAATCAATTACAGATGGTGGTGTTGTTTGGATTACTCAACCCCCAACCATTGAAATATAACGATTATTTTTATCCCAAATGGGCTGAATGGGTCGGGTGGTCTTTAGCACTTTCGTCAATCATTATGATACCACTTGTTGCTGTGTTACAATTAATTAAAGCTAAAGGAACATTCAAAGAGGTACGTGTTTTTAACACCAAACTATTATTTATTTTCAAAATTTAGAGACTTGCCATTTGTATCACTCCGATTGAAGAACACGAAGAGATTCGGCGGAGTAAACTCGTGAGTAGATTCAGAGCTAGGCATTGGTTGTTTGTCTAAGTTCCTTAATTTTTATTTTTTCACTTGTGTTCTAAATATATTTTTTATTGCGCTGGTCGTACATTTATTATTAATGTTATGTGTTTTGTAAAAAAATATTTTACATGTATAGGCTTAAGAACAATAAGTACCTAATCCAAAAGACGATCGTGCCAAAACCTGTACTCATTTAAACAAAATGTCGAAATATCAATTGGCAATCATACGAACAATACATTGTAATAAAAGCTTTTGTGTATAAATGTTACTATCGACTATTTAATGGTTGCAGTTGCATGAAATTAGAGAAATAAGTACATACTTTTTGTTAGTTTGGGTCCAAAATGTTTCTTATGGCTGGCCCATAGAAATAACTGTTTAAAATAAAAAGACCAACGGATTTGTAAATAATGTTGGGTTGTTTGTGTTCAATGTTTGGACCACCTGATGTGTATAAAAATCGTTAAGTTGCTCCAAATGTAAAATTACTTAATTTATTATAGGTGAAGACCAACGATTAAAATTAGAAAATTATTTAATTATGCCAAAGTATTTGAACTGAGCTTTATATGTTTTTTGTATTTTTTTTCAACGTACTACCTAGTCCTAGCTTGTAGTTTTGATGTTGTGAAATGCAACATATTGTGTAATTCTAAAGAATTGTCTTGTTCAATTAGAACAGTTGAGAATTAACACAGCAATTTATGTGTAAAAATGTTTAGAAATGTTTAAACAATTGGCCTTCGTTGTTTAAATATTTCCAGTAAAATATTGGTAAGATTTCTAAGAAGATAAATGTAATTGAAAACGTTTATATTGTACTAAACAAAAACCAAGAGCTTGTACAATAAACCAAAAAATAAAACGTTTCAGAAATGGTTTATTTATTATCTGCTAAAAAATCACAATCAGTACAAGTTTCTTCTTCTAACAGCTACATTTATAGGTACAGAACATTCAACATTACATTTTTATATTCTACATGTCTCCTTTTATTAGGAAAATATCAAACAGGAATAAACAGCAAATAAAACATTTTTTTGTCAGTTGAAATAAGCTTTTCATTTAGTTCAGGATCTTTTGTCCAATCTTTAAACTCAGCTGAATTAAAAGAAATAATTAAAATCTCAATTTTGTTGACAATAGATGGAAAAAAATTGTGCATGAATTTATTGATGTTTAATATTTTCAGATCAATTGGCAATATAAGATAAGATAAGAATCAAATTAGGTATAGATAGGTATACATATTGTGCGCACATATAAATGCTAAGACAGTTGGTTAATAGGTAATATGTATTACAAATCAAAAATAAATCGACTTTAAAAAAACTATTTCCTTTAAATATTAGATCATAAATAAGAAAATCAGTCTAAAATGGGGGTATATATTTTTTATTTTACTTTCAGTGCTTGCCTTTGTATTTATGTTTTATCGTTTAACCTATTATATGGCAAGTTTGAAGATACTCATATCTACATCACTTAAAATTAGAAAACAATGAGTATAAAGTTATTAACCTTTACAAATGAAAATATCACTATTAATTTTAATACTATATTTTTATTCAGTCAAAAATAAATTTTAGGCCTAAAGTTTAGAAATGAAGAACATCTAGGAAATGTGTGCTTATATAAAATTTTATAAAAATCTTCTACAAAAAATATTACAAAAATCTCGCCCAACGACAATAATTTAGGAATATTTCCACTTCCGTTAACGAATTTTCAGTGATATGATTTTCCTAAAAAATTATAAAACACACACAAAACATGGCAGGAGAAGAGGCCAAGCAAAACAATGATCAAATAGACTAATTTATAGTATTCAAAAAATATCACATTTAGTTATAAAGTTATAAAAATTTGGAGTTTATTAATTTTGTTATTTAAATTTTAATAAAAAATCGTGTATTTTTCTGACTATTTTTTTAAATTTCTCATAATGAAAATATTGTTTTTGTAAATTTTGTAAATAGTTGCAAAATACCCCTCGTGCATAACAAATTGTTTCTAATTTTGGTATGCAACGGGATATTACTAGTGATAATTTTCATTAACTTTTTTTTTAAAGAGTAAAATGTTTTGATATTAATACATTTTTTTACATCAGTATTCACATTATTTTTAGTAATCCACAATATTTTTTTTTTAATTTAATAATTTTGCAATCACCGGAAAACTGATGACTCTTTCTTCTACACAGGATGTAGCACAACTCGATTATTGGAAAAAACTATGTTATAAAATATAACATTTCTATCTCAAATATTGAAGTTTGAACAAGTTTTGGAACATCCCAAAAACTATTAAAACTATTTTATAAAATCTGGTAGTCAAGCCAGAAACGTGATCCGATCACTTTTTGTGTGTATTTTTAAGTTGCTTAGCCTCTTTAAATTGTTTACAAAATAAATAGTGCAAAAAGCTTTTTTGCAAAATGTTGTAAATAAAAATTTGAAGATTTAAGATTAAAGAAAATGTGTAAATATGTTGGTTAACTGCAGTAGTCGCCGAATGGATGTGTTGGTCACTTAAAGTTTAGCACAAAAACTTACATGGCTACTTATCACAAAAACGCATTTCGATGCGTTGAACAACAATAACAACGAAACAGTCTTACCTAGTTACAATACGGAGCTAACGTCCTCCTTTTTGTCATCTTTCTCTTTATTTTTCTTAGATTTTTTCCTTCTTTTTGAGTCTCTAGTTTTAGGAGACCTTTCCAGCAGAAATAACGCTTCGTGGAAATCATCCGAACTTAAATTCGATTCTTGTATGTGCAAGACCGAACTCAAAGCGCCGTCCGTCGAAGATTTGGGAAACCTAAACATTTCCCTCTCGCGTTCCGGCTCGCTGGCGCTTTTCGATTTGGCATTGGCTTCTTTTTTGGGACTCGAGTCTGAGGGACTGGGGATATTCGAACGTGAGTTGGCTGGGGTTGTCGAACGTACCAAAGATGGCGTGAACGGTTCCGGTGGTAGAGTATTGTTAAGACTAGTACTAGAAATGTTTAAAGAACACGAAGTTAGAGGCACAGGTACACTTAAACTAGACGACCTCGATTGTCTACCACCCGATATTAGAATCATTCCGGGTGATTTTGGTTCTGGCGTACGGGAGATGGACACTCCCGATATGAACAACGTGGGTGACTTGGGGATGCCAGTCTCGGATTCGTACTCGTTCGAACTGTCCGTTTCCAACGTGTGGCTTTTGCGACACTTGGAATCAGGACTTTTGCAGATTTTTATTCGTAAGTTGCAATTTTTCCGCTGGTCTTCCAATAGAAATCCCGTGGACTTGGAGAAACTACTATCGCGGCAACATTTCTGATGTTTTATGCTTTTGGGGCTGTGCTTTTCACTTTTGCATCGACCATCTTTGAGGATATCACAGTTCTTTTTAACTTTATGATCACTACTAAGAAGTCCTATACTTTTATTCACTGCAATCCGCGTCAAGTAACTAGTTTTAGGCAGGTGTGCTGAACACAATTTCGCTTTCAACGAAGCAAAAGGATTGTGGGTTTGTTTCTTACATTCGACTATTTTTGTCATTTCAGTCTTTTTTATTTCTTCTTCCTCGTTGTAACTTTTACCAATATCCTCATCAGTGACTGAACTCAAAATACCACAAACTTCCATATCGGCATTTATCGAATCCGAAGTCGTAGTATCTTCTATCGAACTTTGCCCTTGATACGACTCTTCCTCTGGATAAGTGTGATGGAGTAAAAGAAATTGTTTAGTACGCACAGAAGTTGAAGGCAAAGCTAGAATTTTTCGTGCCAAGTCTTCCGGTTTATCGTCATGCTGACTACTATGATCTGAATCTAAGTGATAACGAGGTTCATCTCCATTCATGCGAACTCTTGTTCCTCTTCCACTTCTTCTAACACACAGATCTCCAGTTGAGTGTGACCTCTTCAGACCAACATCAGCATCGTCATAATCATCCACATCTTCAAAAGCAAAACCTTTCTCATGAATATCTGAAATTTGAAATCTGCCATCCTCATTCCCATTACAAGGCCGAAAGAACAATTCCCTATCAGTCTCAGGGTTAAGTTTGTTAACATCGAGACTCTTCAAATCAATCTTGTGATTAGCTAAAGACTTGAGGAAGTAATCAACCGTCCAATCCGCACTGCTCTTTTGATAAGGTTGACTCTGAACCGCTTCTTCCGCCGCCCCCGATTCCTGCAAACTGAGCTGAATCGCCAATTTGAGCTGATCATCGGCACTTTCATTGCTGTTATTCGAAATACTTGAACTGGGATCAGGAGTGATTGCATTGGCTTGTGCTTGTTTCATCCTATCTTCAATCATTTGAAGTCTAGACATTTCCAGAGCTATTATAAGTTCCATGTTGTAATCAGACCCTAGGTTACGAAATTAATTTAAAAACAGTCATGTTAAAACACTTACGGCCACATCCGTGTCTACTGCACAAAAAGCCGCATTGATGTTCTTTGGAGTTTGGAGAGCCTCCAGAAAATTGTTTGAAACTTACTTCATTATCCTCGTCTGAATCATTTTCAGGCCATTCACAATCACGCAACCAGGCGCTCGTTTGCGTCAAATCGGTCTGAAATAATTGTATGCAAGAACAATAGCTGAAAAATATGTTGCTTACGTCAAGATATTTTCGCTTGCGTTTTCTTTGAGTGGGTGGCGTTTCCGGTGGAATCAAACCTTGCGCTACTGCCCTCACAAATTCGTGTCTTTTTCTTCTTGCTAGAGCTGTTGTTTGGACAATCACGGCTTTAGGTGTTCGTAAATACGGGCGAGCTATCATTTCGCTCAACTTTTCGGTTACTTCCTCCAACTCATTCTACTTATTAGTGAATATTAAAAAGATCTTTTGGAAGTTTTAATATTACCTGCATAAATTCAAAGATGGCTTTGTTATAGCCGTCATCTTCCAAGTAATAACCGTAAACGTAAGAACCGCATAAAACTCTTCGTGCTTTTAATAATTCTCTCACACCATCTTCGATGAATTTTGTTCCTTTCTCTCCGGAATCTGAGTATGAAGCTAATAAGTAGGTGGGTGGTGAAAAGGTGAAATATATACCTTCGGTACTTTTTAATCCGAGACTGCTGGCGAGCACTTCTCTTTTTTGTCGAACGCTGGTTAGAAGGGGTTCTTCGAGCTTCTGACTGTTTTCGTGGTTTCTAAAACGCGTATAAAAATGTAAAAAACGAGACATTTCTTGCATTTGATTATTTCTATCTAGTGCCTCGGAAATTAAATTTCCTTGCTTTTCGTCAGCCTTATGAACGGCCTCGAAGCGATTACATCGGAAATAGCCGCCGGTTGCGGAACTGTGTCTCTTCCATGATTCTTGACACACCCAACAAAAGTCAAATTTGCACTAAAAATTATTATCAGTAATTATGTCGAGATGTAATTTTTCAAATACTTTGGAACACTTCATGTGGTTACAGCCTTCGTTTTTTTGAATTGGACTTTTGCAGTTTGGACAGGGTTTCGAATTGGTAACAAGCCAGAGACAATTGGCAGCATCTTCGCTTCCGCTGCACGAAGCTTTAAGTTCTTCCGGTTTAATTTCAGCAATTTTAATCTGCCACTCTTGCCATTGTTTACATCCGCAAGGTGCATGTGCTTCACCCAAGCACTCCCAACAGAAAAAATGCGCGTTTCCGCAGTCCACGGCGTGGGAGGTTATCGGAGCTGATTTATTATTAACCCGGTTTCCGGTCTGTTCTGCTTCCGGTAACCGGACCGCTCGACCACAACCGGCGATGGGACACCATTTGATGCTTTTATTGCTCTCGACAAAGGCCTACCGAATTATTACAACTAGGAGGAAGAGATTCGAATCAGTTACCTTAATATCGAACTGGAGATATCTACGCGCCATGTCGGGACTCACTAACTTCTCGATAAGCTCAACGGGAACTAAAATGTGACACTGGTAAGCTGGACATAGGATGTGATGAGCATCGCCATCTTGAATTTTTGTTGTGAGGTAGCTTTCCCAGCAAGTTTTGCAAAAGGAGTGTTTACAGGACATTTTAACTGGTTGCTCCCAGTTTGATATTGTCGACAAACAAATTTCACACTGGAATAACTCTGTTAAAACAATTCTAGTTGGAGTGACTAGAAATACCATTAATTCATTTTCGTCATTAGTTTCAGCTGAAATACTAGATTCTAAGGAACCTGCATGTTTAAGAACGGAAGAAGGAGCTTGAACACCAGCGATTTGGCAACATTCGACCGGATCTTTCATCCACTTTTCGAGAAGAAGTTCACGGGACCATTCTGATAGTCAATCATTAGAAAACCTACTGAAATGCATACAAAAAAGCCTACCATTATTTCTCAAAAGAGCCTCAGCTGTAAATAGCGGAATTTTAAGCATATCTGAAGTATCAACAAGCAACTGGTCTTTAGCTTCTTGTAAATCTTGACTTCTAAGTCCACTATAAACTTCCTCTTGTTCTGTAATTATCTCATCTTCGTTTACCAGATCAGCATTATCAGCCTATTTATAAACATCTAAAATTTTAAACAATAAAGTTTCTAATAAACTTACAAAAACCATTCGGCTTTCGAGCAATCTAGCAATGTCGTGATGGGACCCCCTCATTGCTAAATCACACGGAGTTAATTTATCGTTGTTTTCAATAAAAAGGGGAGCTCCATGTGCTAGCAAAAGTTCAACACAGCGCTTGAGACCGGTGGAAGCGGCCCAGTGCAATGCCGTGTTGCCCTCTTTATCTTGTGAACTTAAATCAACCCTTTCTCTCCCTCCGTTGGCTAAAAGACCTCCTTTCCAGAAGAGAAGTAGTTGAACGCATGCAGCTCTTCTTTCTTGGGCACTGAAACTCTTGGTTTGATTGAGTTGACAAGCGCTGTGTAAAACTGATTCGTTTAAGCCATTTTTTTTGTTCGGATTGCCTCCCAAATCGTTTAGAAACGTTCTCAATAGATGCTTCATACCTTGAATGAACAAGGGTAGTTTTGGCTTTGGTGTGTGATAATGGACATACCGTGTTTGGCAGCATAATGTAGAGCAGTGTTGTGGTTGTGGTTTTCGCCGTAACTTAAATTAGGATCCAGGTTTTTGCGTAGTTCCGGGGAACTTTGGTAAATTTGCATCGCTGCAAACTCATCGCCGTGTTGGAGATACTTTTTAAATTTGGATGAAGTGCTTCCCATTGTGTTGAGGGAATTCTAAACTAATTTCAAACGGTTGTATAAAAAAATTCGATATGTGTACTTGTGAAAGGTCGGTTTCTTGTCAAGAAACGCAGCTTCGTGTCGAAAATGCCCATTTTCTCAGCTGAAAACAGGTAAGTATTTGAACATGGTATTTGAGGAACAAGTGCAAGGGTTTATTTATCAAAAACTAAGCCGATACCAAAAGCCAAGGTAAATATTTATGTCCATATTCTTGTTTAATTAAGAAGATGCTTTGTGAACAGCATTTTCAATTGCAGGTTTTTTGGGAGTATTTTGTGTGCCACCAGATCATAAAAAAAATAAATTATCGATTATTGCTAGATATAATAAAAATTAAAAGGTGCAATTCAAGTTCGTTAAGCCTCAAGCTTAATATTGCAAAAGCTCGTAATTGAATTTCACGACATATTATCACGACAAGAGCATTATTATGATAGACAGACAAAAACAGTAGCACATTCCCACATTTACGATTTCACAGACATTCAATTCAACAAAGATCGAGTCATGTTCTAAGAAACAAAACGAATTTATTAACAGAACGAGACATTCATAATCGTCAACGAAACTTACCCAGTAACAGGGCGAGTTACTATCTGACATTTTCTTTATCTATTTTGCGATATTTGTGACAAGGAATTGACATTTTCATGATAGCGACCAAATAGTGTGTATCAGAAACGACGACGCCGAATCGATTATCCTAGCGCAGACGCCGCCGTCGCGACGCTCAAATACCCGCTTCGTTTAAAGATAAATATATACTCCTTTGTATTTTTAGAAACTCTACTTGCAAAAAGTAATTAAAACTATTTAAAGCAATAAACAGTACTATTTAAAAATGATGTGTTAATCCTCGCTTACATTTTTGATAACTAATTAATAGAGCTATTTATTTCAAGATTATTATAGGGCACAAAGAAATATTAAACTGTTTTATACCATAGGTAAATATGTCTTTGTCACTATTAAAAAATTATTTCTAGTCAAAAAAATTGCTTTCAAAATAGTATATGCTAGTTTGAAATGCGATTTTATTCTTTTTTTTGTAGGGATTAGAAAGTTTAGTAACTCTATACTATAATTATTTTCAATAAAAAATCAAATTTTAACTTTCTTATGTTCAAAGCCGTAAAATTATATTTTGTAAATAAAGACTAGAAAACTGATAAATTTTACTTATTGATCGCTTTAGTCTTTAATGTTTTGTAGTCGGTTCATAATTTATTCTTTTATAAATTGAACTAGTAAACTAAGTAAACATCTACAGCTTAAACTAAGTACTATTGACAAACATAAATGTTTAACACTATATCCTCTCCAGTTATAAAGCAAATATTTGTCTGTATCACAATGAGAAAATCACTCGTCCATATATTTCGGCTGGATTTACGCATCAGCTTAATATCTTTTAAAGGACACTAGATAAATTCATGCATATTTTTATTAAACGGAAATATGAAAGGTCGAAAAAATCACATTATTTTGAATGTTAACGACAGAATATTTTTTCGTCACGTCCCAAGTCTCATATTTATGTCAAATTCAGAGATATGGAATAATTTAGAAACCGTTTAGCTGAGAGTTGGCCGTTTGGAATGAAATGTTGGGGTTGATAAGTGGAATTTAACCCAAATCAAGCGGTTAACTTAATCAGGCATGAAAATGTGATTAAAGATTGAAGCACACCTTCTCGCTCAAATAGTGCTGTAATTAATCGGAATAATTCCATCGAGGTTTTATTAAAAGCCTCGATTTTATTCGATAGAAGTTGCGATATGTTCAGAGTAGTGAATGTGTGACTAATCACACATTTGCACTAAACCCGCAAAGCAAAAAAAGCAAAACCTTAATTTTTGGGAATAATAAAAATTAGTGGAACTACCTAATTCTAGTGTTTTAAAAGTGGTTTAAAGTCTGCTGATATCAGTTTAGAGCTGAAGACAAAATCAGTTACACTGTTTGAATATGACGGGAAAACTCTTTAATACTTATCATAATTGACAAAAGTACAATCTTAGACAGGGTTTACTTTTGAAAATTATTACATCATTAGAAACCATCCTACTGAACGCCTTATAGCCACTCCAAATTCTTTTAAAACATACGTAAATGTGTTCTCAACGTGTTCACTGTACACTTAGTTGTAATTATCATCATCATCAATTTCGCATCGAACGCGAGTGGATGAAAAGATCCATCGTTTACTTTCTTATTTCCCCCCGTGTCCTGATATGTTCGAAATCGAGGAAGAGGATTTGAAACTTGCGTCATTTAGAAGCAATTTCCAAGTTTCACAAAGATGTCTGCAGTTGACGTTAACTGCCTAGAAAAGTGAACCTCTTCAGGTATTACAGAATGGCATTAATTTAATTTAGAGTGAAAGAGATGAAGAAAGTTTCGTGTTGTAATCCTCTTGTAATTAAGGTAACTATAGAGTGGTTACAGACGCACACATTGTTTGTTTAATTGAGATGTGAGAATAATTAATTTTATTGTTACAAGGAATGATGTGATGATTGGTCGAGACGCTTTAGTTAATTTGATACCTACACCAATAACACTCAATTAATCACATTACCATAAATTAATCTTCATTATACGTTGACAAAGTTTTTTCTGCTTTAGGGCTTTATAATGAGCTTTTACATCAAATTTCTAAATGTCGGCCATTTACAAAATTAAAAAACTTTTTCATTTAAAAGTGATAAAATAAAATTTGCTTCTTTTATTTTTATTAGCGTATGGCCAGTAAAAATCCAAAATGTACGCAGTTATGCAAACAATGAAATTGTTTTTTATAACCCATTTAAAGAGCGGAAAATCGATCGATGTGCGTTCTAGTTAGTTTGAAGGGTTTATATTTTAATTACAAGTGCAAAAAACGAAATTTAATTAAATTTTCAGGCGTTATTAAAATGTGAATGTAATTTAATGCAACAAAATTGCCAAGGAAGAATAAATTGTAGGAAGGTGCTAAGGTGCAAGAAACGACGAGAACCAAATAGTAGATACAAAATTTATGTGAGGGCTTTTGGAAAACAAATTAAAGCAGAAGATTGGAGAAGAATAAGTTTTCTCAACAACACATCTTAAGGGAAACGTGCTAGTGACACATAAGATGAAGAATAATTATCATAAATGGAGTATCAAATATGATACATCTCAAGGTTTTCTGTTCAAACCACAGGAAAGACAATTCTCAAGCGTCGTCAGCTGAAACTAATATTCACGAATGACAAAAACATTTAACAAATTAAGCAATCAAAACATTGTAACAGTATTTTAAGATAACACAAGTTTTGTAAAAATATTATATTATTATGTAGATTTCGTTACCTATATCTTGTGTAGAACTGATTGAGATTCAAAAGTCTGGAAGCAATATTGTTACTCTATTCACACAAATACAATTACGACTGCGATGAGAAAACTTTTTGATTATTTACGTTTATTGTTGAATCAACAAGATTTTCAATAAAAACTAAAAATTTTATTTCTAGTAAAAATAGTAAATAATTAGCGTGATATTTGTGTTGTATTAACTCTGCAGAACAGTAGCCAGAGAGCCAAACAATACCATCATCATAAAACAATTCTTGTTAATGATGTGCATGGTGCAATGAATAGAATTAATTAAGAATTGTTGCTTTAAGATGCAAAATGACGAATCAAGAAAATTATCAGAGTTCAGTTTTACCATTTTACCATCTACATACTTATAGATGAAAAAGTGATAAATAATAGACTGTTAATAAATGCAAATTAATTAACGAGTGAACATTACCCTAGCATTATTCATGTGATATATTGGACTAGCAACATATTCATTTGTGTACGGCTTAGGCTGCATCCTCTGCACTATCAAACGTTGATTAACACTGAATCTGTTCAGTGTAGGTTTGAAAAACAATATTTGCCAATTAATATTTAACATTTTCATCAGTCAATTGCATCTACTTCATTTATTGTTTGATCATTTGCATTAAACCTGTCGCAGCTTATCTTTTCGCTTGCATTTTGTTTGATAGTTAATCTAATCTTAAACAAAGTTGTCGTTAAGTATTCATATCACAACGATGAAATATGTTTGTTTCCCCTAAAACTCACGTTTAATTAATTTACCGTAAATGTTTTGTATGTTCAGGTGTATAAAGTCTGATAATGCGCTTTAACCACAACAGATTTTTGCAATGTTTTACAATTTGTTTAATAACTACAGTAAATTAGTTTAGTAAAGCTTTTTTGAAAAGTAGCAAATAATTATTATAAAGCTGAAAATAAATTTGTTTACAAAAGTTAAATAATTTACAATTCTTTTATCTTAAAAAATTTATTTTTTATTCGTATTGTTTGCGATTCGTGCGAAATCTGGAAGTATGAAGAAATCTGATAAAAAGATAATCCGTTTTATTTCTCATAACTCGTATTTTTCTAAATCTGTTTTTCCCGTACTCTTTCAACTGGAATAATTTTGCCACCGAGCCACCTAGCCAGTTTATATATTGTTGGGCTTAAGAATTCAATTTCTGGGTTGTTTTTATTTAATTTGTTTCAAAATTGGCGGTGACGCGTTGTGGAAATATGAATTGAACTTAAACAGCTATGGAAAATTGATAAGCCACGGCAGTCTTACATTAGACTTCCAGTTGTTGATAAGCAAGTGGCAAATTTGTTGTTATTTGATAACCAAGGGTAATCCTGCAAAACGCGCTTACTTCGTCCTGTAGACATGCGCGCGTTATCCTTGTATAAGTCCACGATGCATCCAGTTCGAGTTCAGTGTATGCGGGACAGCCTAAGAAGTTAGGCGCGGTGACGTGAGCTTCTGCGAAAATTCGAAAAGTTTTTCAAATATTTTGGTAAACACCTCGATGTGATACTTTCACAAAGACTATTTTTTATTTTTATTTTTCATTGATTGGCTTCTTGAGAATTTTACATTGTTTGCACCATGCAGCATGATCGAACTTTTCTCGGGCTTTATTGTAGAGCGCTAAGTATTATTGTTTAAAACGAAGTTCTACACAGTGTTTGAAGTAAAAAAGTGTTCAAGAAATGTTGACAAAAAGTTCATCGTTGTTCAAACTGGGTAAATAAAAAAATCTCAACATTAGAAGTAGTTTGCTTTATTTGAGTCCCGTAATTTACGCTTTTTATGTCGGACACGTAATAACAAAAGTACAATCATCAAAGCTTCGTTAGTTTGCTCTTTTCTTATAGAAAATGATTGGAGTAAGGTGTTTTAGTTGATTGGGTCAAACCTAAACATTTCTTTTCTGGGGGTAACTGTTAACTGCACACTTACCGATGTTTCTGTTTGAAAATTTCATTTGCCCAAATCAAATTTTATTTACGTTTAATTAGTTTGGCAGTGGTTTGTTTTTTCACAGCAAATTTCCATTAAATTTCTGTAACACAAATCAAATATTTTACAAACTTCATTGGTGGAAGAAAACCCTAGTTTTTTAGATGGAAACTTAAATCCACGTAGTTTGAAAGTGCATTTTATTGATTTTACAAATGTATAAAAATTGAGCATATTCAAGAAAGTTTTGAATTTTTATCAATAGCTAACTTTAGAAGTAAATTACCGGTATTTAAAGTAACTTAAAGCAAAATAAATAGGAGGAGAGTATCTACAGAAAATGTTGATAAAAAATATTGTGATTGAAGATAAGATAACGTTGAGCGTCAGTAGACCGACTAAATGTGAAAGAGAAATTTTATTTGAGTGTCTATTACCTTATATTCAAATTAGAAGTTTTGTAGTGGTTTTGAACGAGTGTATTGGAATGAAAGCTCATAGAATACAGGTAATTATGTAAAAATATTTTAACTCTACTTAACAAATACTGTTTTAATTATAAATCCAATAGCATTACAAAAAACTTATATTTGAAATATAGTTTGTGTTTAAATTTTATCAGAATTTTTAATTACTTGTGAATTCAATTATGTATTGTCATTGGACTAACCAATTCAATTATTTTAATTCAGTGAAGCATTTACAAAGGTCTGAATAATTGAATGCTTGGTAGACCTTGTGTACACTTGTTAATTACTCTACGAATACTTAATAATTAATAGTGTTTCTGAAAAATATAGTAATTTTCGGCATTACATTAGGTATTTTATTTTTATTTATATCAATAATGTTTAAGTATATTTTTAAAGAAAATTATTTATAGGCAATAGAAATTGTAAAACTAAAAAAAAAAACAAATACTACAAACTGTACTTCTAATTAAAGGAACAAAAATATTTCGTAAATTTTTTGGTGATTTTTGAAAGACTGTACCTCATCGAAAAATGGTCGTAACTAGTTAAAAAAAAATCATTTTGAAGCTTTAAGTGTCTAGTTTTGAGGTCTTTTAACAAATATTTTTTCTGTGCTACGGTTATTATGCAATTCTAAGTAATAAAGCGAGAAAAAAGAATAATTTTTATTTTTGGACGTAAAGAATTGTTTTTATTTTTGGTCCATGGACGTAAAGATTTTTTTTAGTTACGTCAATGCATAGGCCAGATAGCATGTTTCTTTACCTTTAATATACTTTCTTCATATTCTCTTTACGACAATTTATCGCTGAGATAGATATCTGACTTTAAATGAAAAAGGATCTTCTTGTCTTTGATCGTCGATATCTCAGCAACCAATGACCACACAGAGGATATAAGGGTTGTGCAAAAACTGGAATAAACGTCTTATAAGATCCTCTTATGATTTTTTGGAAAAAAAATTTTCACTTTTAACATTGATTTAAAGAAAAGAGAAAAAAATAAGTTTTTGCTTTCTTTAGTAAATCTACCGCATATTAACCAATTCTGATGAAGACACTTATCCATCAGAATTGGTTAATACGCGGTAGATTTAACATTAGTAAATGTTTTTAGGTGTTATTACAGCTAAAACCGTTTTCTCGGACTGATTGATCAAAGTTTTGCAAAAGAATTAAAGGAACAATTGTACATATTGTTTCTGAACATCCTCCAATCTTCGTCAAGATAAGAAAAACATTTTTCATCTTTTTTTCATTTCTTCAGCTTTCTTTTAAAATTTTGCATTAGTTAAATTTGAAAAAAAAAAATTCGAAAAGAATTTCAAAAAAATATTTTTAATTTTTTTTCAAAACTTAATCAGTATTGTTTCTTCAATTTCTTTTATTCTTTTTTCAAAAATTAAGCAATATTGCTTAAAAAAAATCAAAAAACAATTTTGTTTAAATTAAAGAGAATATGAAGAAAGCATATTAAAGCTAAACAAACATGCTATCCGGCCTATGCATTGACTTAACTAAAAAAAAATTCTCCAGGTCCGTGGACCAAGAACAAACACATAAAAAATTAATTTTTTTTTTCTTGCGCTATTACTTAGAATTGCGTGAAAACCGTAGAACCGAAAAAATATTTGCCAAAAAATCTCAAAACTAGAAAATTAAAGCTTCAAAATGGTTTTCTTAAAATTTAGATACGACCATTTTTCGATGAGTTACAGCCTTTAAAAAATCATCAAAAATTTTAGGAAAATTTTTTGTTCCTTTAATTTTTTGGAGTAGTTTATATTAACATTAACTATAACAGTAACTAATAAATCTGCTATTAAATATTCTAAATAAAATATTTCTTGTTGTAAATAAACATACTGAACATTTAATACAAAATATATT